TTTCATAAAACTGAGAGCATATTCCGATTTCATCAACCCACACAAATCAACCCATAGCAAACTGGGAAAACATCCATTATAAGTCAATTATCTACATAAGATTTTATATTGATTTCCTAAAAAATATTTTAGAGTCATTATGTCAAACCCTTCAATTGCAAATCAGTTTAAGGCTTATAATGCGTTTTTAATATAGGAGATCAACCTATCTAATGGGGAAATTCAACTTGAAATCGAGCTACCTCGAGTAGGGACTGTTTTAGGAAGATTTATAAAAAGCACACTAATATGAATTAATATAACAGTTTAATCATAGAAAAATTCCCTACTCTTAAAATACAACAGTCCTCACGACAAAATTATTGACGGTTAATATATTAAATACTACCCTGGCTTGTGGTACACGTGCTGAAAAGAATGGTCTCTTTCGCTTTACAACAGGTGGGTCTTGAAGTCATTCCGAGGTCAAAACCATAAAAGGTTGTAAAAGCGGTATACAGTTTGGCGAACTTTACTTAAAATTAAAAAATGAAAAAATGAATCTAGTTTTTGCATTAGATGTTCGAATTGTTCACCATTGTATTCTAAGTATTTTTAATTCCGTTAAAGTGGACTGATGATATTAGCCTTCTTTATCTGGGATGGAACTATTCGTTGCTCTGCACCGGTGTGAAAAAAAAATCTAATGGGGTGAGATCAGGCAATCTTGCTGGCCAACCCGGCAGACGCAAATCGTGAAACACCCCATATATGTAAATAAAAAGATCTGCCAGTTATCTTCTTCTATTCAAATTCTGCCGGTATCTTTATGGCTTGTACTACCTCGTTTTTCGATATTTTTCATCGACACTTTTCCTCTACAGTTATAGAACTTAGGATTCTCTCTTCAGTTAGTTTTCCTTCTATAGATACTTGAGCTTCATTCGCCCAATAAATCATTAGATTTCTCTTCATTTTATAATTTCCTTTATTTAGTTCCGTAAATAATCTATAATATCAGATTTGTTTTTCTGCTTTGTTGTTCGTCTATAGCCATGCCTCATCGGACATGAAATCATTAAAAAACAAATATATTAATTGACATCAGTCAACGTTTTAGTGAAATGGCAATGTAGAAAAATCGTCGAGCATCTAGCTAAATATAGTACGTATCGAACCACCACTGGGCAGGAGCGTTACGCACACTTGCCCCACAATACCAATAATTGTATTCCGTTCCGGCGAACGGCAAATCATTTCCTAATGGACATAAATCGCCTCAATGATTATGGCTAGCAAATAGAGCTCGCCAGACGTTCCCTACTCCACGGTTTCTGGATTTCTCGTTAATCGTCTCCTATGCCTCGCGTTTCACGGCGCATTGCGCCGGAATCAAACAGTTAGAGCGTTTTAGTTTTCCTCAAAAATATTCCCGATCGCCTGTTTGAATTTAATTCGCAAAATTAAGTGTGGAGGGAAATAACTGAACAAAAAAGAAACTGTTCAAAAGTCATACACCATACGTACCTGGGTGGTACAAAAAGTAAGGAGAGCTGGACATTAATGAAGCCACTAAGGCAAAACCAAGAGAAGGATATAATATCAACAATAACATTGGACAAATAAGAAACATATTTCAAAACACTGCTTTCAGAAAACATGGAACAGGAATTTTAATATAAAATCTATATAATGACACAACAGCTTATCTGAAAGCACGCCAAAAACAAAAGGCCTCAAACGAAGATGCTGTCCCGCTCCTCTATTATGAAAAATATATGTCCACCAAGCAAAAATGGATAATTGACTTAGAATGTATCATTTTTAAAACATAAGGACAATAAGGAGAACATAATAAAACATAAGTACACTGCAACCTTTGAAAGAAATAGTGAAATTTATAAGAGCACTCGCAGTATAGTCTGTCTCAGTCTTCATAGTTTTGGTTTTTGGCAGCAATTATGGAAGTTACCTACCGACGGAAATAAAACTCTGCTCTGGTAGGTAATAAAGGACAGAATATTAGGGTCGGACTCTCAAAGGTTTTCTTAATAAGTTATTTTTTCAATATTCAATTATATTAATTTTAGATAATAAATTCGTAGCTAGGAATATATTATTATTCTAAATGTCCAAATCTCATTCTGTTTCACCATCAGAGTCGTCATTGAGATTAATTATAATAGGATTTATGATGTTTTCTATAGAAATATAAGACTCCTCAAATTTTATAATGTGCTTTACTGAATTATTCTAGCTCTCAATTGGTATGTTATTAATTACATGTTTTATCAAATTTTTAACACTGGTACTTAAAGTATGAGTAATATTTTCTGCTCTGATCGTTGATTTTACTTGATTCTACTAATGTTCTATGGGGTTAAACATGGAATGATACGGAGAAAGACGTAAAATATAAGGTTGTTCGGAAAGTCATTTCGTTTTTTCCCGTCAGAGGACTTAATTACGTTTTTTCGAAACCAACTTCACACTTAAGCCGCATAACCATTATATGTCTTGAGAGCTGATATTGCAAGGCTTGTGTGTGAAAAAGTTCTATTAATTCTACGCAGTAGTTTTTGGTTGGTGCCCTTTTAAATATGGAGAGCAATAAGCAGCATTTTCGTCATATTTTACTTTTTTACTTCAGAAAAGGTAAAAATGCTGTCCAAGCGAGAAAAAAAATGACGGATGTGTATGGAGAAGGCGTGTTAACAGTACGCCAGTGCCAGAACTGGTTTGCAAAATTTCGATCCGGCAATTTTGATGTCGAAGATGCACCACGGTCTGGAAGGCCGGTCGAAGCTGACAAAGATGCGATAAAGGCATTAGTTGATGCAAATCGGCGAATAACCACACGAGAGATAGGTGAGAGATTAAATTTGTCGAATTCGACTGTTTATGGCCATTTGAAAGGCATGGGCTTAACCTCGAAGCTCGATGTGTGGGTGCCCCATGTCCTTACGGAGCGAAACTTGTGTCGTCGCGTTGACGTGTGTGATTCGCTCCTCAAACGTCAAGAAAATGATCCATTTTTGAAGCTGATTATTACTGGGGACGAAAAATGGGTTGTATACAACAATGTTAAACGCAAGAGGTCATGGAGCAGAAAAGATGAACCGGCTCAAAGCGTGTCAAAAGCCAACATTCACCAAAAAAAGGTGATGCTCTCCGTTTGGTGGGATGTCAAAGGAATCGTTTTTTTTTGAGCTTTTGCCGGACAATACAACGATTAATTCAGAAGTCTATTGTCATCAACTGGACAAATTGAATGATTCACTTAAAGAGAATAGGCCCGAATTAATCAACAGGAAGGGTGTAGTGTTCCACCAGGATAATGCGAGACCTCACACAAGTTTGGTCACTCGCCAAAAACTTTTACAGCTTAAATGGGACGTACTGCAACATCCACCATATTCTCCCGATCTGGCGCCTTCCGACTACTATTTGTTCCGGTCAATAGTGATCAGGACCCCGACCCCGACGTGCGCACCCCTGCTTTGTCACTCATTAAGTTATTTGTTAATGGCTTTACCCAATTACAATAGGTAATAACATCGTTCAAATTTTATTAGGGAGGGTCCGTCGAAAGTCAACACGATGAGACAAACTATACTTGATTTTCGACTTTTTTCAAATATTTTAGAAAGCGCAGTATGTCATTAAAATTGGACCGGGTGTTACTTTTAGTTAGTTAAGTTAATGGTTTTCAAAGTGACATTTTATTTTATATGAGTGATATATTTATCGATGAATGGACTACAATGTTTCAGCATCAGCATAAATTTTATGAATATCCTTATGAACATCAGAAATATTTGTTAGTTCGAAACAAAAGTGAATATCATTATTGAAAGAAGACGTAAGTGAGCTATAGCAACTAGCCACTGAAACATTGCTTGACTAATTTATATTATACTACAATCACCAAAAATGTATTACGTACACACACTAAATAACTGGTCAGTACACCAACATAAAACTTCTAAGATAACAATAACAATAATAATAACATGTACACAAACTAAAATTGAACTGAGGTGGCTTTTACTTGATGAAAATCCATTTATCAAAATAAATAAGAACTAAAAGTTCAGATTTTCACGAAATTATATATTATGACATGACAATTGTTTCGACAACACCGTATCTTTATCAAATGTATAATCTAAACTAAAATATATAAAGATGGAAATCGAAGACAAGGAACGGGTGACACAACCAGGGAATATTAATCTTAAGTACCCAACTATATGACCAATAAATAATATTCCATGACAGTACGTAAATGACAATATCCCAGATAAATATACTTGTTTATTAACTGTACATTACCCTACGAATAATCGATTTTTTTGTGATGTTTTGAAATCCATTTGAAGAAACCGATTATTTTCGGAATCTAAAACTAATTAATGGAAAATGTGCAACCTGCCATATTGAAACAGCAAATCATAAACCCCATTTAATTTACACATAATTGGCGTGATGTCTTTTAAAATAAGATCTACGAGTCCTGCCATAAATTTATTACTAATTTTTTGACTTTCTATAATACACTTTTTTGTAATCGTGCTAGGCTTAAATTCTTAGAGCGTATACTTTGGTCCTTCTTCTATAGGCGCGTAACCGAAAAGTAGATTATAGGTGGTACCTTTTACCGCCAGGAACGTATTAAGTGAGAAGAGTGAAAAACTAATAAAATTAATTAATTCATAGATTAACCTCCGTGACCTCTACTTTCGATAGATAATTTAGTTTCCTTAGAGCACCGTAGGGTTAAAAAACATAAAAAAGTAAATTTTTCAAAAAAAAAAACAACTATTCCCTTCCTAGTGGAAGTTCCGCATTTTCTTGTTTTATCACTTACGTTCCGTCGCCACGACGCGAATAACGTTTACAGAAATTAGGTTAATTCGAGGGACATTTTGCATTTAATCGTTCAATTAGGTGTCTCGACCTTTGCTAAGCCCTCCCGCGCATTTTTCTATTTCGTGTGACTCACCGGTCCACTCAATTAGGTTTGGAATATTTTGCCGTCTCAGTGTATAAAAGTGTTTTAGGTGTGCAAGTGAACTGAAATTTACTTTTGTGTTGGAATTAAAAATTACAGCGACGATGAAAAATGGGTACGCATATACAGAGTGTTTTGTAATTGAATGTCAATAATTTGGGTTCGATTTTTGGGTTAATTTTAATGAAATATGGCACACTTGTACTATGTATTAAAATGTATTATTTAGTGAACCATAATTCTTTTTAAATATGCCAGTGGCTGGCGTATGCAATTCTATTTTGGTACGCCACTGAAAATAAAAATTATTCTTACAATCTCCGATCATTTTACTTTTTACTTTACAACTTTACCACCCTGTATCTGAAAAGTTTAGACGTTTAGAACATATGTACATATGAAGTTTTCTTTTTAAAATGGACCCAAAAATCGTCCCCTTAATTATTGACATTCAATTAGAAAACACCTTGAATTGTTGAATTGACTTTCCTAACTCAAAATGCATAAAGCGGTCCGTTTATTATGTATTGACAAGAAAAAAATACCAAAAAATTTTTAAATAGTTTGGATCCAATTTTAAAACACTGTATTGTTATGGATATACAGGGTGTTTGTATTTCGTGGACCATTTCATACACAGAAGTTCAAACGAATGCGGGAAACTTAAGGGGGTGATTCTTTGTTTGAAGTAAAGGGCAGTTTGCTGCATAAACGTTGGCTCAAAAGCCAACCATTAGCGAGACATCGCTCTACAAATATGCCGGACAGTATTATTTTCAAAAACACACTTTCTGTATATTTTTAATTTTTGTAAAATGACTTCTTAACTAAATTTCAGGAACAAAGATATTTTAAATTTGAAATGTTTTAACTAGCAAATTTACAAAAAAGAACAATATCGATTTTTAAAGAGAATTCGATGCCCTACAAAAATGTTTTTTTATGAAGTGTTATTTTAAAGTTGTCCACGATTCAATTTGCTAAGGCCAAAATGAATACTTTACTAGTTTTTCGGATTTTAGGACATCCTGCAAAAATTCGAATGTTCCCAAGAAGGAAATCTTTATAAAATCAGTAGTCAGTCTTATTACGATAGTAATCTGATACAAAATCGTTAATTACAGTGATCTTCTGCCAACCGAGATACCCAGCAATGACCACTGGTGGAAAAAGACCAAGACATTTTACAAGAAAATTATATGGTGCGTTTTGTGCGTGCTATGTGCAACAGTGATAATTGTCGGTGCATACTATGTCATTTGGAAAGGTAATTTCAAGGATTACAGAAATCTAATATGTACAGGGCGTCACTTTCTTGAACACTTTTCCGACGTATCTAGCTTATCTTTGAGGACAGAAAGATACTATTTAGAAATCTTCTGACGCATTAAAGATTAAGATTGTTTGGTAGTTTAGAGACTTCTGTGGATTCTCGGATTTTTCTTTGCTAGAATAATTGATTGATGCTAGTGATTCGGATTGATACCAATCAGAATCTAACGAGTCATATCAATTTTAAATGACAAAAAAATCACATAAATTTTAAGAAAAATTTACATGAACCAAGGCAGCTGAAGAAGTAATATTGTTATCCCATATAGACTTTCTTTATTTTTGATATGCACTCTTTGCTCTGTTTTCCTTAGAAAATAAAGTTAACCAAAACGCTTTAACGTCTATTATGCCTTGGCGATATTAGAATTGTTATGGTCGCATGACAAATAGTAAATTGGAGATACTTAATAGGGCTAACTTCTCGGAATTAATAACAAAATATGTATATACTGCGGTAGGTGGGTTCCAAACACATTTAAAAGCAATTCGTTGGGCAATGCTTGGTGAAGAAGAAATTTTCGACGCTAATGTATTACGAAAATTAATATATATATTATTTTAAGGAGAAACCAGTTGGATCCGTTCAGGGACAAATTTTTTAAAACTGTGATGAAGAATTAAAAACGAAATACTTAAAATTCCAAAGTCAAGTTAAAGCATTGTATCACCTTGACTTTTGTGCTCCAAAAACTTCAGTATTAAATATAAACAGAGTCATCTACCTTGTCTATACATCGTGTTTTCAAATTAAATGTCAACAATTCATTTTAAACAGAAAACTTCATATGAACATATGCCCTAAACGTCTAAACTTTTGAGAGACAAGATGGTAAAGTTCTCAAAAATAAAATACATTTTTTAATATCTGTAATACCATTTTAGACATTTTTATAAAATTTGGCACCCATGTACTATGTATCAAGAGGCATTATTTAGCGGACATATGGAATTTAACCTGTATATTTTGGTTGACATTGAATTCTCTTAAAACAAAAATTATTCTTACAATTTCCAATCACTTCTAAATAAATTTGATTTCACTATTTTTTTCAATCCGATGTACGGTTTTCGCTTAAAAAAATAGGAAGGGACGTCCTGTACAGACTCGTATCGCCGTACAAATGATCGATGTCCCTATTTGTAGATCATTTCTCGCTGTGCGAAAATTCGAAGTGCGAAAAAATATCGGCCGAAATTATCGGTTACATAGACGAAACAATTCGACCATGCGATGACTTTTACCAATTCGCTTGTGGTGGGTTTCTCAGGAAAGCAGCAACCGAAGATGTAAGATCGCTGAAATCGATCAAACAGAATATGGAGGAAAAAATACTAATGGATATACGGTAAACAATTATTATTCACTTAATCTTTGTTATTAAATTAAACTAATGTTAAAGGTGTATTTATTAGACTGGGCCAAAAAAAGGGAATTTTTTCTGATAAATATCAGTATTTGTGTTTTCTTACTTTGATCCTCCTGTTCTGATTATTTATATTTATGTAGAAAATTCACTTTTCTATATAAAAGGGCTCTGATCGCAAAATTTTCAATTTAAAAAAAATTAATTTTTTTTTTTCATTTTAAAATTTTATAACTAACAAACAGCCCAATATACGAAACTTATTTACAAGCTATACTGTTATATACTGTTTTTTACCCAACTTTCTCCACTAAAAATAACGATTATGTTATACTGTTGAAAATTATTTATTAAAAATATTTTACATATTAGTATACAGTATTTCATTTTTCTAGTAATTATATTTAATAGTAAAGCACTATAATTGTTATTTTTAGTAATTGTCTTGATGATATAATAATTTTCGATGATGCAGAATACGAATTTGATCCCCTGAGTTGAAAAAAAAGGGGTGAAAACGAAAAAAAAACACAATTTTTTATTCAAGTTCGATAGTGAATAACGATAGTCAATCTTGTTTCAAAGGCATTAGATGTGTGGTGTTCGTTGATCTGAGAATGGCTTTTGATGTTATTAAATAAACTAAAAAATTTAGAAATTACTGGTGTGATGCTTAATTTAGTTAAAACCTGTATTGAGACTAGAAATCAATTTGTCAAATGTTATAATGTTAAAAGGGATACATGCTCAAATTCCTCTTGAGTGCTGCTGTCTCGAGGGTTCTCTTGAACTCCCTATATGACTCAAATATAAAAGTTGCCAGTCTCAAAGCACGCTATTTTACTTTCGCCGCTGGCACTGCTTTAGCCTGATACAGACGAAAATGTTCTATGTGGAGAGATTACGTCAGGAAATATGAGGTTTTATAGTAATAAATATATAATGAAGGAAACAAATTCAAATCACGAGCATGTCAATACAAATGTATAAGTTCGTACAAATGTAGACATTATTTATCGAAAAGGACCTACAATCCTACTTTAACGTCTCACTTCTATTTCCCATATCGGGACATTGAAGCAAAATAAATTTGCAAAGGATGCAAGTGTTACAAAGCCAAATAGTAAAAATAGGCTACAGACAAAGAACTAGATATCTTTAAGCTGAGTTCATTTCTGCAAATTAATTTTAAAAGTAGTAAGTAATTAACAAAAATCTTATCTGACAATTTTCCCCAATCAGATGTATAATTCTGACACGAGAAACTGATTAACACAACAACCAATTTGGCAAAATCCTGTTGTCAATGCATCAAGAGCTTTTAATGATTTACTAAGAGGTGTGAACTTTTCCAATAAGTCCAGCTTCTTTGTTAAAAAATTCAAAACATTTTTTTTTAGTATGTATTATATTTATATCCACAATGCAACTTATGCAAACATAGTTTTGGTTAGTAGAGATCTTTGTTATAACACCCACATTGTAAATGTACATATCTTATAAAAAAATATTAAGGGACCGTTTTTGTGGAGAATTAAAAATGAATTTTGCATATTCAGATAACTATTTTTCCCTCAATCGCGACATCTATTGACCGGCGGCTCAGCAAGTAATAGACATCTTCGAAAAAAGATCGTTAATTCAGGGCGTTCTAAAGGGTTCCTAGTTTGTATGTGTGTTCCGAAACGTTGACAGAGAGCGACAGAGTGAGATTATCCACCGGAAAGTCACTTTTTGTATGGCGTTATGTGGATAACTTTTAAATCATTAATAACTCGATTTTATTTAGTCATTAATTTATTTTTTCTTTAATTGAACAACTACTGCCAACATTGAATGTTCAAAAAGTATTTTTTTGGTAGTTTATATATATAATATATAAACAATAATAATAATATAAACAATATTTCAAAGCTTGATTTTATACGTATTTATTATTTTACTATTATTATTATTATTTAACTCGAACTCGAAATATTTTAAGATATTATAATGTAACGTTAAAAACACTATTTTAAGATTTTAAGCAGTGGATGCACAAGGACAATGGTAAAGACAAGTGAAAACTTTAGTCACTTAGTTAAGATTAAATGCGGTTTGAAAAGTGCAAGAAATTCGACTGGTTAGTCATAATCGCAGACGATTCTGGAATTTTTTATAAAAAATCTCTGAACATTTTCATCCAAGAAGTCGGACAAAGTTTTTTCGATTTAACTTTTTCATTTTGGAATTTGCCAACTATGCAAAAAAGTATAAAGTTTTTTATTTAAGTGGAAAAATGAAAACTTTGTTTTTCTTTCGTTTTTCATCCAATTTTCTCCATTCAATGGATGGTTTACATTTTTTTGCATCATCGAAAATTAATATATCATCGATGCAGGCATTAAAATTAATTTTTGAAATAACAATTATTTCTTTACAATATTTTACACGTTGGCATAATATTGTATTTGTTAATATGTTATTTATTATGTTAATTTGTTATATGTATTTGTAACTTGCCTCCCCTGTTCCTTAGTTTGTTTCACTATTGTAATAAATAATTTTCAATAGTAAAACACTGCAATTGTTATTTTTAAAATTATTTTAAGTGATTTTATGGTTGCAAAGCTTAACTTATATTAATAACGTTAAAATTGATGCCCTGTCAAATTCAACGGCGGTGCAAGGTTCAGAGTTGGGGCCTCTGTTGTACTCCCTATATGTCTTAAATTAATATGTTCTATGTCGAAAAGCCAGCAGAATGACGTCAGTAAATATGTAGATTGGTTTTATGGTATTTAAGCGAGAAAATAAACACAAATTACGAGCATGTAAATACTATAGATAATAAAATTGTACTTATGATCACTGCAATATTTAAATGTGGACGTTATTTGTCGAGAAAGACTAAACGGCGAACTTGTAGCAAAACCAATGCGCAAAGGGTGCAAATGCAAAACAAAATAGTAAAAAAAAATATGTTGTGAGTATCACAGACTAACTAATACAACTAGGCTATACAAAGAACTAAATATTTTTCATTTAAGTTTATTTATGTAAATCGTAAAATTTAAATTAATATTCTAGTATTAAATAACGAACCAAAGTTTAATGTATCAATAATTTCATTTAATCACGTGCAAAGCTATGAGAGGTGAATTATAACATTATATATCAGATTAACGCAAGAACCAATGTGGTACTGCAGAATCCTGTTTTGAATGCATCAAGACCTTATAATGATTTACCAAAGGGTGTAAAATCTGCAAATAAATTGAGTTTCTTTGTTTAAACACATAAAAACCATATTCTTGGTATACAGACATGTTAGCAGTTTATTTATCTATTTATACTCACACTGTAACTTATTGAAAAAAAAAACCTTTATGCTCAGAATTAAATTGTATGATCAGATAATTATTTCTACCTCAATCGCGACATCTAGGGATTGGCGACTGAACAAGTAACAGAAAAAAAAATCGATAATTATGGGCGTTCTAAAGGGCTCGCGGTTTGCATGTTTGTTGCCAAGCGTCGATAGAGAGCGGCAGAGTATCAGACATCCACCCTTGATATTTCTAAGTATAATTATAATAATAATATTTATACACATACATGGTTTGTAGCAGGCGCTATACGTACATAACACAAATCAGGCGGATTTGTTTTTAAAATATTAAAACATTTCGACATTCAACAAAATTAAAAACTACAAAAAATTGTATAATCACACGCCATTAACTACATTAACAATTCTCGGATCCAATACTTAATATGTTCCTTTTTATAATGTGTATTTTATTTGTTGTTATAATTTTTTTTAAAAGGTGTCGTAAAATATTCGTCCATTTTCGTTAATGAAATTGAATCAATAATTGGTCTCTAAATAATAATTTGCAAACAAATACAGCCAAGTACAACTATCATAAGTGTAGCTGCGAAATATGACGATCATTTTTTTAATAAAACTCTCTCCCATTCTAATACTTTTTGTGACTTGGGAGTAATATTCGACTCGACAAATTACCCTTGGTTCTTCGTTTTAATTTATAGTACACTAGAGGCTTCAAAAATAAAGAAGTTTTTGAAATATATATGGTATAAGTTGGACGGAATATACCCCCACAAGGCTTTGCGCATACAATATTATTAAATAGATTTGGTCCTATGTCTCTTAGTGGTCGCCATGATTACCATTACTAAATGGCTTTATTTAAAATTTTAAATAACTTGTTTGATTGCTCTGATCTATTATATAGACTAAATTTTTTTGGTCCCCGTATTAACTGTGGATATAGTAACACATTCTTTCTGTCCGCGCCAAGAAAACATATTTATTAAAATTCAGCTAGTTAATGCTTGTGTTAATTTGCTTAATATCATCATTCCTTGCAACCCTTCTGTGACTATCTAATAATTTGTACTGCAACTTACATGTTAGTTGGGCTTAATGCTTTTTAGGTAGAATTATATAAATAAATTAAGAAATATTGAGGGAATCTATGTAAAATAAACGTTATTTGCTTTGTTCCCTTAGGTCCTATTTATGTAGGTAAAGTCTGTTCATAGATATAAGAAAGTGATTAACTGATACGAATTAAGGAAAGATCCGGGCAAGCTGTAAGAATGAAATATGGCCGAACAGGTCCGTACTTTGCTTAGAATTTAATTATTTGGGGTTTTGTTAGGAAAGATACTAAACAATGTTTATTTATTCATGTATGTATTTATGTTATGTAATTATGTTATGTAAATCTAAAATAAAATTACAAATTATTCGCATAATATATCAGTATCACTATCGCTATCATCGCCTGTTCTAATTATTATTTGTTCTATATTATTTGCAATATGGATATACGATTGTTCTGCTTTTTGTATATGTTTAACAGAATTTGCCCAACTTTGTGGAGGGATGTTAAAAACTTCGGTTTTTATAAGTTTGAGGACATTGGAGTTAACACGGGCAAAAACACTATTACGACGAATGACAGATTTCAGTTGGTGCCAAACAATGGGATTAAATATACAGTGGTAAGGTGGAAGCCTTAAAACTGTATGCCCTAGATTTTTTGCATAATTATCACAGATGTATTCCTTTTGTAGGTTCAAGCTTTGTAGAACCTCAATTAATTGCTTTTTAGTATTATCTTCGTGGAAATAAATGTCGTTATTATACATGTAGTTTTGGATTGTTGCTTTTCTGTCACATGAGGAAGGGGTTTTAGTCAACTGTCTACTGTGATAACTTGCATTTTCCATTACAATGACGCTATTAGAGGAATGTTTGGAAATAGTTTGTTTTTAAACCTACTTTCAAATAAATCAGCGGTGGTCTCTTCATGGTAATCCAGAGAAGAATCTTTCATATTTTTAGCAGACGGAGAAAGTCCATTTGGATTCCAACCATCTGTAGAGCCAGCATGCAAAATAGTTATTCTTTTACCTCTTTTTGATGGCGCGTTTGTTTTACACTTATCAGTTGAGTTAAGCCAACCCTTTTCCTGAGTATCATAAGTGTCTAACCAGGTTTCATCCAAGTAAATAATTGGCCTTTGTTGTTCACTGTAAATCCTAATTTTTTCTAGATTCTCCAGTCGCAATTTTCGAATTCTAAAAGATTCTATTAAAACTTGCCTTTTGTCAATTTTTTTAAATCTAAAACCTATGTGTTGATTACACTTCCATAAGGTATTTCTGCTACATTTAACACCAGTTTCATCTTTTCCAAGCCTCCTAATTAAGATATCTAATGTAGGCACGCTTTGTTCCTCGTATAACTGGTAAATTTTACGCCGTATTATATCTTGGTCACTTTCATCTACACAATTTTCCATACAGTTGATGTTGGAATTTTGATCAATGTGGCCGTTTCTTCTAAAGATGCTTGCTTGCTGGCACCGCGTTCAATAAGAGTCAAATAAACATTCTTTATAACTTCCTTAGTCCCAATAGAATAGTGTTTTCGCATAATTCGCACACGATCCAACACACGAAATAAGAATGATTACTAATAAACTTAAACTAAGTAGTATACCAAACCAAAGAATATTAAACACAGGTAGGTATAAAATTATTTTCTATTACGGATCACACTTTTACCTGAATTTAAATTCCGAAACTTTAGGTAATAATCTTGTTGCATTATATGTTAATGACCACCCTTGGATAATCCCATTCAAAAGCAATTGGTAACTTTCTTATACCTATGAACAAACCATACACATATTTTGTATTTCTCCTCGATCGGGTGTTGAAATTAAAGATGCTGAAGACTACTCTGAAGGAGAAATACAGGAAATGTGTACACAGCATGCGGAAGTTTCTTTTGACGAGCAGATTTTTTCTCCTATAGGGATATGTTGGAGGAACCAATAAACGGAGACGATTTACAGTCTTTCAATTTGGCTAAAAAATTTTACAAAGGGTGCACGAAAAGCGGGGCGACGAACGAAGAGGGCCTTCGAAAAATGGAACTAATTTTTAAAGAAATGGGTGGGTGGCCCGCGATGGAGGGCGACGGCTGGAATACCAACTGGTTTGGTTGGATCGCGGCCGTCAGGAATCTAAGGAACTACGGAGCGAATTTTAACTTCTTTTTCGACGTCAACGTTGACGTGGACAAACGTAATTTCGATAAGTATATCCTAGTGGTAAGCGCACATCAAACTTTCTCTTATTTCGAATTTATTTCTAATTGCCTTCAAAAATATAGGGTGTTCTCGGTGAAAAAAAAAAGATATGCTCATTATTTTTGTGTATTGCAAAGTACAAGAAGCTAAAGCCAAAATTTCGATTCTAAAATCCAGTTTTCGCTTAAATTTGGACAAAGTGGAATCATAATTATTTCCCCATAATTTTAACAATAGCCCTTTATTTTTTGACAAAATTATATTGTATGTGGGCGTTGAAATGCGAAATCCATTTTCCATAAATGGAGATCCAAAATATTTATATAGTGGTTTATCTTATCACAATTGAAAAGTGTGCAAAACCGTCACACCTCATTTTGGAACGACGTTCTGTGTGCTGGAAACAAACAGCCTTTTTTAATAAAATTCTGACATTTTGCTATACGTCGGTAGCCGAAGAAAATTTTATAATAATTTACTAAAAAAAAAGGCATGTTTTATACTATTTACAAATCTTCTGGATTGTTCCTGAGTGGGTTGTTTATAAATCAAACTTGCTGCGGTTCTACCAACGTTCTCCTGCCAACCAAAAATCCTAGAATCTATAGAAATCTATAAGCAACCAAACATTCTTAACCGCTACTCGCCAATATCTCCTTTAGCTCCACCCTCCTCAAACAATATATAAACAGATACAGAGTAGAATAGTATTACCTTCTTTTTGTGAAAAAAAAAATTAACATGCCTTTATGGAGAGGACATCGAGGGCAAAACCAGAAAGTTAGAAGTTCACCGACGGAAACTGGTAAGATTACTCTGTCACTGATTTTTTTTGTTACGTTGTAGAGACCATGACGTCATCCCTAATTTTCTTAAAATATCCCATCATGTCAAAACTTCACGTCCTACTAAAATTCTTCGTAAAATATAGTTTTGATCTACTTCGACATGTAATTCATGATACGTAATAAATAGACCAAATTAATAAGGCTCTTCTCTCTCTACATCCTGAACTTGCTTCCATCTTGTCCCCATCCGTGCTACCCTTTCAATCATGATTTATGACAAAGCTGACAATCTTTCCCAGGTAGCAGTCACAAGTGGTCGCTACTAGTCAGTAGTTTGAAAAACACGTCAAATTGACGTCAAAAAAGGGTGTCTTATTAATATCACAAAAAAACCTCCTAAGGTCGTCAAAAAATAACTTGATTAATTCCAGATATGGACTTTAAACTTAATAATTAATTTGAACTATCAAATTGTTCTATTTAAAACCATGATGTAGAAGAATATATCTAGAGGGTGTCCAAATCGTTTTCGTTAGTTGATTTGACTGAGACTGGCTCGCATTTTACTCTGTACCTGCTTATATATTGTTTGAGGGAGGCGGAGCTAAATGATAGGAATAAACACCGTCTCGGATGACTGATTACCATATTGCTGACAGATAAAGACCTGACTCGCGGTTAAGATTGTTAGGTTGTTTATAAGTTTCGTCCAGTCTCTCCAATGTATGCTTTGCCGCATATGCAAGGAATGCTGTAAATTTCTGAATGCTGTAAGTTTTGTCTTTGACCGGCCGAAGATGTTGAGAGATTTTTGGGCAAGTGGTAAATCTGGTTTTAACATTATGCTTCTTTAGAGCTTTTGATATGTGGTCAGTTATGTTTTAAATGTAAGAAAGGACCACAATGGCAAATGTTGGATTACTTTCGGCTTCATTGCTAGTGGAAGGTTGTGGTGAAGTTTATTTTTTGATGGAACGCTTAATATCTTTAATGTGGAAATTATTAGAGAGAAGAGCAGAAGTAAGTTGTTTTAATTCTGGGTTCAGCGACTCAGGCTGAGAAAGTTTTACTGCTCTGTAAACAAGAAAGTTGATGATTTTCTATTGTTAAGAATATCTAAGAATGGAAGGTTATTATTAGTTTCTAACTCAATGGCAAAACGTATGTTAGGGTGTATAGAGTTTAAATGTCTAATAAAATCCACTAGGGTTTCTTGACCATGAGGCCAAATAACAAAAGTTGCGTTTCCATAATTTTGGTTTTAGATGAAAGGCTTCGAGAACTATGACTGGGGATAGTGGAGAACTCATAGCTGTTCCGGGTGTTTGTTCAAAAATTTGACAATTATTAGAAAAATATGTTACAGACAAGCATTTTTGCAATCCTAGATTTAGAGCCTATAGAAGAGAGTCTATAGAAATCTATACACAATCTAATAATCTTAACCGCGACTCAGGTCGTTATCTGTCACCAATATGGGAATCAGTTATCCGAGATGGTGTTTATGAGTTTTAAGTTTTGTAAAAAGTGTCATTTTTTTTTTTTGAGAAAAATATTAAATACAAATCTTATAGGACGAGACTGAAAGGAACAATTTAAATTATTTTTAAATACTCCCTTTTATACTCAATAACCCAGTGTAGGGTTGTTATGGTCTATACTGAGTGTCTTCCGATTTATGGTCATTTTCTCGTTAAAAATACGCTGTGTTTATTACCCTATATCCTACACTTGTCTTGTAGGTAGTTCTAATGGTTTATACAGGGTAAAAAATGAAAAATATTAATTTTTGTGAAAAAATCATTTGGAAGACCCTACAGATTATACCTGCGTTATTAATTTTTTAAAAAGAAATGCTCATCTTTATTCATTACCTATAATTCTCGATTTTCCGCAACCGCAAAAGACATTCTTTGCAATTTAAAGCAGCAGTTTCTGTGTGATTCACTTTCGCTTTTCCCCACTGCAAAAAGGGAAAACTAATTTGAAAATCGTCATATTTTTCGGCAGTAAAGACCACTCAAGTGACAAATATTGACGACACTAAATGACATCATTCGTCTGAGTCATTAGTAGACCTGCTGATATCATATATAACGGCATTTTGGTTATTTGGCTGGGTCGTTTATCTTCTACCCAGAATCATATTCAAAAATTTCAAGAATTACACAAATGAAACCATCAAACTCTGTGAAAGGTATCATCGAGTAAAAGAGAAGAATGCGAACCAGTTGCATTTTAGCTCTGAAGGAGCCAACATGATGACCGACGAAACGTCAACAAGTTTGATGTACAAGGAACACAAGAGGAAGGCAGAAGAATTATAAATAGTATTAGAGTAGCCTATGGAAGTTTCTTTGAAATTTTCCAAAAGTCGTATTTTTAAGATTTTTAAGATAAAGAGCATTGCACAGATTGTTAATTTGAATAACTATCAATTATTAAGTATCAAGTTTTATATTGCCCAATATGCAAAGCATTGATATGTGTAAATATCAACAGAGAAAAGAAACTTCAGTTCGATAGTTCAATAGAAGAGTTAAATTTCTATTTCGTTAAAATTTACAGACTACTTTTTTTTTCATTCAGTGGTCGTTCCTTTTCATACTTTTGATTTCAACTACTCGACGATAAATTTTACATGTAAGCACATATTTCTTTTCAAGCGTTGATATATTTTTCCCATGTTAAATTTCAAATATACTGCGATTCATCAAAATTATTTATTTAGTTATTTACAAAAGTCATTTATTTATTTATCAAAATTAACTGTGTTAATCCATTTTAGCATTTAAAAGGCTCAGAAGCTGATGATTTTTTCATATAATTCCCTATGAGTATTGAAAAAAAAAGGATGTAGTAAAGAAATCCATACTGAGAAAAAGGTTTTTTGGTGTGTTTTGTCTTTAAAATGATGTTTTTAATTATTCATTTATTATGCATGGTAAATTTGGTATTCCCTCTATATAAAATCAAAAGAATATTTTCTCAAGTTTAATTCTAAAAAATTGAACCTAGTTGATATATCATATCCTTAAAATTTAAATGAATTTCACATTTCAACGACCGTACAATAAGCAAAATTCTCCCATAAGAATTTTGTCGAAAAAGTAAGGTTTTTATTTAGTTATTAATGATAGGATGCTCTAATGAGTTTCATTAGTTAATTAGCACCCTATATATTGAAGCGCATTTGATGTAATCTATGCAGCAACAGATCTACATTTCAGATAAAAGATAAATTCCTCGGTTCTTCGTCAATCAGCCCCAATAACAAAAACGATTATCTAAAATACATGGTAGACGTGGCTTCACAGTTTTACATCAAGTCCAACAACCTCACCAAGGAAATGGACGACACTCTTAATTTTATTTTGAAATTGGCACGGGTAAGCAAGCAGTAAAAAAAATCGCTACCTGTCTTTGTCAAGTGAAATTACTACTGAAGATGTTCAGATTTTCGCAAATTTTTAATTGGTGTATGACTGCTGTTTCGGCAAGATCAACGCATCACATATAGAAAAGTTGGTAATAAATTCCTTAATTACAGTTATTATTGTCTTCTTTATATTGAGCCGTATAGCATCCACTTCTGGACAAAGGGCTCCTATAAGTTTTTTCATATTTCCAGCGTTCTCCTATGTATTTTATTGTTTTAAAAACTTCGGGTTTGGAGTTTAATATGGTAAAAATGAATTTCAGAGTCATTTGAAACTATTTTTTAATTATGTTCCTATCACAGAGGGATCACAACCGTTGTTAAAAGCTGCTTGTTTTATAATATTTTATGAGCGAATTATACTACCAAGATATAAATAATTCTTATAACATAAAAAATACGCAAAAGGGAAATTTGATTACGAATAAGTGTAAAAAACAAATAGGGAAAATGTCTTATACATTTTTGCGTATCTATGAGCCTCGAAGCAATAAATAACTTAATAAATATAAATACATAAATATAAAAAGTAAACGAATTATCAGAAAAAAAATATATAAGAGTAGATAGCAAAAGAAAGTAAAGAATTTCAAAAACAAAAAGCTTAAGGTTTTCATGTGAGTTTTATTTCTTATAAATATCAAAATTAAAGTAAAATTTGATTGTTTTAAAATTTTCATATTGTATAGGTTAGACTGTATTTTACATATTTATATAAAAATTTATATTAGAGTCATCAGTCACTTTCAACAATATGTGGCAGGGTAAGGTTAATTTTTATCGCTTTGAACGTGGCGGATTTTTTTTATTCATAAATTTACTGTCTACTGAATGCACATTTATCATTATTGTTATTAGAAATATTCATCAAAAAAAAAAAGACAGCCATTTTGTGTGTGTAAGGATGATTTGAATTACTTTGTATTACTGTGTCCGTATGTGGGAGTTTATGATAAATGGAAGTTAAATTCAGAATTAAGTTTAAACATTTTTATTTTTTCATCCCTTCAGGTGGAAATGGCAATAGTGGGCATTCAGTTCCAGTGAAACAGTGAAACCGTCACTCATATATCTGCACCACCAAAGAAACTTTTCTTGAAAGGATGTTCATGTATAATATTTCTCATAATTAATCTTTCTTTAGAAATATCTTTTAAACTATAGTTAAACTCAAACCAATTTCGATCTAAACAAATTATTATTCAACGATCTATTAAAAGAAAAGAAACTGAAATAGCATTAAGGTGAATTGTCTTTGTGCGCACTTTTTTAGATAGCAGAGGAATCAAGAGGATACAATGACACTAATTCGTACAGCCTTTTCACAATATCCGAACTACAGTACGCCAACCCTAGCATCCCCTGGTTCAATTTTATACAGGGCGTATTGGGAGAAGCCGCTTCGCTTAATTATAACGATCTCGTGGCAGTGTCCAATCCATCGTACTTGAGGAAGTTAGAAGGACTATTACTAAAAACCAATAACAGGTAAATTGCGTTTCAAAATAGTTCTTCTTTTGTCGCAACGTTATTTATGAAAGAAGTTGGTAGAACTTACATCAGTGTCTTCGAATGAGTTTGTTCTGCTATCGGAGTTTTGATTGCATTCACGATAGAAGTAATATGTAGCTAGCTCTAGGTGATTGGCTTTTTCGTTACCTTTAAGTCCACTACGCCCTGGTATCCAGTATCAGTGTAACCTTATTACGCACACTGCCATGGATATCGCCTCTTGGCAGTTTACTACTCTCTTAGAGTTGCTCAAGTTGCTTCCTTCCAGCATCCTGGAGCAGATCTCAATCGCGTACACTTCGAATACGCCATAATTTATGTAAAGACCGATAAATACTTCCGTCCTTTGATGCCCAACGCATTCATGAGTTTTGGAGACGGCGTTTAGCCAATGATGCCCAGCTCCCATGGGGCAGTTTTACATTGAGCTCATTCATGCTTATGTTAAGCTGTAATGCTATGCTTCTTCATTTTGCAAAACAGCACGGATACATTCTTATGTAGTTAAACTGTGTTTTACATCGAAATACTCATAAGGTTGTAGTTTTTGTGGCTCTTTCATTTTTATACTACCCATTAATTTTGCAGGTTTAAACTAAAGTTATTTACGTTTTTTAGAACGTTAGCCAACTTTATAGCTTGGCAATCTCTTCACCATCTGATCAACTATCTGCCTTCCGCGATTCTAAACAAGGCATACGATTACATGGACAAAGTAAATGGCGTATTCGACAGACCCGAAAGATGGCATGTTTGTGTGCAAGTAACAAGACAAAAGTAGGTACACACAAACTAAGCTTATTTAAGATTCTGAGCTGTTTCATAGGGACTTTTAATTAATATGTCCAAAACACGTTGCGAGCAAAATTTGAAATTGTAAGGTTTTATTAATTTTGGTATACTGGGACTATAATTATAAATATTAAGTTTTGGCAAGGGGCGTAACTTTTGAGGGGTACAGATTAAAAAAAATAATTTTTTAATAGGTCGACTTTTAGTTTTTGGCTTATAAAATCCGAAAAGCTGTGTTCTTTGACTAGAAAAATACATTATTGGATACGTAGAGAAATAACCCAACACATTTGCACACAACGATCCAAAGTTTTTGACTTCTTCTTAACTACACATGCTGATGGCTTTTAGCTTTATAATAATCAAAGCATACAAAGTATATTCGAGAAAAAAAAGGCTTTATGGGATAACGAGAAACTAACTGCAGGGCACTTAAAATCGCGAATCCAAAAAAAAAAATATAAAAGTAAACCTAAAGAATTCGTAGCGATTATATTATTCGCAATGTTATTATATTATTTTATACAGATATAGATAGAAGGTTGTCCAAGATTGAACAATAAGAATAAGGAACTTTGTAAACAAGTCAATCAAACAGTCAATTTTTCAACACCACTTACATCTCTTGGAAGCAAAATTAACATAAAACTGTTAGTCAAGTAGTAGTTAATAGTAACAAGTATTTTTATTAATACCTTTTCAAAAAAACTTCTAGAGGCTCCTGTAATACTCTTTACAAATCTTGCCCCTTCCTTTTCTTATAAAACAATAAAAAGTGTCATAAAAGGTAATGTTTTGTTATAAACATCTTATGAATATCCTTTACCTAATGACCTACGGTTTAGTAACTATTACTTAACGCTGTATCGATAATTCCAAAATGTCTATATTTACTCTCATCTAGGCTTAGCCCACAGATAAACTTAGGCTATATCGAACGATACTTTGACGACCGCACGCAAAGTCACGTGACGGACCTCATCAGAAATATCAAATATCAGTTCAGAAAGAATATCTTGGAGAGGAATTGGCTCGATAACGAAACGAAGGAGAGACTGCTATTAACGTTGTTATCCAGTGCCGAGAAGATATTTTCGGTTTATGATTTGGAACAAATATTTATGGAAGACAACGCCTATCGTGACGTAAGTAACGAGGGTCTCCGATAAATTTTCAGCTGCTTTCTACAATTTACTAACTTCAATCATCACACGTGCAACAAGATATTTGGCGAGGCAAGAATGTACAGGGTGTCTGAAATAAAGTTCCCTACCTCCTTAACTCAGAAAGTGCGAACGAAAGTAAAATAGTTGTATAGTTTAATCCGCTAGTTAATACCAGATTTTTTTTTCAAATAAAACACCTCGTACATTTTGAATTCTTGGATTCTCCGGGGAATATTAGATATGTTTCACCAAAAACTAACCGTTTTCGACAAATCTTGATTTTTTTGCAGATGACCTCGCATTTTATAAATTAAAACTTACGAATCATAAATTTCGTGGCTTTTTCTAATATTTGATATCAGATAAATGAATCCATCCATGATTATCAAATAATTATGCTTAAAATTTTTAAACATTTTCATTTACAAAGTTCGCTTAAAGTTGGCATAGCTAATTTTTTCGAACCATAGACAAATATTTTAAAAGTCGGCGACATACACCTATAAGCCAAATAACATTTCGCAAAACCTTGCGTGGCAGTTTCCCATTCGAGGCACATTGTAAAACTACAGTTTTGAGAATGCCCGGAAAGTGAAATACAAATTAAATCCACTTTTCTGGTGTTTAATTTGACTAAAGAACTAAATAGAGAATTGTTTAAATAAGTATTTCTTTGGTTTGAACTAAAAAATCTCTTATTTGTATTTCGGACGCGACCAGGAGAATTTTACAGAAATAAAACACTATTATATAAGGTTTTACCTGTATTGATTTCAAATTTCAAAAAAAAAGTTGAAAATGTGTCCAAACTGTAAGACAATACGTGTCACTGATATTTAATAGTATACTATGCAACAAGTGCGGTAAATGGCATTTGACTCACGAGTTCATTTGACACGAGCGGAGCGAGTGTTTAATAAACGAGTGACTTAAAATGTTTACCGAACGTGTTGCATACTATACTTTTTCTACCACCGTTAGTTTTTGAATACATTTTCGCAAGGCAACACTAATACATTCACTGACATGACCGTCAGAATTGACAAACGTCAAAATTCAAAGCGTGGGAAATATCTCCGAGAACATCCGATCGCTCCCAAACCTGTGCGGTAAAATCCCGGAAATGTCTGAAGTAAATTCGTAGGAAACGAAACTGACTGTCGTAAAGTGACGCTTGCCGCACCCTAGATCGGTGTGTAATTAGATATTTTACAGACGGGAGTAGAAAAAACTAATTACAGATGCTACAGTCGGATCTGATTTTCAAAATTGCATGGTTCATGCTTCCTCGCCAAAAGTTACATAGAAAACGTCTTTTAGAATGGAAAATAGCATATAGGAAAGCTTTTCGACTCTCCACTGTATATCCAAATTGGATTGTTCAACGTATCTTACGGTTTTGAATTCAGAATGAGAAAGAAACAAAAATCTACAGAGGTTGATTAAAAATGAAAACCAAAATGGTTTGACATTTAAAAGATGTCATGTTCAAAGTTGGGTCAATGGCTTGATGTCCCTGTACAGTGCGTCCCATTTTTTACCGTTTTACTGCCTGTCTCTTTATTAATTTTTGAATTAATTAGACATCCTTTCTTGCTAGGTCATGGTTGTAGAATATTGGACTGGATAGGCTCTTTAAGTAGGGTACAGTGGCGTAGTCACTTTTCTTCCCACTAGACTCGGAAATTCTGTTATAAAAACTAAACTTGTGATTCCTTAATGGAATAACCTGTGTATTTTTAATTGTTTTATTAGGCTTCTTATTAACATTCAAAAAACACAGATTACTTCTTCTTAACTTATATTATCCGCAACTATTCTAGTAGGTAGGTAGCTAGCAACTGTCCAAATTATGAACGAAAAGTTTTCGTGTAATCTATGCTAATTATTTAAGTCAAATATCTCAAACAATTTTTTTTCAAAATTTTAACAGAATTATCAAAGCCTCACCCCCTGAAGCCGTCACCAAAAACTTATGGTGTTTCAGTGCTTTTTATTGTTTTTTTTTTAATTAATTTACGTCCTGTATAAACTGTTTTGGTTTGTTAACTTTTTAGCACTCAATCCATTTCATTGACAATAACGTAATAATTATTATGCTTTAAGGTCGAAATAAACGAAAACCAATTGCTGCAAGCCGCTTTGGATTTGGACACAGTTTACTGGAACCTACACTACGATTTGCTGAATAAAGCGTACATCGTGGACGACTGGGTTCGAAAACCCGAATTCATCACCGGATTCAACGTCGAGTATTCACCACCAGAGAATATTTTAAGTACGTAAGACTATTGGTGTGTTTCTTAACGCGAGAGAGAGAGAGATGGAGGGAGGGAGAGAGAGAGAGAGAGAGAGAGAGAGAGAGAGAGAGAGAGAGAGAGAGAGAGAGAGAGAGAGAGAGAGAGAGAGAGAGAGAGAGAGAGAGAGAGAGAGAGAGAGAGAGAGAGAGAGAAATGTAAATTTGCAATTACAGATATCATTACACGGGGTGGACAACTTAAAGGTTTTATAGCAAAGTTCAGATAGATTGCAATGATCGTTTTGCTTAGATATAAATAAAACTGTTATAGAAGTAAGAATTATTTCAAAATAGAAAAATTGTAATAAATATCATTATTTCGAAAAAATCACATAAATTCATTTTGTCTGACGAATTACAGTGACTTGAGTCCAGAGAATTAAAAAGGGGATCTACACTATTTTCTAGCATACATCCGCTTACATGCTTAAACACTTACCAAACCGATATATTCAATGGAATGGCAGTACATGGTGTTCCACAGGGGTCGGTTCTCGGGCCTCTGTTGTTCATCATTTACATAAACGCGCTTCTCATTTAACCTCAGCTAGATACTCACAAATACTAATAGATAAAGTTGAAGTAACCACCAATGCAATTCAGAAATAGTTTTCTTCTAATCGTCTAGTTTTAAAAAGTAAAAAACTCAAATAAATTAAGCTTAGTGCTGAGCAATGCTGGCATATCTTCGAATTGTCGGCTGCTAGATGCAAAGCTCGACGTAATAACGCTCCCTTGTTATTTTTTAAAACATAAATATATCCAAAATGTTGATCTGCACGACTCTAAGACCAGGGGGACAGTAGCTATCGCCATTCCCTTTTTCAGGCTGACGTCATCTCAGAATAATGAGAACAAGGTTATATTTTTTTATGTCCAACCAAAAAATATCCAAACTTTACCACGCCATCAACTTAACAAGACAATGAACTAATTTTAGCTGATGCTGATTCAGGTGATATTTTATAATTTAATTATGTCTTTAATGCCCTTCTGCTTTTGATTTTAGGTATCTGTTGATTTACCGTTAGTTGTTTGGCACAACTTACATGAACACTCAAAATAGTTCCTTCTTTCTTTCCCACACTGTTATTTCTTGCAAGGAAGTATATTCGAATTTATTATCTATAGCAGCGCCTTTTAGCATGTCTTTTCAAAATTGCCCTTATTTAAAGAAAGCCAATGAATAATGTTTTTTTTTCCAAGGAGGCGTGGCTACGATTCATTATTTTCTTGATTGTAGCTGGCATTATTCACGACTATAAGACGTAGGATTTACTGGAAGTAGTCTTCAAAACCATCGGCAAAGTCTAAAGTCGGTTTTGACTGACATACTAGTAACCCACCACCGAGAAATCCATTTTTGCTAGCTATTGCTATCTTTCTGCTTAAGGTGCTCTTATTCCAATGGAATTTTTATCCCTCGATTATTAGCCGCAGCTACTCATCACATGCCCCGAATGCGCAGTTTTCCTCTTTTTTTACTATGTTTAAGAGTTGTCTGTCCTTATTTATACGTATCAGTGCCTCTTCACTGGTTACTTTTGGTTAGTAGCACTTCAATCTCCGACGACCATTTCTTGAAGAGCCAAGTTTCCAGATATTTAAATTTGTACATTCAATTGATTTTTTGACAATTTTAGTTGTAGTCTGGAATCTATGAAATTACTGGGTTTTCTAGTGATTATCACGAATTTGCCACCCATTTACCTTTATTCCCATTTCTTTTTTATAATATAATATTATACCTAAAACTGTTGTTCAAATTGGATATCATTTTCTCGAATTCAAAACTCGCATATTAATGACATTTGAATGAATTATTGGTCTACTTCGTAGAGTTTGTCCCTCGAAGTTCTGCTACAGATTCGTATCGTGTTTTATACAGTTTATTTTGCATATATCCCCATAAAAAAAAATTAAAACCGAAAGATCCGGAGATCGTGGAGGCCAACTTACAGGTCCGTTGGTACCTATCTATTTTTGAGGAAATTTGTCATCCAAAAATGGATAGGTAATAAAAACATAATTAAAAAATAAGTAAGTTTTTGACACATTTGGTTTTTCGTTTTTAATAGATGAACTGTTAACCTAACGTTATAATATAATATTTATCATATTAATAAGCCATTCTTATTTTTTTTAAATATATATTCATCCTGTTGTTTCGAAATTAAGTTAAGGGTCCCTTGTAACATAACTGATGAAATAGATGTATGTTATTTTTAGTTCATTTAGTTGATTTACTATGGACCACTACTACAAATAAAGTAAATAAAAAGAAGAAAATTGAATTTTAAGCTTAATTTTCAAAAGAACTTTATACTAATACACATTTTTGAAAAACTGAAATGATTTCCAATTAATATGAAAAATATCAGGGAGTTCCATCTGCTTTACAACTAAAAAACAGTTAAAGCAAGTAAAAGACAAGCTATGCCACTGGATTCTGCGGAAAAAATTCTATATTAACGTTTTTTCAACTTTTTTATAACTCATAGGTTATCGGAGATACGGGCGTGGTCCCAAATTCGATAGTTTTACATTTCACCCTGTATCTCTAAAACCAAGAAGGGCTATGATAATTTTATTGACAGCACCTTTAATTTCACAAAAAAGTACAAAAGTGTCGCGTAAACCTCGACTCTCTATTTTTAAAATTAACTGAGGTACCCAGTAAAAGTGTCCAAAATGGGATACCCTGTTCTTCTACGGAAAGTGTAAAGGTATGGAATTAGCGACAATGCCCTTTGTGGGTGACAAAAACTTCGACTGGGCAATCAGTTGCAAAATATGTTAAACTCGATCCGTTACAACTTCAGGGTTTTTGGTAAATATTTAGATAATAGAATGTTCAAAATACTTTACTTTACAAATTTACTTACTTAAGTATGAAATAATATTATGGGTTTATCTTATATTCTTTTTTTTTTTTTGACTTCGAAATTTGAGCCTTTTTCAACATCTAAGCTGCACTACTAAAGCAACAGGAGCTGACAATTTCAATTACCCTACATATCGCCTACCAATCACCGAAACGGGTCCAGAATATATGTGTAAAATTTTACAATTGTACATCGAATTAATAGTCAACGCTTGTTCAAGGAGAAATGAGAAGACTATTAATTCGGTCGGAACCTTTTGGCTTGATGATTAAGTTTTTTCTCTGAATGTTTGGCCTATGATTGTGTCTTCTGGTTAACGTTGTATCCCTTTTTATATTATGAAACAAAGTTGAAATAAATGTTAATATTATTATTATTATTACTATTATCATATATGGTGGCTGGATAGAGTAGCATTGTGCTGTATCTCATAAACTACTCATCTATTATTTTGTGATAATAATGTTTGATAAAATTTAAATAAATTCGTTATTTATTTATTTATTTTTGCAACTCTCATCTTTGAGATATGGTGCGTTTCGCAAATGATTTATAAGTTTTTGGCGTTAAGAAACAGAGCACGGCAAAATTGTTTTTGAAACAATATTGATGTATTTCATATTTATTAATTTGGAAATTAAATAGGGTTTCCACTCGGACTTTTTAGAAGCATTTTCTACGACCGGGACAGGCCAGAGTACATGAATTACGGCCTGCTGGGCTCAGTATTGGCACATCAAATATCGCACATCTTCGTCGACGCGGAAGACGGTAACGCGGATCAGAGAAAATTAATAAATTGGTGGACCGCAAGTAGTATACAGAAGTATTCTGATAAGCTGGAGTGCCTGTCCGGTCAATATCGAAACCTTTATTTAGACGAATTGGAATCCAATCAGGTGCGTGGATAAATTTCTAATTGTGATTTGCCACCTAATAATATTGAAAAATGTATATTACATCCAATTTTCTAAAAAACTCATCAACATTTTTAATTGTTACTTCTCCACAAACAAATTATTTCACAAACTTTATTTCCAACCAACCAAACATTTTATTTTAAGAAATGTTTACATTACGGTTTTAAAAACTACTTAAATATTCTAAATACAAGAATAGACTCATTGTGAGGGATATTTAATCACACGGAAAAAGCAAAATACTTGGTTCAAATAGGTTAGGCTTAATTTGATCATATGTAAGCTTTGCATACACTGAGGACTACGTTGGCTTAAAATAAAAATGGTAAGTTAGTGAGTATGAGTATTTCAATTATTTTAAACAAAAATGTGAAATTAAATATTCATAGCTTCATTTTGAAAAAGTTTAACCATTTTTAATGAACAAATTATAAGGGGTGTTTTTTTTCGAGGTATAGAACGTTAAGTTGCAATAAAACAACGATGGATGGATTATTCGATTGACATGAATTTTATTTATCCGAAAGATAATCTTGTGGCATTACATTTTAAATATGATTTCTGGCATATTACCGCTACGACTGGCGCGGATGTAGTCCAATCTGGACGTCCAATTTTCGATGATTTTTTAAACATTTGTGGCCGTATATCGACAATAACACGGCGAATGTTGTCTTCCGAATGATCAAGCGTTTGTGGCCTATCCGCATAGACCAATAACTTTACATAGCCCCACAGAAAGTAGTCTAACGGTGTTAAATCACAAGATCTTGGAGGCCAATTCACAGGTCCAAAACGTGAAATTAGGCGGTCACCAAATATGTCTTTCAATAAATCGATTGTGGCACGAGCTGTATGACATGTTGCGCCGTCTTGTTGAAACCACATCTCCTGGACATCATGGTTATTCAATTCAGGAATGAAAGAGTTAGTAATCATAGCTCTATACCGATCACCATTGACTGTAACGTTCTGGTCATCATCGTTTTTGAAGAAGTACGGACCAATGATTCCACCAGCCCATAAAGCGCACCAAACAGTCAGTTTTTCTGGATGTAACGGTGTTTCGATATACACTTGAGGATTAGCTTCCCTCCAAATGCGGCAGTTTTGTTTGTTGACGTAGCCATTCAACCAGAAGTGCGCTTCATCGCTAAACAAAATTCGCTTATGAAACTCGGGAACAACGGCAATCTCGTTTTGGTCCCATTCGACGAATTCGGCTTCAATTCTTGCACGAGTTAGATTTTGTAAGCACGTAAACCAAGATCCTTCCGCAAAAATCTTCCATAAAGTGGATGGGCACAGATCCAATTCCTGTGCTCGATGACGGATGGACTCATTCGGGTCTTCCTCAATGCTACGCCCTACAGCAGCAATAGCTTCTTCTGTACGCACCGTACGGCGTCTCTGGAGATGCGAGTTATCAATAAGAGTAAACGTGGTGCGAAAACGTTCCATGGTTAATCGAATTAACTGCTCTGATGGACGATTTTGTCGACGATAAAATGGACGTAGTGCGTGATACGTATTCCGCACAGAACCATTATTTTCGAAATAAAATTGCACTATTTGCAAGCGTTATCCATCATGAATTGCCAAACCAAACTGAGAATAAATCACTTGACAGCTGTTAAATCGGTCGCCATCTTGAACAGTAATGCCAACTTAAAGTTCTTACAAAATTTTTAAAAATCTCTAAAGCTTAAGAAGTGCATGAACATGTTAATGAAAATAAAGAACTACTAAGAAATAAAGTATAAACAAAAGCAACTATTTCAACACTGTGTCATGACATTTTTTGGTCTGTATCTAGTTTTGTCAAAATACACATACCAAATTTTGGTATCTAAAACCCCATATTTATTACATCCAAATAATCTTCATTATTATTGATCATCACCTGCCGCACACCGGCGAATTTGATGAAAATGCTGGCCAATATTATGTATCTTAAAAAAATATCTAAAAATGATGAATAATGAATTTATTTAAGAAAAGTATAAATTTTAATGATAATACAGTACTTTAAACTATTATTCCGCTACACGTAAAAATCTATAGTGTGGTCGAAAAGTCGTACCTAAATTAAATACTGATTAATAATTTTTTTTCAGAATGACGAACATTTTCAATTTAGTTTCTTACTTGTTCACATTTTTACGTAATTCATTTATTTGTCAGTGACAGTTATTAAAACTTATCTTAACAACACCAACAATGTGTATTATTGAAGAAAAGCATAAAACAGTTCTAATTTTAACCTTGAATTATGATAATGTATATGTAATTACAAAAACAATATTACAAAAAGATAATCATAAATATTTTAGAGAAAAGGGGTAAAAACGAAGATGAGATATTCATATTTGAGTACTTTGAGTATTAAGAATTTCGCAAGTATAATCTTATTATTTATGGCAATAAATAAGCAGAACCTTTTATGACAAGTATTTTTATGGACTATTGAAATTTGTACAGTTGCGTCTATGAAAATCTAGTACAAAAACATATCTCACAATTCCTGGTCTATTATAAAAAAAAATCTGATTAGATACCTAATAACTTTCTGTTCACAAATTTTTAAAATGACACAGGGCAAACACAAGTTTTAGACTGTCATGTGTGCTATATGTCATCCATTAGTCAAAAAACACTTAATAGTCTACGATATAAATATTTCTTCTCAAAAAGCTGTAAATCTGGCAAGATTGCCATTAGCATTATTGAATTTTGCATGTTCAAAAACCCTTCAATAGTAAGTTTTACCAAAATTAAAAATATATACCAGCACTGACAGCACTTCTTAAGAAATAGATACCCATTAAGATCGCAAATTATCGCGTAAATAAGAAAATATGTCTTTTTAAGGACATATTAAATAAGAGTTCTATGCTAATTTGAAAATGGGGAAACGCGGGGAAATGTACTTTTTGTCCAAAGAAAACGAAACATTTATGTATTTTAAGTAGTTACGCCAATGTGACATTAAAACAATTCATAGATTGCGTAGATAATAATAATTATATACTTACCACTAGCAATAGGATACACACTATAATTTTATTATTTTTCAATCACCAACATTGGAAAAAAATGGTTAAATACACATCTTTGTGCAGCCACTATATGTAACCAACTTAACCAAACAGTACTGTACGATTATATACTATAATGGAAAGTATATTTTAAAAGCAATTTCAAATTGACGATGTCAAACTTATTTAATCAAGAATAATATTTTCAGACAATTATTTTACAGACTAATATTTTCTAACATTGAAAATACGGCCCAAACATATTCTCAAATGCAAATATTAGGTCAGCAAGTAGTATATTTTCAAAATAGGTATATTATTTCTCCTTCTAAAATTATATATAATCATTTTAAAGAGGCAACACTATCCAAATAAAGAGATAATGCAATATGAGAAGTAGAATTTGCAATTTAGAAATAAAAATTTTAAACATTTTAAAATTGAAATTCTTACATTAAACTGGTGTCTTTAATTTAAAAATATTCAATTTTAAATCGAGTAGAAAATATTGAAGATACATAATCTACAATTAATAATTTGTTTTTGCTCGATTTGATACTCTAAATAACCAATGGTAGAGCGTAATTAGTATTTACATTGGCTAACTTTATTACACATTACGCAACATCTAGGACCGGTTCTATTTTTGAAGTATTTTTTCCATATAAGCAAACTTTTACTGTTTCCAAAAATTTTATTGCTTCAGTCATCAGAAATTGTTTATTGTTATTTACTTACTAATGAAAACTGGAAGGATTGTTATGTGATGTTGAGAACATTTCTGTTCCGTCATCAGCATAACCTAGATGAGAATATTGTTTTTCTACTCCTGTCTGTAAAATACCTAATTACGCACCGATGGAGCGTGCGGGAAGCGTTACTTTACCACGTCAGTTTCGTTTTCCACGGATCCGAGCCATTTCGGACATTTCCGGGATTTCACCGCACTTGTTTGGGAACAATCGGACGTTTTCGGAGATATTTCCCACTATTTGAATTTTGAAAATGTACCCAAAAACTAAGGGTAGTAAATAAAGTATAGAATGCAACACGTTCGGTAAACGTTTTAAGTCACTCGCTCCGCTCGTGTCAAATGCCGTTTACCGCACTTGTTGCATAATATACTATTGGCAGATTTATTTCGTTCCTTAATATTTTCTTTGGTTTCCTTTGTAAATAATGCAATATTTAAAAAAAAAATAAAAATTTTACTCTTTAAATCTGCATTCGCAAAAAATTAATTTTCTTAGTTATGTCGATTTTCAAATTCATGTCTTTGCACTTTTTGTGAACGCGGTATATCTAATCCAAAATTTGATGTCATCGACACTGTTTTTTTGCTATGCACTAACTTTTATCAGGATGTTTTTTTTGTTGAAAAATTACTGCATAAAGAAGTTTCCTATATATGGTTCATACATTTTAGCAGGGACTGTATATATGCGTATTATTTATATGCTCATATTTTTCCTGAAATGCTAATTTGCTATTATTATAATAACTCATAACTTTAAGAATTTTTTGTCTTGTTTTTCACAGATTAAACAGAGATAAGTTAAGTTAAGATAAAATAACAGGCATTTTGAAAGATTTGAAGGATTTGAACGATTGAGTTTAGAGCTTTCATACTCCAATTAATTAGACTTGGACAGGTGTTGTAAGCTGCAAGTTTAATTAAATATAAGAAAAATAAAAAGTCAAGTGAAAATGTAATAAAACTAATATTTATTTTTCGTCCTGTCTCTTCAATGTATTCTTTGCATATGCATGGAATCGGATCGAAGATGTTGAGAGATTTTGAACCTTATATTTCTTAAGAACTTTTGATATGTGGTCAGTGATGTTTTGAATATAGAAAGGGCATCAGTTACAAGGGTAGGGTTGCTTTCGGACTCATTATCTTTGGAAGGTTGTGATGAAGTGTATTTTGGGATGGAACGCTGAATATCTCCAAACTAAACTCATAATAACGAAATATAACCCAGTACATCATGCACTGCAAATATGGTTCTCTCTGTATATAAGAGTTTCCACATTACAATCTGAAATATTTTTGAAACGCCACTGTATTTGTTTTTTACCATATGAGATTTCTAACCTCAAAACATCAACAAAATTAGTCATGGAGCAATATACGACTGAACAACGTGTAAAAATTGTGCAAGCCTATTATGAAAATGGTCGATCAAGAAAAAATGCATTTCGGGCTCTACGTGAATTTTTCGGCCCGCAAAATCGACCTTCTGAGAGGACAATTTGGAATGTGGTTCAAAAATTTGAGCAAACTGTATCTGTAACTAACTTCAAAGTCCCTCAACGTGCTCGTGCAGGTCGGTCAGATCAAAATATTCCCATTGTTCGCGAAAGTGTAGCCGAAGATTCAAACACATCGATTCGTCATCGATCGCAGCAAGTGGGCCTTACGTATTCAACCACACAGCGAATTTTAACAGAAGACTTGCATCTACACCCATATAAAGTCCAAATAACTCAGGAGTTGAAACCTCGAGATCATCAATAGCGCCGCGTGTTTGCAGAATTGATACGAGAACAAGGGGTTCATTTTTTGTAAACAAACACAATGCTCGTATTTGGGGCTCGTATTAGGAGATTGTTCAAAAAGCAATGCATCCTCAAAAAGTGACTGTTTGGGGCGCATTTTGATGCGGAGGAATAATTGGTCCTTTTTTTTCGAGGATAATGCGGAGAACGCTGTTACGGTTAATGGTGTTCGCTATCGAAGCATGATATCTAATTTTTTCTGGGAGCAGTTGGAAAGTATGGACATTCAAGATATGTGGTTCCAATACGATGAAGCCACTTGTGACACATCCAGAGAAACGATGCAATTGCTGCGGGGCAAGTTTCCTGGTCGGATTATCTCGCGTAACGGCGATATCAATTGGCCGCCGCGACCATGTGATTTTACTCCTCTAGATTTTTTTTTGGGGGTATCTAAAAAGCAGAGTGTATAGAAATAAATCAAACACTATTCCAGAGCTGAAACAGGAGATTAGACGCGAAGTAGCCGGCATAGAGCCTGAATTGTGTTAAAAACTGATAGGAAATTCCAATAAATGAATTACGTCATGCCACATGAGTCGCGGGGGTCATTTGAATGACATCATCTTTCATACCTAATTGTAATACACTAATCTAAAATGGCAAATAAAAATGTTCGTATATTTTTATATTCTTCCGAGTTTTTTTTATTATTTTAATGTGGAAACCCTTATTGAATCACCTTTTAGAATTGCAGGAAATATTTATGAAACATTTTTAGAAGTTTCGGCGTATATTTGATGTCTTAAAATTGGAAATGTATTGCGACGATGGAAATAATATCTGCGATTGTAGTTCAAGACATTTCTATTTCAATTCAATCTCATTTCCAGCTTAACACGTTTAAAACGAGGCACGAAGATATCGCGGACTTGGCAGGCGCGAAGATAGCTTACGACGCGTACAGGAATTTAAACGTTCAAGACCCCGTGCTTCCGAATCTGAAATATACCCCCGCCCAACTGTTTTGGATATCTTCCGCCCTGCAATATTGCAGCAAATATCCCTTGGGCTACTTTAGGAAAAAATTCTCGGGAAACGATTACAAGCACTCGCCGAATCAGTTCAGGGCAAGTAAAGCCTTTCGTGGTTTTATCTTTAATTTTAATCCAGGCTTATTTTTAGGTTAACGGACCGCTTCGAAATGTAGTACAGTTTTCGGTGGATTTTGGATGTGGAACTACGTCGTTTATGAATCCGACGGAAAGGTGTTTTATATGGTGATACTCATAAATAAATAAAAATAATTTAAATTTAACGAGAAATAAAGTAATCTTGCTTAACTTTTTTTGTGGATGTAATACATTTCAAATGAGTGGTTCTTGACCTTGACATTGTTTAAACTTTACTAAAATATGAATTCGACTGTACTTTACTCCAGAATAGTATGGAAATGCATCAAATAAAATATTATTTGATAAAATAAAAGTTTTAGTTACTCCCCGCCTTAGACGAAAAAAAATCTACGGTCCAAAATTCGCAAAACATCTCCGATCTATCATTAGCACTATCGGGTCCCAAACTTACTCTCTAGCAAAATATCAAACATACGAGAATATAATTTTTTAAAGTATTTTAGATTCTTATTAAATTTGTAATAGTAGCAGTAAAATATTTTCTATATAAAATTTTCTTATATAGGTTTTTTAACAAACATTGAAATAGAGGAATTTTAGGGTATTTAAGGAACCTTTTTAAAAAAAACTGAATATATATATATATATATATATATATATATATATATATATATATATATATATATATATATATATATATATATACATAATTTTTTAAATTAGGAAATTAAGAAACAAACAAATCAACAATCAATAAAAAAAAATTTTGGCTACTTACGCACAGCGGTTGTAGTGTTAGTTAGTTAGTTCCTACCTGAAAACAACAAAAATAAATTTTAATATACATCGTTACTAAGGACAAAGTCTCTCAAAATCTGGCAACAATTGTAAAATATTTTGTTACCAAATAGTACCCAAAATGTAGAAAAGCAGGAGCGTAGCTATTTTTTTATAATAAAACTTAAATGGTCACCTAGATCTCCTCATTCGGAACATTTATTGTTTCACTTGAGTTAGTTTTGTTGTAGGCAAAGGACTGGAATGTCGGATTTTATAAGAAATTTCGATACATATTAATAAAGGGTACGCAACAAATAACATTAAAAATTAAATTAAAAAACGCTGTGAAATAACCTTTTTTTTTAATGGAAACTACCTATTTTTATAATCTTGTCATATGAAATTTATCTTTATTTATTGATATTTATTTGCAAATGGAGTAGATATTATTAATGGGATTCCCCGAATCGCAAGGTATCGTATTCCGATATTCCTTGAAGAGGATTATAAGTAAATCGTATACCGTAAATTCATAGTAATTTATTATAAAATACATATTATTTTTAAATGAGAGATAACACTCTAGAATTGCAAGATGGTATTTAAAACATTTTTTGACTAGTCAGTTAAGAAGTGTTCAATTGATGGTCTATTGACCAGAGTCCACTATGATTTACCATTTTATAGCTGACCATTATCTTGCCGATGGGCTTATGAAGGTCCAAAGATTCTGTAAATGTATGTATGGATCATTTGTACAGAAGAAGACCAAGGATGCGGGATAACGTTGGTGAATATTTTATTAACGAACGATCAACAAGAAATTAATGCCTGACAAAGGATAATAATTATTGTAAGAGCTGTTTTTATTGTTCGATAAGTAACTTTTAAGCAAGTGAAAAAATTAAATTTATAAAAAATAAATAAATAAATCAATAACGTGTCAAAAAATAAAAATAAATTAAATTATATTAATAATCAACAACAAAACAAGCGTGCAAGGAGGCATCATTTTAACACTTGTTTTGTTCAAATTATTTGTGATAGACAAATGTTTAAATAGAAATATTTCATAAAGTAAAAATATTGGTACTTTACATTTAAAAAAAAAGTTTTTTGGCAGTTTTTTTAATTTCATTTTTAATGTTTTAATCCATTTTTCGAGTCCTTTGTCTGCAGCAAAACTTACTCCAGTGAAACAATAAATTCTTGGTTGATTAGACTTAGGTATAGGACATTATACACAAAATATGTCTAGAATTTTTTATAGAATTCAAAAAGGAAGTAATATACCAGGTATTCCATTTAAAATAAAAAAGTTGATAGTCGCCCACTAAAAATGAAACACCCTCTATGTACAACATTAAAATAAATTGAAGCTTTGTAATACCCCAATTAACTTTTATATTTTTTGGCTCTATCCACTATAGTTTCTGAGATAAGGCAGTGTCGTGTAGATAAACGGCCCACCCTATACCCTGTTCATGACATTTTTTGGAATTTTCACCATACCAATGCCTCAATTCCATGAAGAAGGTTAAGGTAATTTTATGAGAGAGAGATATTCGAAATTTAATTTCTTCATCGCAACACCATTTCACTTAAGTGGATTTTCTAGGGATGATAGAGGTTTGAGTGTAATCTCCTCCATATTCGCATTCTCGGAATTTGCGGTTCATTTTCAAAATATCTGTTTGGTCGTCGAGGTGTATTACTTTCCCCAGGGTTACTAACAAACCAAAAAAAAATCGAGACGTAAAAATCTGAAAACATTTATGATTAAATCTTCCTCATTAGGATTAATTAAAACTACCGATTTCCAACAAATTTCTGTACTGTTTTTGAATCTTTTTTTTTGTGTAAATTTGCTTTTATTATCGATTTCAGGGCGATAATGATTAGAAAATCATCAAACGTGATAAATATTTGTCGGAATGACTAGCTCCAACTTCGAGGGGACAAAAAGTTGCAATGAAAATGAAGCATTAAGATTCAAAAAAAGAATTAGCTTCTCAGCTTCGAGTCTGGCACTTTTAAACAGGAATATGCGCTTAATGTGGGAGGTTAACCGATAACTGTTGATATTTCCTGCTCTAATCTTTGTAAAATTCCGATAAAAACATTTTTGCATCACATGAAAGCGCGTTTAGTACTAAAAGCGGTTTAAGATGAATCGAAAACCTTTTTGTCACGTTGTGTTACTGTTAACACTCGTGAAAAATATAAGTTGCGAGCACAGAAGAACGAAGAGAATAGTGGGTGGTGTTGCAGCTAATTTCCCTCCTTATGACGACCCGACAGTGTTTGTGAGGTTTAATGGTCGAGCCGCTCGTGTACAAGGGAGCAGAGAATTTCCGCATTACGTTTTTAAGGGTATAAAGTACGCTCATCCGCCAATAGGTAGAGACCGCTTTTTGGTAAGTGCATTCCAAACTTAAATTCGCATTCGGCTCTGTTTCTTAACTCGTGAGACTTATAAATCATTATTTAAACTGTAAAACTCAATGGTCTTGGCCGTAGATGATTGTCAAGGCTCCCGAGAGTGCTTAGTGCCTTAGTGTTCAAAATTAGAACTGCAGCATCAGACAAAATTAAAACAATCCAGTTAATATTAAGAAAAGATTTTGTTTAAAAAAGGATATTATCTCTAAAACTATAAAAAATTTAACAGAAATAAACGGAATTCCCAAACTGTCTGCAACACAGGTTTTGGTATCTTTAAGTAAAGTAGGCCCAGTACAATCCAAACGCACTTGGCTGAAGCAGGTTGAAAAACATCTTCGAAAAAATCTCTTCTCTGTTAAAGTCATGGTTAATGTGAGCTACCACTCAAAATTTGAAAAAATATCCACGTCTTCTAGGGAATAAAAGGCATCGTTCATTTACTTTAAACAAGAAGCAATTACTAATGGAGTATGTAACTTTGAATAAATCTCACTGCAAGGAATCGCTTCGTAGAGAAATATGACTGCACTATGAATTGAACCCCCTAGAATTGGCATGGGAGCAAATAAAACGGTTTGTAGCAAAGGAACGTTGAAAGCTTCGTAAAAGAGAAAATAAAAACAGTAGATTGCGAAAGTTGGAGATGAGCGTCGAACGTGTGATTGTAGTAGCAGAAAAAATGTGCGAACTGGATGGATGACATGCTCGGAAACACTATAGAACTACTCATCATTTTTCTGCATCTCAACGACTATAGTTCATTAGATTACTGGTAACATGGTGACTAAAATTTACAACTGAAATTGTATTCTTAATATTTATGTATGAATGTATTTATGTATTTTAAAATAATAACATTTTTTACAATTTGTCTATTTTCATATTTTTCTTATTTACGTATGTCTCTATTTACTTGATCTTTTATTATTTATTATATTGTGTTATTATTCTAATAAACCACTTGCATGAACACGGCTGTCAGATTACTTTTATTTGCCAAACTCGTCCTTTTACTGTGTGCAAATTAGTGCGACCCCAAAAGGAGGCCGTAATTGGAATGTTTTAACAGAAAAAACCTATTTCTGAACTAGATAAAGCAAAATCGACTTACGTTTCAAGGGCGCGATTTTTTAAAAACCTTTAATGGTTAGGGCGTTTTCAATTTTCGGCCTTCTTGACAATTCGCTACCACATAATTAGAACCAGGCAGGGGGACGACGAATGAAACAGGATTACGCCTAATAAAAAACAGGAAGAAGAAGTTTTTGATTTATGAAAATTTTAGATTCGGAAAAAAACATTATTAGGGCATTTTTTAAAGGCAAATTAAGGCAATTAAGGAAGTTTCAAAAAACCAAGGCAAACTCAAAACCATTTAAATGAAGGAAAGGAAATCCGGGAATTGAATATAATTTTAGAAGTATTGGAAAATCCAAGTATATATTCACCGACAGTAGCCCACGTAACAAATGCCAAAAGTTTTGACTACTTTAAAAAACATAAATTGAAGCCATATAGTACTGGAAAAGTAAACCAGTTACATGAAGACGATGCAAGTAGCATTTTGCAACTGGAGAACAATAATTTTCCATTGTCTTTTGTTTGGACTGAAAAAGCGAGAATTCACTGTTCCGGAATATTTAACAGATACAATTCTTATCGCTAGAGCACAGAAAATCTTCATTCTGTAGTGTATCAAGGTCGCTTTAATAGTGTATGGGCAGGAATTTTCGGAGGTAGATGTGTGGGAGCTTTTTTTAATGAAAATGTGACAGCGGGTGGTTAAACAAATATTTCGCGAACATGTGTTGTATCATTTTTCTTAAATTTAGTTCTTGAATGGAGTATTTGTTATCAGTAAGTAAGTTACAAAACACGGATTGTATGTGAACTTTAAAATGATGACTTGGACAATATCGGATTAGAACTTGAGGTCAAATTCCGTCGCTTGCGAGATTTTGTGATTTCTAGATTTTTTTTGTATGGGGGACCTTTAAAAATCGTATATTTTAAGATATAATTTTCCAAAGCAAAGCAGAGTTAGAAGAAGCCACTCGAGAAGCATTTACTTTCATCAATCCTATAGTGAATAGTTGCCACTCAGTACGAAAAAGGTGGGTTCAACGTATTTATTATTTCCATATAATTTATGTAAAAGGTTAAATATTAATATTTTGTATTCTCATAATTATTGTTTTTTGTTTAATATGTTAAAATAACCCAATTTTGTTTTCTAAATATTCAAAAATATTAAAACGAAATATTAAAAATAGTATCTATAATTAAAATTAAAATATTAAATGCTTCTTAGGTTTCGAGTTTTCCACTTAACACACCAACCAATCTATATGCCTGAAAAGGGCCCTAGAAAGAGCATAGTTAACTATTATTACCCTATCAAATAAGCAAGAGAGAGAGAGAGAGAGAGAGAGAGAGAGAGAGAGAGAGAGAGAGAGAGAGAGAGAGAGAGAGAGAGAGAGAGAGAGAGAGAGAGAGAGAGAGAGAGAGAGAGAGAGAGAGAGAGAGAGAGAGAGAGAGAGAGAGAGAGCTAATAGGGTTTTTATCCGAATCCAAAATTTTCATAAATAAAAAAGTTATGGGCAATTTTCAAAAATGAAGAACCCCTTATATCTCGATTGGTATCTAGTTCTGGTATATCTAGTTCAAAAATAGTTTTTTCTTGTTAAGACAATCCCCTGTAGATCCTAAAAATTGAAATTCGGAACCCATAATTGTAATTTAACTAAACTCTGCGATATAAAATTTAAGTTGTGCACCATGTTGACAGAGACCGCGAGAAAAATTTCTGGAAGGTACTGTGCGAGCAACCACATATTCCCCACCCTGCGTTCAGTTTATTCCAGGAAAAAACATAGTTATTGGTAGCGAAGATTGTTTGGCGTTGAATATTTTTACTCCGGACCTTCCATCTGGAACAGAAGGTGATTTTCGCTTATAACTTTCTACTAATTGTGGCATTAGTCAATTTTTACTCAATTTTTTGCATTTCCTTTATGGCTTCTGCTTTTCTTAAAGTCTAGAAAACGCTTTCCAAAAAAAAACTAAATAATAGAAAAAATACGGGCAGTGAATAAAAGAAATTAAATTTATTATTTATTATATTGATGACGGTTTTTTCTAGTTTTTGTTACATTCTTTTAAATTAAAAAAATTAAAAAACTTCTATGTTAACAATTTAACCACCATAATAATGTATAAGATTTATAAAGAATTGTGAAACAATAATAAACAATAGATGCTATTTCTGCAGTACTCGACCGATTTTTTTTCCTGCCATGTTTTTCCGTTATTTTCGTGCTTCTAATATAAAATAATTACGTCAAAAACATCAAAATGTCAAAAAAGATTGTCGATTTTAGGACTTCCAGTCATCATTTGGATACACGGCGGAGGCTTTCGCACAGGTTCCGCTTCACAATATGGGGTATGAGGCTTTACAATAATTCTGTGCGGAATACTATACCGAGTGACACAAATTGGGACGGAAATTACTTTTAAATTTGAAATCAAAATGCACAGTATTTCTTGAATTTGTTAATAGTGCTTTAGATTTTTTCTAACTTTATATTGGGTTTTAAAATCTTATCTATACTGGAAGACGTACATAATTTAGAAATTAGTGACCATTGGATAAGTGAATAAATAGTCTCTCGCCAAACAGGCCCATAATACTATAGTATGGAAGAATTTTGATAAAAACTATTTTAGTGACAAGTTTAATTTGGCATCGGTGAAGCGCTTAATAAACTAGTTACTGAAGAAGCTTACCACCTCGTTAAACCGACTATACATGATCCCGCAGGCCTCTCAGTTCGAACTGAACAGTCCGCTTAAAGACCGTTCAGGCGAATAAGAAATATCAGTCTGATACGACACGTTAGCACTTCTCGGCTTAGTAGTTGCTGTGGGTAAAAAGAAAATATACATGTTCAGGCGACTGGCCTTCAGGCCAACTGTTCGGTTCGAAATGACAGGCCCGCCGGATCGTGCGTAGGCGGCCGGCTTTAGGAACTATACCTTTTCTGGGGGCATTGCTTTTTGACAATTTTCAAAATCAAATTAAAAAATAGAACAAGACTGTCTAAATCGAAACGTAACAAAACACAGCACGTTTGTTTTTAAATCAAAAAGTTAAAATTTCCAAATTTCAAAAGCAAATGGTAAAATATTCGCACTTCCTTGTGTCACAGCCATTTGCTGCAAATGAGATTTTTATTTGTAACTTCAGTAACTGTTATTTTGACTATATACATATAAAAATATATATTTGCTCAGAATATTCTTCCCAAGAGTTATGATAGAGAACTTAGATAACGTTTTAAACAGTAATGCCATCTCTACGTTACGATAAAGTTCGTTTACACTAAAATAACCTAATATTAACTTCCCAAATAACGTTTTGATTTCTGTGTAATTATTAATTGGGTTCGGAAGAAAGAAAAATATGCAATTGATTATGAAGTTCTGTGCAATTTCGGCGAATTGTTCATTCTAGGTTCGGCATTTAGTCAGTAAAAGACTTGTGGTGGTCACAATACAATACAGATTGGGATCTCTTGGTTTTTTAAGTTCAGGTTCGAAACACTTACCAGGAAATGCAGCGCTCTGGGACATGGCTCTGGCGGTGCAGTGGGTCAGAAATTACATAGGATTTTTTGGAGGAAATCCTCACAGAATTGTGGTGATGGGACATGGCACGGGAGCAAGCAGTGCCTTGTTGGTAGCCCTTTCAAAAATAGCGAAAGGTTTGCGTATTTTTATTTGCATGTTTTATCAGGATTTCATAATATTTATAATTAGGGTACAACCGAGAAAAAATTGAGTTTACACTATTGGTAATACATATAAAACATTTATTTTTTATTTATTTATTATGATTTCATATATCTGGTCCTTTCAGCTTCTTCTGGGTAGTCCTTCTTTTTTTGGCACCTGTTCCAGTATTCGTCCATGCCATCTATGTTCTCTCATTATTTTGTGAGCTATTTTTGTTGGATTTTTTCTATCAAATTTGTTTCTGTGTCGTGCCTAGTTCTATCTAGTCTTTTTTAGTTTACTACCATTAATATTTCAAACTTCTTCTCCATATGTGATAACAGTTTCAAATATGGCCTTGCATATCTTGTTTTTATTTCTATGGTAGTGTTCTTGTCCCAACGTATCGAGTTTAGAGAACGTGTGACTTGTTTTCCTTTATTTATCCTTTCTCTTATTTCATCTTGGCCGTTTCCTTGTTTGTTGAATATAACTCCCAAAAACTTACAAGTTCTTACTTCTTTTATATGTTCTTGTTGCAGATGATTAATTGTTCAGGTTTGTCGGTATGTCCTTCGAGTTTCCTTATCATGTAGTTCAAGTCATCTTGTTCCTCGGCTACTTGTTCGTCAGCGAAATAAAAAATATATAGATTATTGTCAATTTGCAGTTCCATATATTTAATTTTATTTGTCCACTTCTGTATAGCTTTGTCAAGATATATATTAAAATCTGCTGCTGATATTTGGAGGTGGGAAATATTGCCCGTAGTGCTTTCTTTCTTAATTGTCCACATAAATTCTATAGTTCACAATGTTTGTGTAAAATTGATATGTTGCAATTAGTTACTTCTTCGAAATCGAAATCAAATGCAATTTTTGCAAAGCATAGTTATGATTTGTGCTTTTCGCTTTTTTCCCATTACATACATGGCCACAAGTGTCAGAATACTATCTTCTCACAAAACAGGTCTAAAACCTGAAGATAGTTTAACCGCTGACAGCCTTCAATGAAATCTTGGTCTCATCTCATCTTCTGCTCTTTTCAGTATTGCTGTATACTTCTCATGTCGCTGGCACCTGGCCAAGCTCGATTTAAATCTTATATGGAGATTCCTTTTTTTAATCTAAAACGAATGAACTCTTTTTAGAATTACATTTATGGTGTCTTCGTCAAGTACTTTCACTCGCCTCTCTGGACTTTTGAGAGTTCGACCTGTACTGCATAGGTCGACACCATATACTATATAATATTGTAAGGCGTCTAGAGAATTACATTTTATATAAATATATAGATAACTGTGATCAGCATTAATGTTTAGTTTGTGTTATTGATATAATCCATAAGAGAAACATTTGTTGTAGGTTTACCGAACTCTGTTATAGCAATGTCAGGTACCGCTATCTCAAGATGGAGTATCGATAATGCACCACTAAATACGGCTCATGCGATAGCGGAAGAAAACGGATGTCCCACAGCGTCCATTTTAACAATGGTTAAATGTTTACAAAAGTTGCCAGCAGAATCGATAGTACAGGTAAATAACGCTACGTAAAATAGTAAAGTAAAACAGTAATATATTTATCCAGCCATTTCCATTATGTACATCACTAGAAGTTAACATTTCTATTACTACTATTGCCAATACGGCAAAATTCCGAAGGACAATTCAATTCAAAGCAGTGTAATTTAAAATAATTGTTGCTATTAAAAGGTTAAACTTGCTTATTTGGTTTCACATTTGCGTTATCGAAATACTATGCTGAAATTTCTAAATAAGATTTACATTACGACATTTAAACTAGTCAATATGTTAATTAAATTTTTCTAAGCTTGACTTTGTTAGCAATAATATGTCGACCTATAACCATGAAATTAAAATAAAACCACGTAAAATTTGTTTTTGTTGAAAATATTTAACTTAATTATTTAATTTAAATTATTAAATTTAATTTCAATACCTAGAAAGTTACGTTACTCACACTTTCGAGTTTTGCTTATAATTGGGGAAACAGTACAATCTACGTCTGTCCTAACACCACAATGCATAAGCAACATGTAAATCATTCCATAATATTTTGTGATTATAAGGTCCGAAGGCGTATTCGCCATTTAGCCATAACATTTCTTTGACCGCTTTCTTATTGTATTGATACATACAAAATTTGGACGGGTTTATATCTTAATGCACTTATAATAAGGTCCTTTCTCAGTTATCGAAAATCAGGATTGCATACATTTGCAATGGCTTAAATCTTCCCCTACAAGAGTTCTGTTGTTCACTTCTTTCATTGATCTTTTGGTCCTCTTATATATAATAAAAACCTTTATGTCAGAATCACTACCCTGACACATTATGCCATAATGTACAAATTGTGCTTAGCGATTATTCTGATGACATAACCTACGCTGTTTAACTGTGTACATAGAGTTTGTATATGACGGTCCCAGTCTATTAACCCAGTATACGTTTTGGTTAACTTAGGATTGGTTTTGCCTAAACCACAAATTTATTTGGTCAAATGCATTTTAACTTTTATTTATTACCTCAGATATTTTCTTTCTTTCATTTCTTCAGCAGGAAATTACACTGCTCCTATTGGAACAAAATTTCATGGTTTAAAAACTCAAAAGTCCAACTTAAATTTAAAAATTAGCATATCGTTTTTTGTCGTCAAATTGTTCAAGAATTATTTTAGCAAATTGAACAATGGCGGTGCCAATTGATCTTTCAAATACGCATGCCGAGAGAAAATAATGCATTCATAAATTCAACAAACAGCTTAGAGAAGCTGACCAAAGACCACATGCTTTTATTTGTAGTCATCTATTGTAGGGAGATTCGAATATAGAGTTCGCGAGGCTTCAGGAACGAGGATTCGTATCTGGATTAGATGGAAAATTAGGGCCTACACCCGTAACTGAAGGGGTAAACGATGGAAGATCGCTTCCTGGACTTGTGGAACACGATCCGATAAGATCGTTACACGCCGGAGATAATCCAAAAATTCCCTTACTTACCGGCGTTACCAAAGACGAAACCAAAAGGGCCGTTTTAGGTGAGAAATTGACAAGTAATTTTAATATCGAATTTTCGTTCATAAACTCGTTATAAAACAAAGTATCTCATCCTAAAAAATATAAAAATCTTTCAGTATCGCAGTGTTGCCAATTGTACCTAACGGTAGCAATAATTTTTAGATTTTTACACCAATAGGAAAGTTATTTCGTAAGTGCCTTAAAATTGTAAGCAGAAATATTTTTTGCGCTCCATTTAATTTATTCCAATGATGAATAATAGTGAACTTGAGCAAATTTATATCTATTTTTTTTAAATAAACAAGAACAGATTTTCACAAAATTATATATTTTGACATGACAATTGTTTCGACAACACCGTGTCTTTATCAAATGTAATATTTACAAACTACGTGCTACTATATACTACGTATACCGAAAAATGACCATTAAACCTTGATTAATGTTGTTGTGAGAATTTAAGTTCAATAATGGAGAGGTATTTAAATGTAATTGATCATTAATCAGTACGAATGTCTCATTTTGTTAATCTCCATTGCTTCCAATGAATTTCATTTTCTACATTTTGTGGCTGTATGTAAAATATCAAAATTGTCGTCGAAAATGTATTTTCCTGCGTTTCAGTGTGTAGCATAATTAGAAACCAAACGCTCTTTTATGTTCGTTAATGCGTTTCCCGAAGGATCTGCCTGTTTGTCCAATATAAATTGTAGGACAAGATCCGCATTTCCACTGGTAGACACCTGATTTTTGGGATTTTGGACATTTCCTTTTATTGTTTTTCGAATATTTTCCTATTGTGTTATTAGTTCTGAAAGCTATTTTTAAACCACATTTTGACAAATGTTTTGAAACTTTTTCACTAAGTTCTCCCATGTATGTAATTGTTTTAAATTGTTCGTGTTCTGTATTAGGTTTCGGATAAATAGAGTTTACTGTTGTTATAAGTAATTACTAACTCCACACTATTTAGTGACGAAGACAAATATTGCAATTATGAATGCACAACCGCCGAAATTATATTCTTTAGTTAAATTACATAAACAAGATATGCCCATTAGACCAGTCGTGTCTTATGTAACAGCTCCAGCAGTTAAACTCTCAACAAAATTAGTAAACATTTTAAAGTTCCAAACACACATTTTAAACCAAAATTTGCAATAAAAAATTCTTTTGAATTAACCAACAAAATTAAAGATATCAAAATCCCTTCTAACGCAACAATATTGTTTTTTGATGTACAAAACTCATTTTCCCAGTATTCCACCTATGGATGTGATAGATTTAGTAGATTTCACCCAAACTCGAAAACAGGTTGACTCATTGGTGAAACAAGATTTATTAGATTGCTTAATAGTATCTTTAGACCAAAATTATTTTGAACTTAATTTTAATTTTAAAAATTTAATTTAAAATTTATATCTCTAAAGAAGGCTTGATTATGGAAAACCCACGTAGTCCCTTTTTAGCAGAGATTTATATGGATAGTTTGGATAATATCATACTAGAACATCCTTTAAATAAAAGTTTTCTATGGTGATATAGATACGTTGATGATGTCCTTGCTTGCTTTGTTGGAACGGACAAACAAGTGAATTCTTTTGTAAATTACATTAACTCATTACATAATCGTATAAAATTCACGATCGAGATTGAGCTGGATAACTCTATTAATTTTTTAAACTTAACTATTACGAAAGCGCAACACAAATTAGATTTTTTAATATATCATAAACCTTCATAGACGGACACAGTCATACATAACAGCTCAAATCACCCTTATACACACAAAATGGCTGCATTTAACTCTTTAATACACAGACTTCTTAATACGCCACTGTCAACAGAAAATTACAACAAAGAACTTAATATCATTAAACAAATTGCACTGAACAACGGCTACAATCCGTCCATTATAGATAAAATCCAGACAACAGTAAACTCTATTTTTCCGAAACCTAATAGAAAACACGAACAATTTAAAATAATTACATACATAGGAGAACCTAGTCAAAAAGTTTCAAAACATTCGTCAAAATGTGGTTTAAAAATAGCTTTCAGAACTAACAACACGATAGGAAAATATTTGAAAAACAATAAAACGAAATGTCCAAAATCTCAAAAATCAGGTGTCTACAGGTGGAAATGCGGATCTTGTCCTGAAATTAAAGTTTTATGGTCATCTTTCGGTATATGTAGTAGCAGGTAGTATGTAAATATTACATTTGATAAAGACACGATGTTGACGAAACAATTGCCATGTCAAAATATATAATTTCGTGAAAATCTGAACTTTTAGTTCTTATTTATTTTGATAAATGAATTTTCATCGAGTAAAAGCCACCTCAGTTCAATCTATTTTTTTCTACAGTTTTCAATGACTTTGTGATCTTGCGATTTCTACGTAATAAATCAAAATTTTGTTTTTTCGACAGGTCAATTTAACAGCGAAACAATATCAAAATTGAGACAGACCGCGGAAAACATAAACAACAAATTAGTTGAAAGTTTGAAGTACGGCATTGGTTTAGTCAGATATAATAGAAAATACACCAACGGCAGTGGCGAAGATCTGGGGCAAGGAACGCAAAATTGGATTCCGTTAGAATTCAATAACTATTTCAAAGCTCCAAAAAATGACATTAGCGGCCAATTAAATAAAATTGCGGAAGTCACAGGTTGAAACGTAATTCAACGCGTCTTGCGTTTTGTATTTCGTTTGCTTTTTCAGGCGATGCACTTTTCAACGTCCCGGCTTTTCTGACGGCTCAGTTTTGGAAAGGGGCTCCGGCTTTCCTCTATAGCTTCGAACATATCGGGAAAATGAACCGCGGCTCGTCTTTCTTGAAAGGGATCCCTATTTTAGGAAATTTTAGTACCGCAGGTACGACCAGCTTACAATATCTTTTATCAATTGAAGCGAGATTATTTGCTTTTCTAAATTGGCTTTTACATAAAACAACCCATTATCGATTGTATGCTTCTAATTAGTGCTCACTCAAAGTGATGTCCCATATAATAAAGAATTCTTCAGGGTGAACCATGGACCTAAGTACTGGTACATTCCTTTACATGAATTTGACTGATAGAAGAATGAGTGTCATCAGAAAAGGACAAAAGATTAAAGAAAGAACCAGCGGGAAAAAAAGGATCAAAAAATACTTAGCGAGCAATGCGGTCACTGACAAGTGACTCCATGGCCGCTATTTTTAATAATATCTCCAATTTAAATAGAAAAAGGGGTTGACTTAGTTGGTCCTTCAGCTTCATCTTCTCATCAGAAGTGCAGCTTTTGGCTCGATCATCAGGCATAATCCAAGAATGATCACCAGTTACGACATTTCCTACAACTGAAGAATACAATATTGAACAAAGTAAAAGTATATCTTGAAGTCGAGTGAGCTCGATTATGATACGAGGGCAGCGCCAAAATTTCCCGGCCTGAATATGAATGAAACAAAGCAGAGTAACAATTTTTTATTATTTTTAAATATAATCCCCCTTAACTGCAATACACTTATTACATCTCTTTATTCACAACTCAATCCCTTTAAAAAAATATTCTTTTGGTTTGTCTGCAAAATGAGCTAAAACAGCCTCTTTAAACTCAACTTCGTCGTTAACCCGCCGTCCAGGTAATTCCTTTTTCAAGTCTCCAAACAAATAATAGTCGCTGGGGGCCATATCTAGACTATAGGGAGGATGATCTATCTGTTGGAACCCACACTGTAAAATGGCAGCTTGTGTAACACCAGCAGTATGGACAGGTGCATTATCGTGCAAAAGACGCACGCCGCTGGTCAGTTTTCCTCGACGTTTTACACGTATGCAGTCTCGCAATTTATGTAATAATGTTGGGTAATATTTACCATTGACTGTGGTATTAGTTTCTTTAAAATCTATCAAAAGAATTCTTCACAATCACAAAAGATCGTGTCCATCACCTTTTTTGTTGACTGGCAGGCTCTGAATTTTCTTGGAGGCGTTTCACCCTTACGACGCCACTCCATGGATTCTTTTTTCAATAGAGGGTCATAATAGAAAACCATAGTTTCATCTCCATCACAATAGTTTCTATCACGGGCTTCGGTTCCGACCCACAGAGTTCCAAAAAAGACCGCGCACACTCGGCACAGCGTTGTTTGTGAATAGCCAAAAGGTTTTTAGGAACCCATCTTGCACTAACCTTATGCATACCTAAATGATCATGCAGGATTCGACGAACACTTGTATCAGAAAGCTTAGTAATTTCTGAGATTTCCTTGACGTCTAAAAGTCGATCACTCAATCACCTCTTCCACAATCGCAACAATATCTTCCGTTATGACCTCCACTGGTCGACCAGTTCTTGACTCATCTTAAAGGGACTCCTGCCACATTCGAAAACGTTTTGCCCATTCTTTCGCTACAGAATACGAAGGAGAACTTTGGCCGTACACACAATCCAGTCTTTCTTTAATAATTGTAAGTGCTAACCCTTCTTTTGTCAAAAACTTTATGACTTCTCTTTACTCAATTTGCGTTATTTGAGACATTTTTTCGGATACTTGTTTAAAATGCTGTCAATAAAAAACTGTTTGACGCAAGACTTCAATTTTTTTTTCGCAGCCTACTAAGATATATATTTAAAAGAAGACAAAGTTTTATCGTGATACTGGCGCTGCATCTATTTCAGGCCGGGAAATTTTGGCGCTAACCTCGTATATAGAGCAATGCAAAACCTGGGTTTTATGATACGCAACAGTAATCGACTGCTTCGAGCTGCTTCCTTAATGTCCTGGGGAAATTAATATGCATCAGTGGTATGGTGGTCTTCGTACTATGCCTGTCATATAAATATTCCGTAAATCACGAAAGAATACAATTTCGTCAGTAATTTATTTTCTAGTTGAAACAATAAAAAACTTGCTGTCAGTTTTACAGATTAGACTTTCTGAAAGCTGGAAAGTGGAAAGTTTGTGGTTTTTCGTTAGCTTGTTCACTTTTCCATATAAATTGTTTGCTATCATTTAAATCTGTTTTATTTTTCAAACAAAAATTTTTTCGTGGTCTAGTAATTAAGGTACCTACATACCGTAAAAACGCGCAACAGGGTCAAATATTTAAAGATATTCTAACCACATTTTTTCTGTAAGTGCTCAAAAAAAGTTGAAAATCTCAAAAATATATTAAAATATATATATAGTCGATAACCTAGGAAGTTATTTAGATTTTAATGTGTTCTTTAATATTTTGAGATTTATAGCTGCATATGTACAGTAAAAATGTGCATAAGGGCTTGAATACTTACAATCTAAAACCCTACGTTGGTCCTTAAAATATATGCATGTAAAAGACCGGTTTTAAACTGTCACAAGGTCACAATTAGCAACAGTTCTTTGCAGAGGTTTTAAATTGAAAATAGCTGATAACCAAAGAAAGATATCTTTTCTAGCAAACCAATGTTTCATTGCTTCGAACTATTTTTTTAGAAATTACTAATATGTCAACCTTTCCTCTCGTCTGGGCAAGATAATTTAATAAAAATTGTAAGAAGACCACTGGACTTTCAAGGGAAGCGATTTACTGTCGTCCATGCAGGGAGTGAAAATGGATTTGTTGATGGAGCAAGATTGGTGTTTTCTTCTGGTTAAACGAAAAATTACTTTAATTTTAGAAGAGCCGGTCAGTTTTAATTACATTACCTTACCTCTGCCCTTCTCTCTAAAAATTTCCACATTAAGGATATTAACCGTCCCATCACTTCACCACAACCTTCCAATAGCAATGAAGCCGAAAGCAATCCCACACTTGCCACTGTTGTCCTTGCTTATATTTAAAACATATATCAAAAGTTCTAAAGAAATATAACGTCAAAACCAGATTGACCATTTGTTCATGCATAAATAAATAAGCACTTTTTGATAAAACTTAAAAGTCACCTTACTGTTTGAACACACCTCTTATTACATATTTTTGCTAGTTAATCCATCAGATAAATAAATAATAATACATTACAAGAATTGAATAAAACAATATATTTTTCTTTTCTTTTCTTAGTTATAAAATTATTTTAGTTTTAATTGGGTGCTGTTGGAAATAAAGTGCTAGTGTTATTATTATTATTACATTGTGTTTTTGTCTAGATGCCGCAGACAATAGTACCGTGGGACACGGCGATGAATTGGCGTACTTGTTCGAACCCAGAGATTATCAAGGTAATCCGTTACCGACAGAGCAACCTACCGAGGATGACGTAAAAGTTCAAGAAATATTCACGCAGATCATTGCCGATTTCGCGAGGCATGGAGAAATAAATATCAATCACAAAAAAGTGCCGGCGTTTGCCGGTTCGGAAAACAATTTTATCCAGATTAAACCGAAACCGAATTTGGCAAACAAGTTTCGGTTCTGCGAAATGGCTTTGTGGACGAATATGGGGGAACGGTTGAAAAGTTCGTATTGCCAATATTTAAAAATACTCGGCGGTCTGTCCCAGTCGTTATTCGGCGTGATGAACGAAAATAAAGGCCTAGGTGGAGTTATCCAGGGATGGAATGTGAACGATAATCGAAATTTGCAACGTACGAGCGCCCCAAACAATAATGGTAACCAAAAGAAGAATCCCCTAGGCGGCTTTTTGTCGGGGAATCAGCCCAAATCTCAGCTGTCTTTGTTTTAAAAAGAAAGTGTTTATTCTATCCTACTATTTCTTTTTTAGATCTAATGGTAAATTCAAGTCAACTAGCTAGCGGTACAATGCTTTCATTTGCTTTGTGCTTAGACCTCAAAGAATGTTTTACCTTTGATAGTTTTGTAAAATAATTAGTATTAAGTTTTGTAAAATGTCCAAAAAATTCCGAAACACATTAACTTTTATAAGATTGCATGCAAAAAGTTACCGTTAGTTTGCCTTATTTGAGTAAGCTTAAATAAAGTCAACATCTTATTTAGTCACGTCATATTTCGATGCTTAATTATGCATTATATTATAAAATAAATTATGTGCAATGGTACTTTTGTTTATTATAAGGCTATTGGATAAGGGATGTTTATATGGGGTTTATAAGAAACCTTAACTTTTAAAACCGTTTTCATAGTTTTGTAAGAGAACCAGCATTAAACATTTTGTAAACGTTCAATAAATACTAAAACACCCTAAGTTTTATAATATTGCAGCCGAAAAGTTTCCGTTACTTTAGTTTATTTGACTAAACTTAAACAAAGTCAACATCTTATATAGTCACGTCACATTTCGATGCCTAACTAAAAAAGCAAAGTACTTATTATATTATAAAATAACTTGTTTGTTTATTATAATGATATTAGACAAAGAATGTTTATAGGGGGTTTATAAGGAACCTTACCTTTTATAACTATTTACAAAGTTTTATAAGACAATCAGCTTTTTTTTATTTGAAAAAAAAAGACAATCCTCAGCATAAATTTTTTTATGAACATTCAATAAATACTCATAGACCTTATTTGACTAAACTTAAATAAAGTCAACATCTTATTTAGTCACGCCACATTTCGATACCTAACAAAAAAAGTTATAAAATAACTTATGTGCAATGCCACTGTTGTTTATTATAAGGGTATTAGACAAAGGATGTTTTAAAGGGGTTTATAAGAAACCTTGCACTTCATAGCCTTTCATAGCTTTGTAAGGCAAAACACCTTAAGTCTTATAATATTACATCCAAAAAGTTTCCATTTCTTTACCTTATTTGAGTAAGCTTAAATCAGCTGAATATCTTTTAATTACTTCACATTTCGATGCTCAACAAAAAAGCAAATATGTAAAACACGTACTTATTATATTATAAAATAACTTACTTTCAATACCACTTTTGTTTATTATAAAGATATAACCACACATTTTATAACAGTTTTTAGAGTTTTGTAAGGCAATTAGTATTGCACGTTGTGTAAAACAGTCAATAAATACCCGAAATATCTATATAATATGGCATCCAAAAAGTTTCCGTTGCTTAACTTCAAAAGCAAATATGTAATACAAATACTTATATTATAAAATAACTTTTGTGCAATGCCACTTTTGTTTATCATAAAGCTCTAAGACAAAGGATGTTTATTAAGAAGTTTATAAGAAACTTTACCTTTTGTAACAGCTTTTTGTAGTTTTGTAAGGCAATTGGTATTGAGAGCTTTGTAAAATGCCCAGTAAATACCAAAACACCTTGTTTTATAATTTCCCATCCAAAAAGCTTCTGTTATTTTATCTTATTTGAACAATGCATCAGCAAAGAAGTAAGAACGGAGTAGAGGTACTTATTATATTATAGAATAACTTATTTGCGATGCCACTTAAGTTTATTATAAGGTAACGCATAATTATAATAGCTTTTTCACAGTTTTATAAGACACCCAATAAAAACATTTTTGTCTAAGGTGCCTATTTGCTTAAGGTCAAATAAATTGATACTTCACTGTGTAACAGAGGTACTTATTGTATTATGAAATAACTTTTTATAATGGCTTTTGTAGGTTTGTAAGACGTTTTTTTTATTTGCTTTTTTCATTTTGAAATTTTGTAACTAACAAAATACTCAATGTAGCAAAAAGAATAATATTGACTTTTAGAGGGAATTTAATTCTTTACAAAACATAACTACAAAACGTAATATTTTTTTATAATGTTATTTTTTTTAAGTTCTTTTATCGTTTTTTAAATAATTTTTTTTCACTCAATAGATGAAATTTGTATTCCGCATCTACTGAAAATGATTTATTTCTAATATTTGCATATTCGTATCTATTTATAACCTACCTTCTTTGCTCGTCATTTGCTTCCTTTTTCTTCGAATTATTGTTTGAAAAAATATGAACAAACCTAAAAAAAGAAGAAAATAACGTAACTGCTCGCGAACACAACATTTTCACAACAATTGGCTGTGGGCACCCTTTATTTAATAAGATGTCGGTATAATTTTTCTGAAATTTTAAAATCCATCCAGTGGTTTCACAGCATATCTCTCGTATAAGGAGTCCCACAGAACGAAGGCGTTCCATCTGGGGTCGCTCCTGACTGCCAAATCCTTGTTGATATCCAAATATTGTAGTTCACCATTGGAAACATCCACCTTCGGCCAATCCACTAGTTCCAATAGCGAATCCCGGTCTGGTGTTGGGTTTCTAACATCAGAGGTAAGATCTTGTAAACCTAAACATATTTTTATAGGCGCAACTTACAAGTATTTGGCAAAATTTGTCCATAACTTCATTAGCCTATAATGCGTATTTTGATCGGCTTGACTAAATTGGCTCAAGTTTGTATTATCCTTTAAGCTGTATTTTAAAGTTCTCGAGAATATGTAATTTAATTCTTCCGAATGGGTAACGTTGCCTGTACCTAAAATCATTTGAGTTTCTTTTCAATTTTAGACATTTGTCATGCAAAAATTTTGATGAATAGTCTAGTAATGTAAGAATGTAAGTCTAGCTATTATTCGTTAAACTGTTTCCAATACAATAAAAAACCAAAAGTTCTTTAAACCAAGAAGTCCAATTGTTCTATTTAATTATTTATTTTTTCAGAAAATAAAAACCTTTTGTGTGTGTTGGAAAATCAAAATCTATACTAGGTCCCAACTAGTGACTGGATATATTTATGAAAAAACAATCACCAATTTCCTGGAAGCTTTATGGATGAGAGGGCCTAACGGAGAGCTCACTTTTAACGAGGAAATAACTATGAATGTGGATGTGGATACTACCAAGATTGTAGCACACATATAGATGTCCGCCACCATTTTATGAGAAAGAAAATAGAAGAGAACATTTCGAAGCTGGAACATAGGTACCAACTGAACAGATGGCTGCCGAATCAAATATAGGCTTTTTGTAGAGTGTGTAACTAGTTCATTAGGGCTGTTTCCTGTAGTCCGACGTTAACATGTTTTTTGTATGCTATGAGGTAATACAACGGTTAAACGTAATACCTGCCAGTTTTCCGGTATAATCTCCCATGTCTCCGTCATATGCGAAAATGTAAAAGTATGTATCCGCAAACGGAGCCTGAAGTTGAGCATGCTTAATAATGGACCTGGCGAAACACTGATCCGTGAGGTACTGCAAGGGAAATTAATGATAATATTTGTCGCGCAAACTTCATCAGGTTCTGTGCCACCATATAGAACTGGACTGAATGATATCGATAATATACAAAATGTCCCGAATTAATAAACCAAACTATAATACCATATTCTACATCCAAAATAAGCCCTGGTTTTCTATATAAACGTTGGTCTGTGGCGTAACTTTTGATGGGTACAAATAACACACACCGAAATAATTTTGTCTGAGTTGACTTTTGGACTTACTAGTCACAAATCTTCTGGATTCCTCCTGCGTTTCTCTGTACCTGTTTTTATATTGGTGAAAGCTAAAGACTTGAGTCGCGGTGAAGACTGTTTGTTGCTCATAAATTTCTATGGATTCTCGGATTTCTCGTTGGTACAAAAATTGATTGCATGCAATTACGGCAACGGTTGAGTTTATTTGTCGTAGTCTTGGCGGCTCTTCATATTCTTGGAGCCTAGTTCATATTTTTCGTCCGGTCTCTCCAATTTATGTTTTCCCGCATATGCATGGAATACTGTAAACTCCTGATATCTGGACAACTAATGTGGGGTTGCTTTCGAACTCTTTGGAAGGTTGTGGGGAAGTAAATTTTGTGATGGAACGCTTAATATCTCTAATGTGGAAATGCTTAGGGAGAAGAGCAGATGTAAGGTGTCTTAATTATAAGTTCAATGAGTCGAGAATCATCAGTACAGGTTTTTCATAAAGTTGGTTTCTAGGATTTTAATATATCTGAAATAAAATTGAGAGTTTCAGGAGTAGGGACTTTAGTAAAGAGAGATTCTATTTCGAAACTAACTAGAATATCGTTTGGATATAATCTAATGGGTTTTAAGTACCCAATGAAATGAATGGAATTATGTAGGAATTAAGTACGGATCTATCGGTTCCCCCCGTAAAGGGTTTTAATATAGAAGCCAGATATTTTGCTAGAGAATATGTTGAAGAACCAATGGGCTTCTAAATCTTAGAGGATCCGTAGAGACGAGGAATTTTAGAATCATGAGGGGTGAGAGACTTTTTCACAGATCATGATTATTAAAAGACTTCAGGTTGCGTTCCATAAATGACGTAGAATCTTTTTTTAAATTAAAGATAGAATCCATCTGTAAGAACATCTTCAATTTTTTCCTGATACTCACCTGTGTTCATGACTACCGCCTTTCCTTTCTCTGCTCTTAGAATTACGACGTCGGGATCAGATTTTAGATATTTTAGAGGAATGCATTCAGCCTTTGGATTTAGGAGGAGAAAAGGGCCTTAAGATTACGAAAAATAAACTCAGCAGCAGTTGCCGAACACAATTATGAAACCGGACATCAAATCATATTCGACAAAACCACATTTCTTGCATGTAATCTTCTACCAACGAAAAATCCGAGAATCTATAAGCAACCAAACAAACTTAATCGCGATTCAGGTCTTTTCTAGCAATGTGTTCATAACACTTATTTAGCTCCGCCCCCCAAACAATATATAAGCAGGCTTCAGTCAAGCTTTGAAGAAGCCAACAGAGAGAGAGAGAGATGAAAAATTGACTTTTAGACTTGCTAAACGGTGTATTTTTGATCCATCCATCCATCCATCTTAGCGATATCGATCGTAACAGAATATAACAACCCACAAAAAAGTTATTGCAGTTTTTGTTACCTGTACCCCTCAAAAGTTACGCCCCTGGCCAAAATTACTAAAACAATAAAATTTCAAACTTTCTGTCATTTTGTTTCGGAAATATTTCGTCAGGGGGCATTCCTCGATATATATTTATATAGAAAACTAGGGCTCATAGTTTGGCTCATTTTTGGCACACTAATTTCGGGACTCCCAGTGTATATATCAACTTAATAGATTCACCTAGAGGCTACTCATGTTTCACTCTCACCACTCTATGGGATATTTTAGTGTATAATAATTTAAACTAAGTTTTTCGAAATTTATCTAAATTTCTGCGAAAGGTAAGAAAAAAAATTGCGTATATAAATAATAAGCTTCGCTCACCCTTACGGTTCCCACAATTTGGTCGTGGTAATCGATATTTGCCGAAATTGAATAAAAATCTTGCAAGTATTTAATGACAGTAGATCTGTTCTCATTGCTCTCGACGAGATGCATATTAAGTGGTAAAAGTAACGATTCATTATTATCGAAAGCATCAGTTACGTCCTTGATATGAGCTGAAACACAATTGTCTGTTGGAAAAATAGTTTTGGAACGGTTGCGAAATTGGACAAATATCTTGCCAGCGCAGTGCAAACTTTTGGGAGGGGCGAACGACAAGCGCAAAACACAGACAGTTAAGTAAATATCGCCCGGAACAAGTCAAAAGTGACAAAGTAAGTATCTCAATGTCGCTAGAGAAGACAATACCCAGAAAAAAAAGCAATTCTTTGATGTTGATTACGTATATCTTCAATATTTTAACATTTTTTAAATTAATAACAATAGAATTGATTTATGAAAATTTATAAATTATGATTTATAATTTTATAAGGAGAAATAAAATACCTATTTTTTAAAATGAACTATTTTCTCTTTTAAACGCGCAATAAAAACCAATTTTTCCACTGACTGGATCAAATTCGTATTCTACACCATCGAAAATAATTTTCGAACGATTGCGAAAATTGTGTTTAGGAGTATTCACACTAAACTTGTAATAAATATCTTGTCGGCGCAGTGCAAACTTTTGAGGGGAGCAAACGACAAGAGCAAAATACAGACAGTTAAGTAAATATCGCACCGAACAAGCCAACAGTAATAAAGCAAGTATTATCAATGTCGCTAGAGAAGACAATACACAGAAAAAAACAATTCTTTGATGTTGATTAAGTATAACTTCAATATTTTAACATTTTTTAAATGAATAACACCCGCTTAAATTAAGAATTCATTTATAAAACGTATTTTTGAAAATGAACTATTTTCTGTTTTAAACGACCTAGCAATCAAATAAAAAAGACAAAACGTAATATACCTTCGATTTGAGAAAATGTTTGTGTCGCATGCTCAATATTAGGAAATATAAATCTATAAAATAATTGTCTCAAAATTATGATATTCTTAATGTACTAAGTTTGACATCCTAATCTACAAATGTTTTTAAAATATATTTTCCATTTAACATTATCATGCACTACTTAAGATGAATGAATTTTTAAGAATTTTATATAATTTGTTAATAAAAAAGGGTTAAAATTGTTTCTCATTTTTTTTGTAAAATTTACTATAAGGAGAAGCAGACAACCAAACACTAACAGAAAATTAACAATACCAAAATTACCTATACAAATTACGCGGTGGCAAAAACTTGTTCTACCTCGTTCCAGTTTTTTCTATATATAATAATAAAAATAATAGTTTTGGATAGATAAAATTAAAGTAAATAAAAAAATAAAATGTGTTATTCATCACTGGCCTTTAACAATGGTAGAAATTTAATTTGGTCATAATTATTAATGTATTTTTAGTAACAATTCTAAAAGAGTCCATTTTTAAAAGTATTTTTAACCAGCTTTATTTGTTAAAAATTATCAAGAATCATTGATCAATAAATAACATGTTTTAGTAAAAAGATAAGACGGAAACCTTTTTATATTTTTTGCATGTATTTGCTTATCTCCCAGAATAAAAGTTTTCCATTATTAGATTGGCCTAAACAAAATTTCAAATAAATCTACTTTAAAAATATATTCATTTTGACGGAAAAATTACCACCTTCTCGATGTAAAACTAGGATACGATCAATCAAAACAGGTATAAGTTGTTGAGGGAATTGATATAATGCTTGATTTAAAGCTACTATATGAATGTTTTTAAGTATATATCTAACTAATTTAAAACTATCAAAAATTCAACATAAAATTATGCTAGTAACTCTCTATTTTTAAAACGAATAAGTGTATGCGCAATTCCAGTTGCTAAATATCTAAAATTTTAAAATGAAGCGATGAATATTTAATTATCTACATTTTTGAAAGAAAGAAAGAAATTCGACATACCCAAGCGAGGCATTTCATTTTGTTAAAAGAACTTAAGTTTATTTTAACAAAATAATATCTTTAACATCTTACGCATCTTAATATTGAGAATTGGCCATTTTAATTTTAAGCCGACATAGTCTTGAGTACATGCAAAGCTTACTTATGCTCAAATTGAACTTAACATTTTTGTTTTTTCCATGTAGAATTATCATGACTTCTTAATCGATAAAATTAAACAAAGGCAGGAAAATGTTACGAATATTTCTTATTTCTTAAAAATGCATATTTTAAGCAAACTATACTACTTACAATTATACTGATTAATGCATTCCTCTGCATTCATACCAATAATAACGGGGACTTTGTTAAAGTTGCCATCCCTAATAGCTTCGTACATTCCTGTTGTCAGGAAGGCGTCTTCATTATCGGGTTCGATAACCGGCGCGTAATAAAAACCCTGTTGAAGTTGCATGTTACCCGGACTTTCCTGAAAAATAATCCTTCAACTTCAAACTTTTGTTAGGTGAAAGTGTTTCTCACCTATACAAAGCACGTTCAATAACTCAGAAAAGTGCTAACCAATAAAAGGTCTTGAAAGAGTAATATAAAAATAACAATAGTCGGGGAAAAAATGTACTATTTTGTTTTATAAAAAATATATCCATAAAATCATTCAAAATGACGAACAAAAAAATATCGTGAAATTTTGAGCCCTTGATCATTTCTATTTTCTACGGTTTAGTCCTTACTTCATTATTGTGTCAAAACAGCCGAAGGGTTGAGGCAAAAATATTTACTTGAAAATATTTTTGTAGCAAATTAAATTCTCGATATAACAATTTTTTATAGAGAGTTAATACACCATCGAAAGTTATCAAATCGTCAATATTAAAAATAAAAATTATATTTTTTACTATTGAAAATTATTTGCTTGCAATATTTGAGTGGAAAACAAATTCATTTTTTTCTCAAGTTTATTGGCGAATAACTTTTTCCAAAAATTACTTCATAAAAAAGTATTAAAAGGCCTTTTTGGGGAACATTAAAATCAGTATCAATTTAAAAATCAGTATCATCATTGTATATTCATGTTAGTTACAAAGTTCCAAAAGAAAAAATTAAATTAATTGTTTTTTTTTCTTTATAGAAAATTCTTGTTTCTATAATTGTTTGGCTGTTTTGACTCAATAATGAGATTTTGACAATAAAATTGAAAACATCTCTTCCAATTCGTATTGAGTTCAAACTCTCACGGTTTTTTGTGTATTCTGAATGATTTTATCCAAATTTTTTTCACAAAAAAAATTGTGAGGTCGACTTTAAAATTTGGTTGCCAAATTTGTATACAAATAATTAAATGAAAGGAGAAGACTAAATGTTTGAGAGAAAAATAAAAAATCTGTTAGTCGTAGTTTGAAACCAGTTTCAAGGATAACTCAATGCGTAATCTTAACATCCCATGGGTTTTTTGAAAAAGTGAAGAAATATCTCATAGTTGAATCAAAAATAAGTCCTGTCCATATCATCCAAATGTACTATCAACAACGGGTCGTTAGAGTATTCTTTCCATTAAGTATGTGCTCTGAAAACCTTTGAAATAGTTCCTTTATTTATCATGCTCACTGTTTCGTGTACCTTACTGACAGAAAAACCAATAATACATTTTTTTTGTGTAGAAAAATGAATATATCACGTTCATTTGATCATTGATATTTTGATATTTATAAAAACGTCAAACGTCATTTAGCTAGAAAGTTTCGCACAGTATTGATATCTCAATGTCTTGAATTTGATGTTTTGTATTTTCTAAGTGTTTGTGATTTTCTTATCAGCTGCTAAGGTAAGTGCCAACTAATAACGATAAGAAAACAAAAATAAAAACATTCCTGATCTCGATAATAACAGTTCTGCACCATGTTTTGAAAATTCTGATTTTAATTCTATGGGCGATCCTAATTTGTGACTGTTTAATGAAAAAAACGACCAAACTCCATAAAAATATTTAACGTTTCTTTGGAATGACATTCTATCTTGATTTGATAAAAGTAACGAAATGATTTAAAATGTTAATATTGATTGACATCAATTAGCAATAAAATACAAAAGTATAGTTTATAAAGGAGTAAAAATGTGACCTTCTTTAGTTAATTTAAACAAGGTCTAAAACGATCAAAAATTAAAAAAATACACTACTGACACAAAATGTGCCGGGCTAAATAATTTCAAAGAAAATCCCAATTTTTTTATTATACATACAATTAATAACCAAAACGCAAAAAAAAGTCATAACGACGATTTACAACAAATAGGACACACTTTAATAAATCTGGATAAAACTGATATTAACGATGAATTAGGAGTTATTTTTCAATACTGTTAAATATTAGTTTACCACCTGGTTTATTTATCACAATGAGTTAATAACGATAATATATTATAACGGTAGCAACAACGTCATTTATTTTACAATACTATCAATTGAAAACGATTTTTTTAAAATAATAATATTTTATATATAAAAATATAAAAAAAAAACATTTAAATAGATATACATTACATTTTTTTGAAATAAAATGTCCTAGTAAAATTTTTATTATAACAATAACAATAAAAAGAGACAAAAGCTGTCATGAAAGAGCCCGATTTTTGAGCCCCCAGCGATGTAAATCCGGTGCTGTAGTTTCACGATCCAATAGAAAGAGTATGCAAGACTTTGCTAAACTTCTTCAGATATCGTTTATCAAAGTTGTTGCATATTAGAATTCTAATGCTGAGACGGCAAAAACCAAATCAATATGGGGGAAGCTTTAAATTTGTTATCGCGTCCTTGTGGTTGAAGTACCGCTACTTACCAAATTGTAGATTTGTTGCGACGCCCCATCGATATCTCTGGCTGTTGCGTTAAGTAAAAAATCGAGAACTTGTTTTGAGTCGTTCGAGCTGATGAATTTGGGGTCGAGGAGGGCCGCCGTTCGGAACGTATAGGCCCTTTGATCACGCTGATACGCCCAAGGACTAAGCGCGGAACCGCTCTCCAATATGGCCGCCCTAAATAAACCTAGAAACCGTTTCATAAAAATATTGTGTGGAGAAGCATAGCTGGAGAAGAATATTTTATTATAAAGGGAATTTTCTAATCGAATGTCAATAGTTAAGGAGGAGGTTTTTGGGTCCATTTTAAAAAGAAATCTTCATATGTCCTAAACGTTTTAAAAAATTGAACTGAGGAGGCTTTTACTTGATGAAAATCCATTTATCAAAATAAATAAGAACTAAAAGTTCAGATTTTCACGAAATTATATATTTTGACATGACAATTGTTTCGACAACACCGTGTCTTTATGAAATGTAATATTTACAAACTACCTGCTACTATATATACCGAAAAATGACCATAAAACCTTAATTAATGTTGTTGGGAGAATTTAAGTTCAATAAAGGAGAGGTATTTTAATCTAATTGAACGTTAAGCAATACATTTGAATGTCTCATTTTGTTAATCTCCATGGCTTCCAATAAATTTAATTTTCTACTTTTTGTGGCTGTATGTAATATATCAAAATTGTCGTCAAAAATGTGTTTTTCTATGTTTAAGTGTGTAGCATAATTAGAATCTAGACTATTGTTTTTAAACGCTCTTATATGTTCGTTAACGCGTTTCTTGAAGGATCTACCTGTTTGTCCAATATAAACTTAGGACAAAATCCACATTTCAACCCCTAGACACATGATTTTTGGGATTTTGGACATTTCGATTTATTGTTTTTTAAATATTTTCCTATTGTGTTGTTAGTTCTGAAAGCTATTTTTAAACCACATTTTGACAAATGTTTTGAAACTTTTTCACTAGGTTCTCCTATGTATGTAATTGTTTTAAATTGTTCATGTTCTGTATTAGAATTCGGATAAATAGAGTTTACTGTTGTCCGTATTTGTTTTTTATTTATAATTTTATCTATAATGGACGGATTGTAGCCGTTGTTCAGTGCAATTTGTTTAATGATATTAAGTTCTTTGTTACAATTTTCTGTTGAGAGTAGCGTATTAAGAAGTCTGTGTATAAAAGAGTTAAATGCAGCCATTTTGGTGTATAAGGGTGATTTGAGGTGTTATGTATGACTGTGTCCGTGTGTGAAGGTTTAAGATATCTTGAAAAATCTAATTTGTTTTGCACTTTCGTAATAATTAAGTCTAAAAAATTAATAATGAATTTTATACGATTATGTATTGAGTTAATATAATTTAAAAAAGAATTCAATTGTCTGTCCGTTCCAACAAAGCAAGCATATCTATACCACCATAAAAAACTTTTACTTAAAGGATGTTCTAGTATAATGTTTTCCAAATTATCCATAAAGATCTCGGCTAATAAAGGACTAAGTGGGTTTCCCATAATCAAACCTTCTTTAGAGATATAAATCTGTCCATTAAATTCAAAATAATTTTGGTCTAAAGACACTATTAAGCAATCTAATAAATCTTGTTTCACCAATGGATTAACCTGTTTCCGAGTTAAGCAATAAAGAATCAGGTGTCTACAGGTTGAAATGCTGATCTTGTCCTGAAATTGATATTGGACAAACGCATTAACGAACATATAAGAGCGTTTAAAAACAATAGACTAGATTCTAATTATGCTACACACTTAAACACAGAAAAACACATTTTTGACGACAATTTTGATATTTTACATACAGCCACAAAAAGTAGAAAAATAAATTTATTGGAAGCCATGGAGATTAGCAAAATGCGACATTCAAATGTATTGCTTAACGATGAATTAGATTTAAATACCTCTCCTTTATTGAACTTCAATTCTCGCAACAACATTAAGGTAGTTTGTAAATATTACATTTGATAAAGACACGGTGTTGTCGAAATAATTGTCATGTCAAAATATATATTTTTCTGAAAATCTGAACTTTTAGTTCTTATTTATTTTGATAAATGTTTTTAATATCTGTGATACCACTTTAGATATTTTAATGAAATTTCTACAAGTCTATTTTGTCAGACATTGATGGTACGCCACTGATTTCTCGTAAAATAGAATTTATTCTTACAGTCTCCAATCATATCTAAAAAAAATAATTTCTCAATATTTTTCAGTCGTATCTACGGTTTTCGCTCTTCTCTGCATGGTCATAACAATTCTGTTAATATAACAGAATGGTGAAAATTATTATTTCTTACTGAAGTAATTATCTATCTGGCTTATTAAAATGCTTCAAAAATTCGAAGTACGAATAAAAACTATTTAAACTCGGAGGTGTGTTTCTGAAATCTTTAAAATTGTTTCTTATCACTGCAGGAGGCTGTGTCTGTAAGAATTATTCATTTGGCGTTTACAATAACCGAACATATCATTTTTAAAAAATGGTCGAGTTTACTAATGATGAGTTGGCAGACATGTAAGACAGGACTGTAAGAACTCCAAAAATTGACGAAGCAGGTTTGAATTACATTGATGAAAATCCTGATCTGAGTACTGGAAGAATTTGAAATGGAAAATCACGTGTTCCGTGTTAATTTTTGTAAATGGTGTTTGGATAAAAACCTTTGTGTGAACAAGAACTACTATTCACAGATCAAGCTAACGATTGCAGAAATGCAATCGGAAATTTTCACAATAACCATATTATTCCTTAATTGGACCTTTTTTCCTGCCAGAAAGGCTAAATGGCCATAATTATGGCCAGTTTTTAGAAGAGGATTTCCCAATGTTCCTAGAGGTACCAGAAGTGTTCTTTTTAAAATGGACCCAAAAATCGCCCAATTAATTATTGACATTCAATTAGAAAACACCCTGTACATATTTAGACGGGGCGTAAATTTTATAGGAGCCATCTTGATTTTGTATTTTAAAAAACTGAAAATTTTGGCTAATTTGACATTTGAAAGGGTGAGATTTACGTCTTTGGTATGACTTTACGAATAAGTTAAACTTTTAAAAGTTAAAGAAGAAGAAGAAAATATTTTAAAATTTTCGCAACTCCATAATCCGAGTGAAGGTCAGTGCGACAAATGATTTTTAAAAATAAATTTATTTTTTTCAGATCAGAGGCCCTTCTTACAGTTTCCAACATTTCTGGGGTTATTCTTCTGCACCTACTCTTCTTTCACGATGTTCTTACAGAGCTCTTACAAAGCTTTCGTCTTCCACAAACTGGGATTAAAATTAGCCCCGGCATTCTTTTTTACAGATAGGTTCAGTGGCTTCAGACTTTTCGAGAAATTCGTGCAGCTTCTCTAGTACAACTATTATTTTGATAATAAATGGCGACCATCTTAATTCTATGTTCTATGTCTACTAGTCATTACACCAAACTTAAAAATAGCACACTGCAGATAAACGGCCAAATAAACAAATAATAAAAAAGTACATACCTTTATGTAACAAATTTGTACCCAATTTTTGTTATCTGCGATTGTTTTAGTAGGTAAATAGTTACCAGCTTAAACTGACTTAAAAATAACGTTGCAATTAATGAATTTAAATAAAATAGCCACAGAAATGTGTATTCTGTGCCAGTAATTTAAGTCAAATACTTCAAAAAATAATAAACAAAATGTTAAAATTGTAACTTATTCGCAAAGGCATAACAAAGACCTATAAAAAGAGGCGCCACTTCAAACTTTAAAATAGCCGAATCGTGTCCCCTTCAAGACGGATCCTTAAAAGAATAAGGATTCGAAGTGTCTGAAAGTTAACAACAAATTAAGGAAAATTAAAGTACCTGCAGATTTGGGACTTAAGATATGATAAGAGACGGACGCCGAACCGGCACTTTGTCCAAATATTGTCACTTTACTTGGATCACCTCCAAAGTACTTGATGTTCTGTTGAACCCATTGTAGCGCCAGAGTTTGGTCTTTTAAACCGGCGTTTCCTTGAATTACATCATCACCAGTAGAGAAAAATCCTAAAATAAAAAAACATATATATTGCACTTACATAGTTGAGTATACAGGTAACAGAAGAAATCCACAAAATCTACAGTATCCTTCATGAAATTTAATTTAAAAAACGGGTGACCTATTTCGCTTAAAATAGCATCGGTAGACCTACGAAAATGTCGAATACAGGATTTCCCATGGTTTATAAGAACCAAAATAGATATTGATGTTAAAATTCAAATCAAATATAAATTTTTTTTATTGCATTTTCGAATTCGACATGCAAATTTAAACAGCTTCCGCTAATTGTTAATACACAGGTGATTGCTACTGAATGTATTTCAAAACTGTGCATGCAATATCAAAAATTTTTTACAGGGGATGCCGAAAAAGTGCACTTTTGATAGAAATATAGTAATAATAAAAAACAGTTTTTTTAAAAATCCATACCTACATTGACTGACTAGGCCAACAAACTAACCTAACAAATGATTATACGTGTTCGTATATCTATCTCTTAGATTGGACATGGCTCGCATTTATTCCAACTCGCAAGGCAGAAACGCGTTATCAGGTGTCAATCAATTGAAGCTCCTTGACGAGAAATTACAAGAAAAGGTGCCTGAAGTTAGAATGACGTTAAGCTGTCGTAAAATTATGTAAAATAATCCAGGGAAAGTGCAGCAGAGCTGTCAGTCGTACTAAATTCAGAAGGTACGAGAAAAATTTTCTGGAAAATAGAAGCATTAAAGCTGCGAGATTTTTACCGAAGCTGATGATGTACACAATTTTGCGAAATATTTCTAATTCATACCCAAGAGTGTCCAGATTTCTGGCGTAAAATAATTTGGACTGAAAGCGAAAATCGACTCCCATAAATAGTGTTGACAAATCAATTGTTCGAATACGCAGAACTTTCGACTAATTAAATCTCGACTTTCCAGAAAGTTAACTGGGCTGGTGGGCCGAGATTTTCTTAACCATTTCATCTCTATACACCCCAACATACGTTTTATCATTGAATTAGAGATAAACAATAATGTCCCATTCTTAGATATTCTTATTAATAGAAATTATACCAAATTTGAGATAAGTATTGCAGTGGCCTGTGGAAGTGTGTTGAAAAAAAGAAAACAGCTCAACATGATGCACTGTTGCTGCATTTTGAAGACCACTGCTCTAAATCGAATTCATCTGCATTGGAGTATCTCCGGTGGCAGGAAGACTCAATTTTATTATTATAAAACAATAATCTCACCGAAGGGACCCAGACGATAGTTAATGGTGACCAATACGACATCGTACTCCATAAAAAAGTCTGGTCCATAGCGGCCGTTGCGGCCGCTCGCTCCTTCCACGAAACCACCACCGTGTATGAAGAACATTACGGGCAATAGGGTGTCGGATATCTACGTTAAAAAATTGCACTAAATTTATGGTGGACAACTGAAAGATTATGTGGTAAAATAGAGATAAATTGCAAAACAGTTTTCTTCATTTCAATTTTTTAACACATACACACCTCCAATCGTTCCTAAATTAGGTAAGTTTGGTGATGTTACACTGGCTTTACTACAGGTAAGTTCTTTAGGACAATAATAGTAAATGATTAGAATTACATAAATTCGACGTCTTTCGATTCCTAATCATACTCCTCCCTATCTTCCCATAAGTCTTATCGATTCCCTCTCTTTTGCGCGGTCATCCCCGTTTTCTTCATCCTTGCGCGTTCCGATTTCATTTCATTTAGATATAAGCATAGGGTGTAGTCTATATAATCGTCATCTACTGGTCTTCACATATTACTGTATTTTCATGCCCAGGTCTTCAGTATAGTTTCTAAATAAATTTTAGATATTGTCGCAGCAACCTTGCTTGAGATCTTTTGATAACCTTGATCTTTTGATAACCTTGATCTTTTGATAACCTTGAAGCTATCCCAAAGTTTTACTAGCGGTACGCTGTTGTAATCTTTTTTCAGATCGACAAACAAGAGATCAACTTCTTTGCTAAATGCTATTTTCCTTTCCAGCATTTGTGTTCTCGTAAAGAGGTGATCAATGGACGATTTTCCCGCTCTAAAGACCGCTTGTTACTTTCGAAAAAAAGATGAAACTCGATAAACTCGGTATCTCGGTAATGGTTGGTACAGAAATCCGTTCTCCGTTCTCCGTTTCTCGTCTTTTGGTTTTTACGAAAGAACTTTTGAACAGTTTGACTTACGCAATTGAGATTTGTCTCCTGTCTGATTTGGCTGCATGAACTTTTATTCTTGACAATTTTTCAAAAATGTACATGATGCACCGCAAATTAAAAAGAACTGAAAAATGGGTCCCCCTATTGTTGGAAATCGGCGATAACAAAAGGACTGTGTTTCAAATATCACGTTCTTTTACATGGCAATAAAGGTCGCATACACAGGTAAAACTTCTCTATTTAAGGTTTTCACCTATTGTACAGGGTGTTCGCGATATTCCGTGCAATATTAAAAAATGTAATAGGTGCCCTAAATTTGCAACTACCGACTTCAGGTTTGGCAGAGAAGTAAAAGTTCAGACGCCTATTTAAACTATTAAAGGAGAGCGCAAGGTATTTTATTTTAATTAAACCGTTCACCCGATCGGCAAAATTCTTTTACTAACAAAGGCGGATGAAATAGTGCTATAACATTTATTTCGAGCATTTTTTCAATTATACAAAGGGTTTTTAAATTATAGGCAAAAATCTAAAAGACTTTGAAAATTGTTCTTTTCCAGAGTAAATTATTAATCGCAAATCAAAAATTGTAAAAAATATGCTAATCCGTTCAAACAGTGTCATAGGCCGCATTAATAATTACAATTTTCACAGACGCTGCTCGAGAAATTAAAAAAAATACATATGACAATCACTATTCCGGAAGCCGTCAAGACGCGACGACGTCATTGATTATTACGACGCACTACATGGTTCCAGAAAAGTCTTATTTTTTCGAAAACCATTTACTATTTTAAAAAAATTCTTGAACCAGGACATGTGGAAAATCCAGGGCTATAACCTCCATTTCGGTAATTTTTTAATTATGTACAGGGTGTGTCGATTATAGGTAAAAATGTCTAAAAGACCCTGAAAATTGTCGTTTTCATTTGTAAATTTTTAGCAGCTAATGAAAAACTATAAAATTTATAAAAATTTGGTCCAAACAGTTTCGTAAATTATGAGGAGAGAGTCCTAGGTTACGTCTATCATACAGGGTGCGCAATACTTGGAATATTATAATTGGAAACGCGAAGCGACTGCTTTTCGAAATAACAAGCTCTATTCCCTTTCTGGTCTGTTTTTTTAGACTTTTTCCATATATTCGACTAACGGAATTTCTAACCGAGTATGGTTGGCAAATAAGATTCTTTCGGCATTGTCGATGTGTTATTCACCTCTGGTGTAAATTTCTTAGTGCATGATACAGTTTTTCGCTTCGGTATTTGCCATTCTTTCAAGTTCCATTCTTCCTTTTCCTGTTCTGTTCTCATGTTTCTGAGGAGCAACTTTTAAAATTTCTGTATTTATTCTTCCTCGTATGTATGCGTCGAGCCTTGAACATGTGCTTTGCCATTGGCTATTTTTCTATCTTCGTACTCTGGCTTGTGATTCTTTATACCTTAGTTTGGGGTTTATGTTTTTTGAGATTAATTATTTGTGGAAATTTTTACGCCTTCATTATATTTCATATTCAATCTCTTCATCCCACCAATATGGTTTTCGTTGTTTTCCGCTCTTCTTCTGCTATATTTTCTGGTCCAGCCGGGTCTTATACTTTCGTTTTCCAGGTTAATAGTGTCAAATCTTAGTGATGTTTCCTCGTTTGCCGGTTCTTCTTCCCATTTAGTATTGTCTCGATTTATTAATTGATGTTGTCTTTCTTTTCAAGTGGCCACTTCCATAACTCTTACGTTTACGAATTTTAATCGAGATTATTGTCTTGTTATTACATAGTTAACAATATTTCTAAGTTTCTTGTTGTCTCTGTCCACGTGTTATTATTAAATATTATACAATACAATACAATGCAATTACATATGTAATTTTTTTAGTCACCATGTTCGGAGTAGTCAGATGAAGTATAGTCGAGTTCAGGGAAATAATGAGGCTCCTCAATGTTTTCTAGCATGTTATCAACTTCCCGCATTCTTTCTTCTATTTTAATTACCTATTCGACGCACTTACTCCATTTTTTACAGTGTCTACTGTCTTTGTTTCCACTTCCAAGAGGGTTCTAACTTCCCTCGCTCATACCAATTCTATGTGGTTAACTCACAGTCTTATACCGTTTTATACTTGGTTTTGGAGCTATTTGGTCGACAACAAACTTCGTACAAACAGTAGCTCCTTTTCAATCGTTCTGAAATCGCATCTTATTTAAAGTAAGTTAGTGGATGATGTGATTTTTTTCCCAAGAAGACGTGGGTATCTTTTATGAATGAAAACATCCTTTTTTTTTACTGACCCAGCGATTTTCAATAACGAACTTTTCGAAAATTTGATTAGTAACAAAACCTCTTGGAGTATTTTAAGTTCGTGATTGATAACTGACTAAAAACGAACTTTCCCGACACCTGTCGGACAGTAATAAAGTAACTATAGTTCTAGTTGGTGCGCCTATGAAATTTCACGATTTACAGTTCAATAATGAAAATAGGTAATGCAAATTTGGACCCTTATTAGATATTTCATATATTATAAAAAAATTTGCCTATTGTTTACACGACGAAAAAAACTAAACTAAACTGAACTAAAATTTTAGTTTATAGGATTTTTTGCGGAAAATAAAGTATTTAGTCAACAATATCTACTATAATTCGCTGTTGATTGCCTAACCTGGCAAAAAGAATTTCGGATAAAGAGTTGTTTGTTTTGTTTGTTTGCTTGATTAAAAAAAAAACTGGTGCACAGTGAAAAATGATTTTTGTTTTAGTTAAATTATGACGTCCATCTTATTTTTTGTCTCTCTTACTCACTCTGGGGGTGTAGACGTGTAAAAATAGACAGTCTTCATTTTCCGTATTAGAGTTGCCGGGTACTTGAAAGCAGATGTTCTTCTCGGCGGTGGCATCGTAAACCCCCGTCCAAGGTTCTACAGCTTTGGGCGCCTACAACGTTAATGATTGATTAACGAACGATTGACGATAATAACAAACATATGAGGCGATTACCTTAAATCTCAATTCGCCCACGGGTGGTCTTCCGTATCGAATACCACTAAAGGAATAGAAAGTGTAATTCGATGAGGTCGTCTCTGTTTTTCCTTGAATTTTTCCATTGGGAGTGTCCACCGTTGTCTGAGAAATCTGTAAATATATTTGTTGGTGCCTGACGAAAAACTTACCCAAAAATACCCACGGCCGACCCGTAGAACGCGAATAAAATACAAAGCAACCGGATCATGTCGCCATTTGATTTAGTGGAAATTTTAAATGACTGTAATGAAATGAACAAAATACTTCTCTCGTAATCGAGATATCTTATCGGAAACAAGGAACCGAGTTTAATCGAATTCGAAGTCGATATTACTTTCAGTACAACTTCTTCGTTATTCATTGTCCACTTTTGATACGATAATTTTCTATCACGAGCTCAACGAAGACGCAAAGACTGCAAGATCAAAAAGCATCTGTTATTTTTGAAGACAAATTTAACATAGCATAGGGAAATCCGTGGGAATTATTTTTGGTAGTGAGGCAAATAGAGAATAGGAATGGCTAGGGTTGATAATAATTTTATTGAATTTAAATCCGTTATCAAAAACCTGCATTTACATATAATACATTTACATATATACTACAAAAAAAAACTACAAAAACTTACATCAACTTAAAAATTATATTTCAAAATAGTAGACTCCTAGGTTAGCTGAACAGACAGCTCGGGCAACTGATGCATTGACGTTTTCTCACTGAACTGAAACCGACCTAGAGCGTTAGATTATATAAGTTTATTTATAAGTTTTTTTGGATCAATATATGGATATATTGGATGTTATTATTAGGCTGGGGGTGTTAATTTTCCCCCTTGGTTTTACTTTTCCCGTTTTAAGACAATTGGAAAGCAACTTTCCCGAGAGTACCAATTTATTAAAAATGTGCTTTATCGTTTTCGATGCTACGTTGTCCCAGTCAGGATTTTTCTTGTGTTTCAAAGATGTTATAGCTTCCAAAAACTTTGTTTTACAAAACATGCTGTCAAATGGCTTATTTCCTCTTTACAAGGAGGCCGAAGCAATTTTTGCAAACATTCTGCACAACATAAGCAAGGAATATTCAAGGAAGAACCAAAACGAACGAAGTATTTAATGCACTAGAGAAGGGAAAGAAAGAGAAAGAGGACGAAAGAAAAACAAAAGTATGTTCGTTTATACAGCGTAAGGAACAAAGCAGCCAGAGTGTCATATCTATGGCAATCAAGAAGAAGTGTAAGCGAGGTATTGTGGGAAGGAGCCAGATAAACGACAGAATCTTCGAAGGAGCAACGAACATCAAGAATGGAATAATAAACGCAACCAAGGTTTAAGGAGCTAAATACAGCAAATATGTTTAGAAACCTTGTAGAAGAATACAAGAAATGGGACCTAGAAATAAACATGGAGAACCCCAGTACATGGCTATTGGGATAAACTTCGGACGGAAGAGACGAAGTGGATGTACAAAACAAAATTAGGAAAAATTGTTATAAGTCAATTACACCCAGTGTTATGGAATGACCTAATTTCCCAAAAAACTAAGAAGAGAATGTTTAATTCCTTTGTGCAAAGTACAATTACCTATGGGTCAGAGGTTTGGATAATGTCAGAGAATATGAAAAAAAAAGGTAGCTTGGGAACGGTGCTGTAAAACCACATTAATAGCCAAATCAAAAATGGCGAAATTTTGAACAGAATGTACGAAGAAAAGAGACTATTAGATACTATTGAAGAATAACAACTAATGTGGTTTGGACATATGAGTCGAATGAGCGAAGACAGAATACCCAAAAAATTTATGAGTGGAGGCCACCAAAAAGAAGGAAAGGAGACAGACCACGGAAAAGCTGGAAGGCATTGATGAAGCTATGCAAAAGAGAAGTCTCACGGCCAAGGCTGTAGCCAAACCGCTTTTATATATAGCAAATATAGCAAATGGGTTATCAAACCGAAGTAATTCTGCTGGGACACTTAAATGGTAGAACTTAATGATCCTATAGTCTATGGAGAAGACACGGTTAACGAAAATAGTGAAAAGCTTATATACAGGATTGAAGATAACCAATAGTTTTTTAAACACAATAAATGAAGGCATCAAGCTCAAAAAATAGCATGATGGAAGAAATAAGTATTCACCAGGCGTTGGGACAAAAATAGCAGTCCAGAACTTGGAAACTTATAAAAAGCACGAGGAAAGAGAATAACGACTCGGCAGGATTAAGTCCTGTAGACATCCAACAATGGGCCGACCACTACAAAGATCTACTGAAGATAGACAACAATTTGAAATTAACGAAGGGTGATTGCTCAGCTTAATTCTCTATTGTGGATCAAACAAATTAGAAAAAGATATTACACTACACCCTCGTAACAACAATAACTAAGTATGGCTCAGATACCTGGGAATTAAGCAAAAGAGACTAGCTGTGGAGATGGACTACTGTTATGTTAGAAATGAAACAGGAAGACGATCTATGGGAGTGGATAATAGGATAATAGACACTACATATATCATCCGTTCGTTTGTTGAACTCAGAATGGAATCCTGCAGACGTTTCGCCACGATCTCACTGGGCATTTTCAACTTTCGCGCTCCGAAAACTCTTCGAACACTGGGAGGTCATCGGCAATGCGTGCGATATTTATACCCTGCGGTGTTGCTTGTGCGGGAGGGGAGACGGCTCCGCCCCCCGAATTGTCTCGTTGTTATTTTTGCCCGATCGTAGTTGCTATGTCCCCGTTGGCTGCTGCGTATCGCTCTGCCATTTAATTATCGTTCTCGACGTATTGGATAAATGCAGAGCATCGTCTCTTGTATTCAAGTGTCCGGACGTTTCTATGTCGATGGCCTCTCGTATATTCCTGTTCCTAAAATCATAAATATTCGCTATTTGCTTGCAAGTATGTTGTTTGTTTCTTTCTTATGGCTAGACCATGTTCCTCGAGCCTGGCTGAAATCCTTCTATTGGTCTGTCCCATGTACGTCAGGCTGCACGATCCGCATGTTACTCCCTGTATACTGTATACTCCCTGGTTTTCCAAAGTAATTGTTCGTTTTGGGTTTCCTAATATTGCTCCAATGGTATAAACATCTGGCAAATGCACTACAGCCCATAATAGAAAAGGCAGATTCCTATGTTAAAAACTGAGAACCTTTCACGCAGATTTTAGGTTCTCTCAAGATGGACAAGGACGACATTATGGCAAGCTTCGATATGAAATCTCTCTACCCCAGTATTCCAGTAGAGGAGGCACTCCTGCTTATAAAAGGAAACGAAGATCTTCCGCCGTATATATCTGTCAAGACACTGCCTGAAAAATGTTTACTTTATGTACAACGGGAAGAGGGAAAATATACCGAGAAGTAGCGGGATGGGATCATCTCAAATACGTTGGCATATATATATATATATATATATATATATATATATATATATATATATATATATATATATATATATATATATATATATATATATATATATATATATATATATATATATATATATATATATATATATATATATATATATATATATATATATATATATATATATATATATATATATATATATATGATGACACTATATTCCGGGATATCATCCGTTCGCTTGTTGAACTCCGACTGGAATCCTGCAGACGTTTCGCCAAAATCTCACTTGGCATCTTCAATGCTCGCGCTCCGAAAGACTTCGAACACTTCGGATGATATAGTGTCATCACATTTTTGCATCCGTGAATCAATACGTGAATATATATATATATATATATATATATATATATATATATATATATATATATATATATATATATATATATATATATATATATATATATATATATATATATATATATATATATATATATATATATATATATAACACAAAAGCCTATATTGTGCAAAATATACGGGATGTTTTAAAGCCACTACAGAAAATATTTTAATTTACTAAAATAGCAAAAAAACAATTAAAGTAAATGGGTTTACTAATTGGTGAAAAAATCATAAAAATCGGATGGAAATAAAAAAAGTTATAAATCACAAAGTGTATGCAAAATGTCAGGCTGGCCCCTACAAGGAAGGTTGTTATTGGACAATTTTTTCATTCAACAATTGTTGCCCGTGTAGTTAATTGTTGCTAAAGAACGCAGTCTGTATTTACACATGCAACCGCTGTTTATTCAAAGGATTGACGCTAATTTATTGAACAAATATTTCCCATTGTTGTTTATTAAATTTGGTTTGGTAATTCGCGATCACGAATGTGATCGATATTGCGAGATGTGTCAGTAACTGCTGCGCACTGGTAGTTTATCGATAAGAGATTGATTTAAATACGACTTCATACCGTCGTTGCTTCTAGATAACCAGTTGTTTGCGATATAATTCGGTAGCGTGTCGTGTTTGAAATCGTTAGATGGCTTTCGCAAACGGAAACGATTTTGCCGAAAATCTGATCGATGGTCTGTCGGCAAAAGAACTGGTGGATTCGGGAAATGGGATTACATACAGGTACATTATTAACTACTGAATTTTTGGCGATACCGTTGATGTTACGATTTTTTGTAGCGATCTGATTATTCTACCGGGTTACATCGATTTCGTCCCTCAAGAAGTGGTAAGTGTTGAAAAAAGGAAACAAGACTCAACGTTACTTCGACGCCATTTTAGGAATTAAAGTGCAGACTAACCAAAAGGATATGCCTGAACGCTCCGCTAGCATCATCTCCGATGGATACCGTAACCGAATCTGACATGGCTGTAGCGCTGGCAGTAAGTCCAATCACCAATTGTTATTTTAAATTTTAAAACTCTGACCAATAATACCAAATAAAACGCAAATTTTTATGTAGGATGCCCAAATGATATTTAACACCAAAATAATTGTTATAATTTATCTTTATCACATTTTTACGATTCCTAAACTAGCCAGAACTATCCAAATTACCCCGTAACTGACATTAGTTCATTTTGATTGAAATAGGTAGAAAAAAAATTTGAGTTTTAGTAACTTGCTTGCTTTATGATCTGATAAACTGAGGCCAGGTTACCGGTGCAGCACGAGTCTTTGACCTACAACGTAGGTTAACTAGAATAAATCACAAACCTCATATGTTAGATCTAAATTTTCGGAGCTTCAAATATATACCATGACCAGAAATATTGTGTTTTTATAACCGACACCGTGACTAACTTTGCCTACTGTTTATTACCCCAAAACCGCATCCCCTTATAGAACACTCTGCCGGGCAGACCCTTACTCGCAGCAATTCCAGGACCGTCTTAGGAATTTATCCACCTACACTAACAAGCGGAATATAAGTATGTTTTCAACCTTTTTCGTCGAGTAATTCTTGAAATATATGCATAAAAAAATTAGTACAAAGTAACAATTTATTACTATCTATTTTATTACATTTCTGTATGTACCATTATTAATATAAAAAATATTAAATATAAACTATAAAGTATCAGTCACTTAAAAAATCGTAACTATCGCTACTGTCGTCACCTACAGTTACACCAGCTTTGTAGTGATACTTTAGATACCTCTTTCCAAATTACGTTTATGGTACTGTCACTAAATTTTGATGCAGTGTTATTTCTGCTTATATGATTTCAACTCAGACCAAATCATCTCAATCGGGTTAAATGAGCAATGATACGGGGGTAATCTCAAGATGTCATGTCCGTTTTGTTGTGCTATCGAACCGCGAAAATAATCTAAGTCTTGAAAAAGGCTGTTGTTGTTTACAAATCGAAGGAACTATATAAAAGACACCAAAATACAAGAAGAAGAATGTCGGTAATCGACAGGCACACAAGACAGAAATGGTTATTTTCAAACTTTTCTCTAAGATAAATGGAGTACAGTGACTACAGTGAATTATCCAATGAAAACAGCCTCGCAGGTTCAAACCTCGAGAATCGGGTACATAAATACGTACTCACTGGAAGGATCACAATTAAATACCTCTGTAATATATACCAACATATTGCAATTTAGATTAAACTCTTAAGAACGATACATATCCCCTGATGTTAATAAAATAAACACCTGTTGGGATGGGTTTCACCACGGTGCTGCGAAGGTCTGCGGTTAAGGTACTGTAAAATACTTAAAACGTCAAAGCAATATATGCACTATATTTTTGGTCGTACAATACTAATATACTTATGCGAGTATACTGGGTTCAAATAACCACAGCGCCCATTTTTTCATAAACTTAAGGCCGAGATAAAACAACTCCCAATAAACAAATTCAAAAACTTGGTCAAAGACTTTTTAATAAAGCAAACAGCTTGAAGGACTTTATCTTTTTTCAAATCAATAACAATATATATTCAGATGATTGCACCTCCACGACTTCCCGCTTTCGCTGATAACTTTGTGTGACAATCTTCGTTCAGTTTTAATGTTTGTCCAGATGCCCGCAGAGCGCTTTATGTCTTATATGTATATTACGTTGTAAAATTGTTATTCCATGTTATATTTCATTGCCATGACTGATTGTATACATTTTCTATGTTCGTAACATGCTAATAAATGAAAAGAAATATAATGAAAATTTTGGCATGCCGAATCTGATTCGCGATATATGAATGCGAAATTTGTTGGTCGGGGGCGTAAGTATTAAGGGGTATAGGTATCAAAAACTACAATAACCTTTTTGTGGGTTAACTTAGATGTTTTCTTATAAAATTGAAAAACATGTTCAGTTACGAGGAAAAAACTGGATTTGCAAAATACACTATTGAGGATGCCCATCTTATTTATTCATCAAAAATGAAAAAGTACACACAGAAACAGAATTGATAAGATTGTTATAAATAAATAATAATAAAATAAATTAATTTTTAACTTGGTAGACATGCTTGCCGTTATCTACATTTCAACATATATCAAGTTTCCTTGTTTCAGAGATCGCTTACATTCAACGCGATTCACTGACTTAAATTTAAATGCATTAAAACAAATGTACAAAAATCATCTGCTAGAAATTTTACAAAAATGTGTTGTTCTTTTTCTCTTCCGATTTTACAGGTACTTTCTATACTTTCAGTAACAAATTAATATAAATTTGCAAGTATATTTTAATAAAAAGTACGGAATTTAAAATCTGAACCATCAAAATATTTTGGAAAATAAAATGGTTTGACGAGGTAACATTATCAAGAGATAAAACAGATTAATTAATTGCTAATGCTTACTTAAATTTCCTTACAAATGATCGGGCCCAATTGTTAGAGAATATTACTCGCTTGGAGATACGCTTTCAACAAGGTGTAAGAAACTGGTTAGATGAAAAGTTTGCAAATAAGTCCGCCGGCTCTATCACCCGACTTAAACTCACTAGATTATTATTTATTAAATAATACGGTAATTATATTTATGATACAGAAGTAGATCGAAATCATTTGTGCAATCAGTACGTCTCAAAATATGTTGATGAGAACTTGATGCTAATTAATTAATTAATTAATGTCAGTGTTACTGTGGTAGTAAATCATCAAATAAAAATTATTAGATGGGAACTTTTTAAAAATCTATTTTCCTCGAAATCACCTTTTTCTGCTGACAGATCACAAATTTTCCGATTTTATAAGAAACGAGTCTAAAACTGAACCCACAAAAAACTTATTGCAGTTTTTGTAAGCTGCATCATTGGCTGCATATGGCAAAAGTAATATGCAGTAAACACCGGCGATAATTACGGCCATTTAACCTTTCTGACCGGAAAAATGTCGAATTAAGTATGTTCCAACAATTCCATCTCAAAAATTTACTGGAAACTGTTCTCGACATTTAAATTCTGCATGGCAGTTTTCATCAGCCCAGATATGGCTATTGTGAAAATTTCTGATCGCATGTCTGGAGAAGTTAACTTCATCTCTAAATAGTATTTCTTGGTCAAACAAGGGATAATGAGCAATTTTATCCAAAACCCATTGACAAAAATTAACACGCAAGTGAGGAGTAAAATTAAGTAGTTTCCAACAATTCCATCTCAAACATTTACAGAAAACTGTTCTTGATGAGACCATACATAAAATGCCAATCTGCCAACTCCTCATTGGTCAACTCGATCATTCTTTTTTAAAATAACAATGTTCGGAACTGAATTTAAATATGCCAAAATAGGCAGGTGAAATTCGGTACGCCCGCCACTGGTGTATTTAAAAAAAATGTAGTACACTAAATAATGTCGCTTGATACGTAATACATATTTGCCAAATTTTTTTAAAGTGGAATTACAGACATTTTTAGATATATGTTCATGTGAAGTTTTTTTTTAATTGATCCAATTATTGACATTCACTTAGAATACACCCAGCATTCTTATTTAAAAAAGTTGGGCTTATTGCAGCTTTCTTTCAGCTTTCCGGCGGTATAGGAATCATCCATCACAACTGCTTGCCCGAGTACCAAGCTAGCGAGGTGCAGAAAGTCAAAAAGTACAAGCACGGGTTCATAAGGGATCCCATAGTGTTAAGCCCGAACGACACCATCGCTGACGTGTTGCAGATCAAAGAAAGGTACGGCTTCTGCGGAATTCCCATAACCGAAAACGGAAAATTGGGCGGAAAACTTGTGGGTATGGTCACGTCGAGGGATATCGATTTTTTGGACAAGTCTCGCGAGCTGACGTTAGATAAAATTATGACCAAGTTAGAGGATCTCGTCACCGCGCCTTCGGGGATTAAATTGAGCGACGCGAACGCCATCCTGCAGAAAAACAAGAAAGGTAAATTGCCGATCGTGAGCGCTAGCGGTAATTTGGACGCGCTCATAGCGAGGACCGACTTGAAAAAGGCTAAAAACTATCCCTTATCGGCAAAGGATGACAATAAACAGCTGCTCGTCGGAGCTGCTATTTCCACGAGGGAGGAAGACAAGCATAGGTTGGGTCTTTTGGTGCAGGCGGGCGTGGACGTAATCGTATTGGATTCCTCGCAAGGGAATTCCGTTTACCAAGTGGATATGATCAAGTTCATTAAGCGCACTTATCCGCAGTTGGATGTCATTGCCGGCAACGGTAAGTCACGGTGGTCCAAATCATTCAAATTTATTAAATAATGAATACCTGAGAACAAATATTAGAGTACATTTATTATTTGTTATACAGGGTATTTTCTATTTTAATGTCAATAAGTAAGGGGACGATTTTTGGGTACATTTTAAAAAGAAAACTTCATATGAACATATGCCCTAACCGTCTTAATTTTTGAGATACAGGCTGCTAAAGTTTTCAAATATAAATATATATTTTTTAAATATTTTTAATAGCTCTTTAGATATTTTAAAGAAATTTGGCACACATATGCTATATATCTAGGGGCTTTATTTAGTGGACCACATTTTTTTTTAAATACACCAGTATGCCTCTTAAAATACAAATTATTCTTACAATCTCCAATCATTTCTAAATAAACTTAATTTCTTGATTTTTTTTAATTATTTCTTATCATTGTAGTAGTCTATAAGAATTATTAATTCTGTTGTCAAGGCGGTTGCTTGACAGTTGTTTGAGATCATTTCCTCGCATCTTATTCATTTGGAGTTTAAAATATCTGAGCATTGATATTTTAAAATAGGAGTTGGCAGGTATTCATTTTATGTATGGTTTGGTTGATCACAGTGCGCCGGAAGCTAGACGATTATCTCAAGAGCGCTTTCCTAATAGAGTCATACCAGATAGGAGCCCATCGAACTGTAAAACTCCAGAAATCGAAGAAGCAGTTTTAAATGCTATTGATAATGTCCTGAACTTAGTACTACAAAAACTGGAACTAATCTGAATATCTAGCACGTCTTGGTTTCGAAAACTTTGCATGATTTTCTATTGTACCCATATCATTTACAATGAGTCCCAGTCCCAGAGATTTTCTATTACGTGTTGTTTTTTGTCAATGGTTTTTGGACCAAATTGCGCATTTTCCCTTGTTTGACCTAGAAGTACCATTAACATATGAAGCTAACTTTTCCAGAAATGCAATCAGAAATTTCCACAATAGCCATATTTGGGCCGATTAAAACCCCCATACAGTTGTAGAATTTAAACATCAAGAACAGTTTTCGATAAATGTTTGGGATGGAATTGTTGGAAATTACCCTTTTTTCTACCAGAAAGGCTAAATGGCCACAATTATCGCCGATTTTTAGAAGAGGATTTGCCAATATTCCTAGAAGAAGTACCATATTAAATTAGGAACAGAATGTGGTCCGTGCCTGCCGGCGCGGCTGCTCACTTTATTGTTGCAGTAAGAGAATATTTGAATGGGTAATCGGAAGAAGCATAACATTCCAGTGAGGCCTGTTTCTGGGAAACGGTTAATGGTTATCATTGACCAATTGTACACATTGACAAAGTACATTTGATGCCAAATTTTGAACGATTTACACCTATTTGGTAATTGGATATTGGCATTTGAATGTACAAAAATTTTATCTTTTTTCCACTCAAATTTCAAAAAGTTAGTTAAAAAAAAACAAATGAGGGCGTTAATGAAGAACTTTGATTTATTTAAGCAACAAAAATTGTAAGAAATATTATTTATATGCTTCTTAGTCTTCTGGGTCACTGGTTTCTCTATTTGTAGTAGGATTGGTCACAATTTCATTATAGAAGGTCCTGTAGTCTTCGGGTATGTAATGAACTATTTTGGAAATATCTTCCAGCTTCTTATAGTTGATAGGAACTTTCCCATTGTATGCTTTTGAAATGGGAAGATCCACTTTGTCTTGTTTCTTCATATTGAAAAGACCATGGGTGAAGTCGTCAATGAATTCACATGCTCTGATATAGCCTCTCATTGCTTGCGTATATGTTAAATGCCTGTATTTGCTTATGGTAAAAGACTGTTTTTTTTTCAATATCTTTGGCAGTCTTTTTAAACTATTGAGGCCACCATCCTTTGAAATTAGGTATGTCGGTACTTGTTAGCCGTTTTACTTGAAACTTGGGAATTTTCTTCTTGGAAGACGTAATGATATCGTTGTATTGTTCCGGAGAGTAAATTCGGTCAAACTTTCTTAAAGAGCGCTTGATAACAGAAAAGTTTCTATCGCGATGCAAAAAACTATGGCCTCGAATAGGAAAATATTGATGGATAACTTCAAATCTGCCATTCATGGTCAGAGCAGTAAACAACCTGGTTAGAGTATGGTTGAGGTTTTGCCCAGCGCACGCATCACTAAAAACATTGAAGGGTTCTGACTTCTTCAGGAATATGTTGGGTGATAAAGTCCAAAATGGACGTACTGACTGCATTAGGGCCTCGCCGAGCAACTCCCTCTGTATGAGTATAGAAGACCGATACATCGTTGCCAAAGCTGTGAACGTTAAAAACATAATACCAAAGTTTTCGCAGATAGAACATTTCCTGAACTGGCATCAATGGAAGGGGAAGATTTTGTATATAATCAAACACTGTGGCTCCAACGTCATTCCTCTCTTTACAGGTTTCCTTGATTTCTTGAAATTTTTTTGTAAAATTTGGATGCTCGTCTTTTATGAGTCGTAAGCTCTGCAACTGCGCACCTCTTTGCTGTTTCATTAAGAGTAGTCGACTTTATTTTTGCATTCAAGTCTTCACAAGTCAAGCAAACGTCGACTTGAGGCCTACCAAACCGGTATCCGTAGTTTTCCTGAAAATGTCTCAAATAATATTCATACTTGACGTGAGTTCTCAAATCAGGGTTTTTATTAGTGAAGAGTTCATACATCTTAATGATGTTCAAACTTGCATCTAAGTAGGTAATTAACTTAGAAGAATAATGAGACACTTTTTTTGGAAATGATTTGATATGGTCATCACTTTTGGCAACAATTGCACCATCGAGTTTATTTGCACGATTTGCATGCCTTCCTCTCATGTCAAATGGTGAAGTTTCAGTTCCACGGAGCTTGACATATCATCATCTTTATAAAGACAATTGTCATGTCATAATATATAATTTCGTGAAAATGTGAGCTTTTAGTTCTTATTTACTTTGCTAAATGGATTTTCATCAAGTAAAAGCCACCTCAGTTCAATGATATTTTTTGTTCAACTTTCGCCTTTTCCCTCTCGTTCTCCCTCTGAATCCGATGAATCTGACATTTGTACAATACAGAAATACAACTTTAATATTTCTATTTAACCATCACTAAATAGGAACTCACCTTCTACTCACTAAACTCTCAAACTTCAAATTATAGATAATCAAAACTATAATAATCCGGTCAAGACGCTAACGGTTGTCAACAGGGCGCGTAAATCAAATTGCTTCGAAGACCGATAACATTCCAGGAATATTATCTTTTTTCCGCTCAACAACAAAATTATTATATGAAGGGAGCCGGCGATTTTATCGTTTTTGCGCTCAGCAGAAAGAAAATACAAATCTTAATATATTGGCTATCTCACTTTAATATGCCATAGTTTTGGAATGTTACCCTTTTTCCAATCACTCATTCATTTAAGTTCCACATGCCACATGGGTAGGTAGCGGCGGACCTTAACCGTGGCCCCCTAGATCCCCAGATTTAAATAGTTTGCCCTTTTTTCTATGGGGGCATCTTAAAAGTCTGGTTTATCGCACCCCAGTTCACTGTAAAAGGGCTGAAGGATCGTACAAGAGCTTCCTGCGATTTAATAATTAACAAGAGTGTGCAGTCATATGAAAAGAGCCTGAAGTGTATATAGATATTTTATTTCATTTTATTTTCACAAAAAAAGTTCTCGATTTAACCAGTGCAGTGGCGGCCTAATTAACCCAAGTATTATTTGTTCATAGACAGTCAGTGCCACGCCACGGATTTCCATAAAAGAATAATGATATTTGCAATACTGTTATGATCATAAAATAATCAAGAAATTAAATTTCTTTAGAAATGACTGGAAATTGTAAGAATAATTTTTATTTCAACGGAAATCAGTGGCGTACCAAAATAGACAGTTGAAATTTCATACGCCCGCCACTGGCGTATTTTTAAAAAATTGTGTTACACTAAATAATGTCTTTTGTTATATAGCACATGTAGTATCTAAAGTGAAAACTTTACCACACTGTATCTCAAAAGTTAAGACGCTTAGGACACGTGTTCATATGAAGTTCTCTTTTTAAAATGGACCCAAAAATCACTACCTTAATTATTGACATTCATTTAGAAAACACTCACTATTGCAAAAATCTAGATCCAGCCATTTTCATACTTGTACACAAAATTTGGAATTTTAAAAAATCTATTCTCTGGAAAACAGAGTTGCATCCTTCGATGATGATAAATTTATTTAGAGTCACTACAAAAATAATACTTTGCTAATAGTTAATTCTTAGAGATGTGTTCAACCTTTTTTTAGGTTTTTAACATATCCTTATATCTATTCCGCGTAGAATTTGGAATTGTCTTTGTTAATTCGTGTCATTTTTTCAAAAGGCACGTGGCAAAAATAGCCGCACATATATTTTACAAGTCAATTTAATTTAAGTCGATTGCTCTCATTTAACATCGTTTCATACATAGAGGGACCCAGTAAGAAAGTATCAAAACATCAAACAGAAGGTTGAATAAAACCGAAAATCGGGAGTCAATAGGTTAAAGTGCGGATCATGTTCCAAAAGTTATTTTCGACAATAGGCATGTTCTTTGAAAAACGTTTTCAATGAAAATGAAATATTGTCCTTTTGAGCTGTTCTAGAATTCTCCGTGTTCTGACTAATATTGTCAGTGCATGTCTATTAGATATAGCCTTTCCAGACAAATGGAAGATATAGAAAGTAGTGCCGGAATGATTATGTGTGGCAAGCGACTCTGGACAGAGCGGGATTTGTTGTTTGTTTTTGTTTTAGTTTTTTTTCCTTGTATGCTATTTTCATTTTAAACTTTAAAAAGCTTTTGCTTGTAAAAGATCAGACATAGTATGCAAGTATCTATTTGAATATTACTTTCCATGTCTAAGGGTTAAAGTTGAATGATTTGCTAAATTTTGTGATACTTTCTGTATTATTTATTATTTTTAAAAAATGGGTTCTTATTTAACTATAATTTGTAAATAGTATTACAGTCGCCTATGGAAGTTCCCTTGAAAAAATACTGTGTTATCCCAGTTTCATTTTACAGTTTGCAAGAGCAAATTCACATTTTCAGTGGTCACCAAGAAGCAAGCCAAAAACTTGATAGACGCTGGCGCCGACGGTTTAAGGGTCGGAATGGGTAGCGGGAGTATATGCATTACACAAGAGGTTATGGCAGTGGGTAGGGCCCAAGTGACAGCAGTATATAAAGTAGCTGAATACGCTGCCAAACACGGAGTGCCAGTGATAGCAGACGGTGGAATATCCTCGATCGGTCACATCATCAAGGCGTTGTCGTTGGGAGCGTCCGCAGGTATTTGATGTGCAGGAAAACCAGGCGAGTGTTCAGTAAAGTTGTTTTAAGTCATGATGGGTTCGATGCTGGCCGGAACCACGGAAGCACCGGGAGAGTACTTCTACGCGGACGGAGTGCGATTGAAGAAATACAGAGGTATGGGCAGCATTGAAGCAATGACAAGGGCAGACAACAAAGGGTCGGCCATGAGCAGATACTTCCACAAGTAAGGTTGTATGGTGAACTGACAGTGCGCTTTTCATTTGTTTCCATTTTTAGTGAATCTGATCAGTTGAAGGTGGCTCAAGGTGTCAGCGGAAGTATCGCGGACAAAGGCTCCGTTATGAATTACATTCCGTATTTGATAACGGGGATTAAACACGGACTTCAAGATATCGGAGCGAGATCTTTGAAACAACTCAAGTGAGTTTGTGTATTTCCAGGCTCTAAGGTTGGCAAGTCAGAAAATCCTTCTTCGTCCAGAGGCTCTTTCCTATTTTCACTGCCTTTGTTCCTTACTATGTGACCCAGGAAATTCAAGCTTAAAATAAATAAGAACTAAAATTTCAGATTTTCACGAAATTATATATTTTGGCATGACAATTGTTTCGACAACACCGTCTCTTTATCAAATGTAATATTTAAAAACTACCTACATAAACAAGATATGCCTATTAGACCAGTCGTGGCTTATGTAACAGCTCCAGCAGTTAAACTCTTTACAAAATTAGCAAATATTTTAAAGTTCCGCGCAGATTTTAAACCAAAATTTGCAATCAAAAATTCTTTTCAATTAATCAACAAAATTAAAGATATCAAAATCCCTTCTAACGCCACACTATTGTCTTTTGATGTACAAAACTTATTCCCCAGTATTCACCTATAGATGTGATAGATTTAGTAGATTTCACCCTAACTTGGAAACAGGTTAACCCATTGGTGAAACAAGATTTATTAGATTGTTTAATATTATCTTTAGACCAAAATTATTTTGAATTTAATGGACAGATTTATATCTCTAAAGAAGGTTTGATTATGGGAAACCCACTGAGTCCTTTGTTAGCCGAGATTTTTATGGATAATTTGGAAAATGTCATACTAGAACATCCTTTAAGTAAAAGTTTTTTTGGTGGTATAGATACGTGGATGATGTCTTTGCTTGCTTTGTTGGAACGGACAGACAATTGAGTTCTTTTTTAAATTACATTAACAATTACAATGGTTCAAAATTCACTATCGAGATTGAACATGATAACTCTATTATTTTTTTAGACTTAACTATTACGAAAGCGCAAAACAAATTAGATTTTTCGATATATCATAAACTTTCACACATGGTCATACATAACAGTTCAAATCACCCTTATACACACAAAATGGCTGCCTTTAACTCTTTTATACACACACTTCTCAATACGTCACTTTCAACAGAAAGTTACAACAGAGAACTTAATATCATTAAACAAATTGCACTGAACAACGGCTACAATCCGTCTATTATAGATAAAATTATAAATAAAAAACAAATACAGACAACAGTAAACTCTATTTATCCGAAACCTAATACAGAACACGAACAATTTAAAACAATTACATACATAGGAGAACCTAGTGAAAAAGTTTCAAAACATTTGTCAAAATGTGGTTTAAAAATAGCTTTCAGAACTAACAACATATTAGGAGAATAGTTAAAAAACAATAAAACGAAATGTCCAAAATCTCAAAAAACAGGTGTCTACAGGTTGAAATGTGGATCTTGTACTAAAAATTTATATTGGCCATAAAAGAGCGTTTAAAAACAATAGACTAGATTTTAATTATGCTACACACTTAAACACAGAAAAACACATTTTTGACGACAATTTTGATATTTTACATACAGCCACAAAAAGTAGAAAATTAAATTTATTGGAAGCCATGAGGATTAACAAAATGAGACATTCAAATGTATTGCTTAACAATCAATTAGATTTAAATACCTCTCCTTTATTGAACTGAAATTCTCACAACAACATTAATTAAGCTTTTATGGTCATTTTTCGGTATATATAGTAGCAGGTAGTTTGTAAATATTACATTTGATAAAGACACGGTGTTGTCGAAACAATTGTCATGTCACTATCCCTCAAGATCCTTCTGTACAACTATAGTACAAAGGCCGGGAGTTTCGATATGCAGGAGTACTGAATACACATAGAATTTAAGGAGTAAAATTTAAAAAAATTAAAAATCGCGTTTGCAGGGAAATAATGAAAAAACCGCTTATGTGATCGAAAAAATTCTTGAAGAGGAAGATGTACAAGATTAGGCTTCACAAATTTTATTCTTGACTCTTTCAAAAATGTGTAGAGTGCGCCGTGTATTCGCGAAAAACTGAAAAATGTGTTCCCCTTTCAATGAAAATTGACAACTAAAAGATTTTGTTTAAATTGTCATTTTTTTTTACATGACAATATAGTTCGTATAGATAGCTAAAACTTTTGAATTTAAGATGTTCATCTATTGTTCGAGGTATTTCGTGCTATATTAAAAAATGTAACAGGTATCTTAAATCGACTTCAGGTTGGGCAGAAAGGTAGAAGTCCACAGTATTTAAAAAAAATGGCTTTCAGAACTATGTTATTCATTATATTTCGACCCCTACAGGGTTAATTTTGAAAGATAGAAAGAAAAGTGTAAATACAAAAGTTTGAAGACCTTTGTTCTATTATCTTATGCAAATGTCAGAAAAAACAAACAACGATCGCAAGCTGCCAAAATCAAAACATCATTTTTTTTTAATGGAATGCCCTATATATTACTAGCTTAAATCGTAGATATTTTTTTCCTGATTTATTGACATTATATATAACCGTTTTTGAGATATTTCAGTGTAAAAATAATTATCATTCGTTTTCTGGACAATAGCCACATTGTTCAAAAATGATTAATTCTGCCTTGATAGTAACCATATGATCTATGATTGAAATTGACAATATTCTACTTTTGACAACTAATCAAATCTAAAGATCTGCAGCGGAAGTTAAATAACTTAAGATATTTCAAATGGGTTATACTGAGGAAGAAAAACGCCAAATAATAAAATTATATTATTCGAATAAAAATATCAATAATTAATGCTAAACATTTTCCACATAACCTCCATTATTTTCTATACATCGGACTATATTTCCTTTAACTTTTCTATTAACACACGAGGTGATAAAATTAGGGTTTTCTTTGTTTAGATCTAGTAAAATGACATTAAGTCTTTTTCTTATCACTTGTAAACTTTCAGGCATATTATAATAAACTTTATTTTTTAAGTATCTCCACAAAAAAGGAAGAAAGTAGAACTCAAGTGTCGTAATATAATAATAACAATTTACCTTGAAAGTCAAGTAATATATTGAGGTCTTCATCAAAATTTCTTTTCATTGTCCTGGTTTTCCGTGACACTATTTCGGTCCTCAAATTTGCAAATCTTAAGTTTTGATTAGTTGTAAAAAATAGAACATTGTTAAAACAATGCCAAACATAGATAATATGGTTGCTATCAAGGAAGACTTGACCATTTTTAAACAATATGGCTATTGTCCAAAAATCGAATAATTATTTTTAAACTGAAATATCTCAAAAACGGCTAAATGAAATGCCAATAAAAAAAGATCTACTATTTTTATATAGGGCATTCAACTGTTTAAAAATGATATTGCTCTTATTTTGACAGCTTGCTATCGTCGTTTGTTTTTTTCTGACACTTGCATAAGATACTAGATAATATCTGGGTGTCAAAATATAATGAATAACCCAGCACAAACAAATTGCAGTGCAAATTATAAAATATGGCCAATTGAGCAAAATGACCAAACAAGGATTTTCTCGAAAACCATTTATTTTATTGAAAAAATTCATATATTAGGAAACGTGGGAGGATGCAGAACTATATAACCCTTATTTCGGCATTTTTATGGGTAAATTACTGGCAACAAAGGAAAAAGATGGGACAATTTGATTTTAACAGCATCGTAAATTGTGGCGAGAGTTTGTTTTCGTCTATCATACAGGGTGCGTGATATATTTGAGAAAAATATATCACGCGGCAATTACCGGTACTTCGGCGAGACGTGAAAGACGCTTTATACAGGGTGCATGCAGAATAAAATCACATCGATTTCGGGCATAATACGGAGCAGACGCTTCGTACAGCTACGAGATTTCGAAAGCAATCTTGTTCCATACGTTACCGGTGCATACAATTGAATAATGTTTATGTCTATTGGTTTTGCTTTATTGTTTGAACAAAACTTTTCTTAGGGAGATGATGGAGCGCGAAGAACTACGATTCGAATTACGATCTCATTCGGCGCAGCAGGAGGGCAACGTCCACGGCTTGTTTTCGTACGAGAAAAGGTTATACTGAGCCTTGGCAGTTGGGGCGAGCTTTTAATAAAATATTTCGTAATGAAATTGTGTCACTGTTGGTCATTTACCTACGAAAACGACGGGTTTTGGAATAACAAACGGGGAAATAACACTACGCAAAGTTGAAGGAATAATAACAAAATTGATAAGCACCCGATAACATAAATAAGGGGTTAATCAATTAATTTTGCAGCAGGGATATTGGCACATACAAAATTAAGTATTCCAAATTTCCTTGCATTCCGATTCGATTTCAAACATAGACTCTAAATCGAGAATTTTAAACTGTTCCAACGGAGAACTTTTGAATCCCTCATTCTTTATCCACTTTCTTTTCGATGACTTTTATAAATTTTATACGAAAATATGTATGTTGATCAACAGACTTTGCACGGTAGGTCGATATAAATTAGAATTGACATTAAATCATTCAATTTAGGTACTTTTTCTACTGCCGCACAGTCGAACGACGTTATGGGAACAGAGGGACATGAGGTTTTTTAATTGAAACTTTTAATCTGGAAAAACTAGAAATGAGTTATATTGTACAAAGGTCTTAAATTTAAAAAAAATAGTTACTTTACATGATATAAACCATATACAGGGCAACCCAAAAATATGGTGCGATTTACAAACACCTATTTTTTTTATATGCATATAACTTTGCTTAAATGTCATCTAAATTTTTGGTCTTGAATTTTTTGAAAAGAATTGAACGCTCCAATTTTATTATAATTTTTTTTTTATAAAACAGCAAAAAACTAGACAGAGTGTTCAACAAAAATGAGTCTTTGACAATTGCTTTTTACTCAAATATTTGTGTACAATTTTCATAATTTTAGTCATTCTTGGAAAAGCCAGTAGCTATTTCAACATTAAAAAATTTTAACTTCCGACATTTCATAAACAATTAAGATGACTGATAATTTCTGCAGTTACATCTCGAATAAAATATATTGATATTCAGTTAATTTTGCGGTGACTAGAGTACAAAAATGCAAAAAGATATCAAAACCAATGAAACCTAACCAAACTAATCCAAATTATTAAAAAGTATCTCCACAGATAAACTTATTTTCTGTTAATCAAGGCTTCAAAATACTAAATATATAAATGTGTTTTCCATAACTGATCTCAGCTAAACGAAAGTTGAGCCTCATTATACGGAGTGTCCAAATTGCCATGGGCCACTATGGCTATCTCAAATGTTCCTTACGAATTTTTTGTAAAAATTATAGTTTTTGAGATTTCGAAAAACCCCCATAGCTCGGTACAAAATATATTTTTTTTTTAATGTGAAACCAGATGTTTAATATACCCCAAAAAATGTACATTTTATCTCATTTAACCAACATTGTGGTTCTTATAGTTCTTAGTCCTTATAGTAATGCAACGCCCTCGGCAAAGTTTGCACCATACCTATTTTGAGATAATTTTGTGAAAAAATTGTTGTAAAATGCCTAATAAAAAAAATTGCTTTGAAAAAATATCTATGCTCAACTTTTGTTAATTCCATAGTTATCTTAAATTGAGATTATTGGTAAAGTGAATATCAAATTTTCTAAATACAAAAACTTGTATGTATTTGGATGTATTTTTACCTAATTTGTTCATTTCATAATTGTATTTCTTTTTAAAAAGACGATCTATTTATGTAAAAATTTCAAAAACCCATTAATCAGTATTAGGTAATCACACAACAAAAATATTTGCTAAGTCAACATTTTATACTAGATATTTTTTTATATTTATAATTAAACACACGTGTAGCCAAATTTAACGCATAACCCAAAATTAGAATAAAATGATAATAATTGTGTGAATTTAATTCTAAAAATATAAAGAAAATTTTTTGGTCCATGTCTCTGATATTATACTAAGCCCTAACGCGATTGAAGAAACAGGGAAGGAAAAAAAAAACTGGGAGTAGAAGTTTATTAAGAGCACGGGGCATAATAAACGCGAAAGGATCTTGCATCTTTTAATGTAATTAGTACACATTGCTTTTCAACAATTCCTTCGTTATTCAACCACACCTAAATACACGAGAAAAAATTCGAACCGATGGTTTTGTCAGGTGAAGCCGAACAACGTCTTACAACATCTCCGCGATCCTCAGCGTTTCATCTTTTTCCGTTGTAAAAATAGCGATCTAGATGTTTTCAATGGATTTAGTGAAGCCAATATCACGTCCAATTAGATCAACGAATAAAGAAGCAAGCCGAAATCGTTCTCCAAACATTGCGTTATAGAATGGACACAAAATGATGAAGGTAGCCGCGTCTCTGTGACCATCAAAGAGTTAATCAAAGAGTAAAATTACGGGCTTGAACGCAAATCAGATCGAATTCTAAAGAAAGGCACATCATTCCCGTTTATCCAGCTTTTGTCGACTTTGAAATCGATGGTTTTCGATTTAAAACTGTAAAATTATTAAATACGGAGCTAGGATAAACGATGAAAAAAAAATCACAGAGACGGCACGTACATGTTAATTTTGATGATGATCCGAGTCGGTTATTGTACAAACAGCGAAAAATCTTCCGACAATATGTATTCACTTATAAAAAAAGGCCCGAGGTGACGATACTACACTTATTAAGTTGGTAAGGCAATATTAAGTTATCGGATAAAAATTATACTAGGCTAAAATTAAATATAGCTGATATTTTTCTTAAGCTACGTTAACAGTGTGGGTTGGTTAGATTTTAGATTTTTGTTTTTTTTTTGTTTTCCGCTACGTAAACCACGCTAAATTCTACGTTATTTGTACCAACCGCACCGATTATATTTTCTCAATTCTACTATAACGAAATTTTCTTTTGTCACGCATCGCCGCACAGTTTTGAAGAAAAAAAAGCACGATGCCTGGCCCGCCCGTGAACTTTGCTCAGGAATTTGGAAAAAAAGATTTAAAATTTAGATTCTCAACTTTTTCTGGCATTATTTATTTGCAATGCTTTCGATTTAAAGTAGCAGAAATAGTTGACACCTACCAGATGTAGTTTAGAATTGCGAAACAAAGATGTTTGGAACGGACGATATTAACTATTCTGCATCATTTTGTTCATTGTATCGATTTTTTCAACAAAAATGTTTCGGAAACCTACGAATGTCAATTTTGTATAATTTTTGTTCAAAATAATAAAAAAAACCAAAACTATACGTTTGATAGTTTTATCTGGTTTGATTTTCGAGTATATGAGTAGATATAGAATTTTTGACTGATCTACAGCACGAAATTAGTTTTCTGACTGGACTTCAGTACTGCATATGGTAATGTACCAATGACATTAAATGATTTCACTCCGGAAGCAAAGTTTGCCCACGGGCGAGCCAGACGCTAGTGACACGAAATACATGACCAAAATGGATTTTACCCGAATTTAACGAAATTTCATTATTATTTTTTTAAATTGTTACCGGATGCCAAAGTTTGCCAAAAAGCATTTTACCGGACCAAGTACTGTTTTTATGTTCAAAAAATTTAATTTCCGAATGTTTCCAAAGTTATTTTGTTTTTTTTTATTGCTTCTCAAAAACAAACAAGTTTAATTATCATACACAACCGATACGAAAAGCATCTATTAGTTGCATGAGTTTTAATAATTTTTCTCTGCATTTTAAATAATATTGAAAACTGCTCCGCCTCATCAGATGTTGCGGAAAAACATCGTCGTCAAAAATAGTCGAAATAAACTACCTTACAGATGTTGAAAATTATTCAAACTTTTATAAATAATAGGTACCTTTTTTTTTAAATTATATCGGCCTAAATAATAAAAATTAAATTATTTGAAATTTACAAAAAAACATATCTTTTACCTTTTACTCCACGCCGCATTGAAAATAAAATGGTCAGGTAAAATAAAAAAAATATTTAAATGATATTTAGAATGACTATTTTTGACTGGGTATCACATACAAAGTAGAATGCTCTGGATAGCAAGTTATTGGATATTTTCTATATTTTTTCAACGCAAAATCATTTGTACTTTATGTCACACTTTGCTTAATAAGCAGTTGTTTTGGGCATTTTCGAAAAAATTCCTAAAATTTCATTAAATTCGACCGAAGTCCATCTCATTTATTTCGTGAGAGAAGCAAAGAAAAAATATTTCAACGAATTTTTACATTTATCCACGCGAACAGACACACACACACACACGCGCGCACACACACAGGGGACACCATTTTACCAGGCACACGAAACTTTTCGATAACTCAATCGAATTACGTCAGCTGCCCCGTTTTTCAAAATAATCGGGGCAAGGATCGCAAACCCTACTCCTAAGGGAATTTTATTTGTTTTTTTTTTATGATTAATTCATTCGTTTATATATATTTTTTTGTATACGTTTTTTGTTATTTTTTTTTCTGTTACCGCGAGAGCCGGAGGCGGCGCCACGGTCGTGGTTTTCCCCCGCACTCCGGCCAACAATTTAACCTAAACGACGCTCCAAAATTCAAAAATCAACCCTTCCCAGTTACCGATGGACCGGAACTCCTTAAAAAAAGAACAAACAAAAAAAAAACTCAACCGGAAACGAGAAAAATACAATACGAAAACAAACGAATTTTTCCGTTTTCAAAAAAAAATCTCTCCCTTACACTACCCGCTTTTTTTTTAAACGGTAGTAACAAAAACGCCCAGCGACTGAGGTTCGTCGTTGCTTATTAGCTTCAAATTTAAAATTCTCCTAAAAATATCAATCGAACTACAACGCACAGGTTATTATTTTCTCAATTTGGTGCAGAATTACCCATCGAACTACGAGCCTCAAGGTCATTCGTCTTCGATTACCACACTTTGAGAGATTATATACGACGGTCGAAACAGCGAGACTCCGCTAGAGGCCCCTAGCACGACGCTATTTACAAAAATAAAACATCTGGCGAGACGCGTTTTATTTTTCTAAGCTATGATTCCCGGCTGGCAGACGTCACCTAAAGTTTTATGTCACCGACGTCATATTACCTACATTTGAGATGTTATTTATCATCAACTAGAAAACATTTATTTATTCTACCAAGACAAAATTAGGATGGACGGGAATAATAAAAAAATGGGAAATACTTCACAAAGAGCTACAAATAGAACTATCTGATTTTTCCAAATATGCAGAGCTTAATGGTGAACCAAAGAAGCAAGGATTAAAATTTATATAGATTAACTTAATTTTTGAGAAACAAGTCAGAATTTATGAAAAACGAGTCAGAATTTCTGAGAAGCAAGTCAGAATTTCTGAGAAACAAGTCAGAATTTCTGAAAAAATCAATCACAATTTCTGAAAAACGAGCCCGAATTTCTGAAAAATAAGTCTGACTCTCTGAAAATTAAGTCAGAATTTCTGAAAAACAAGTCTGAATTACTGAGAAACAAGTCAGAATTTCTGAAAAACAATTCAGAATTTTTGAGAAACAAGTTAGAATTTCTCAGGAAGGACATTGGCAAGCGATACATCAGAGAGGTAGTGGACATCAAAATATTATGAAATCCCAACGTTTAATTTGAATTTTTTCAATTACCATTACCAAAATTGTTATTGTTGAATATTGATTTGTTTATTGTTTCTTTAAAGTATTAATCCAAAAAATTTCTTTAACCTTTTAAATCAAAATAAGTCAAAAACCTACCTTTGACCAGAAACAAAAATAATCCGATTTATCTAAATTCCGACTTGTTTTTCGGAAATTCCTACTTATTCTTCAAAAATAACAGTAAACAAAAACCTATATTTTATTTTTGGCGGCTTTTCAGTGGTTTCGCACCTCAGAGCCAGTATTTGTACCGATTTAAAGAGAGTTGCGGTACTATATTTCTATATTTCAATTTTTAAAAAAATTCTCACTTATTTCACTGCATAAAATCTTTATCTGTTACGATTCTTTTTACCACAACAATCAAGAAAAACTTGTTAAAAATGTTAAAAAATAATGTTTTCGACAACATTGAAACGTTAAAAATGGTAAATATAGTGGTAAACTTTTTTGTTTGCAATTTTGAATATCCAGCACGTAGGTAAAGTGATATTCCTTTTCCGAAAAATTTTCCCGCACCTTGTGATGTCCTAAAATTATGTCACTCGATACTGCAGTCAAATTTATGACGTCAATTTTACTTCGCCGTCATACTAGCCGGAAATGTCCCCGCCGGCTCGAGAGGCCCCGCCCACTCCGCTGCGCTAAAACTAATATGGCAGTCGTCGTCAATTCTCGAGCCGTCCGAAGCCTTCGGGGAGATTTTTGCCGCCCACAAAAAAAAAATTCCTAACCTCAAACACGGCAAGATCGCACTAACGGGTCAGGTGTCACGTGACTGCGCTTTGGCAGCGGCCTCGTCAAAGGTTAATCTTAGATTTAAAAAAAAAAACGAACCGAACTCCCATAACCTACTATGTACTAGGCGGGGGCGGCGGCGCCAGGCCCCCACGTTCCGTCTCGCTTTTATTTACAGGGTAACGGAACGTAGGGTGGGCAGGGCAGACATCCGGACGAAGCAGTCCTCCTGGAGGCGGGTGGCAAAACTCCACGAATCCGTCGCATTGTCCATATAACTGAAAAGACGGAATTTAGTTTCTACCTGGCTGTTTTTGTTGATGATAAAAAAAAACTGGTTATTTTCGAAAATGCCAATAAATTTCGCACAATTGTGCCGGATTTCCCGGTCTGAGTTTTTTTGGTGCGTCCCAATTTAAGGAAATATGAATTAAATTACTTAGATGGACTAGCCGGAATACTTAAATAAACTGTTTTCCTTTAAATTTTTCATTTTAAAGGGGACGTTCTCCACCTCAAAGTTATTACGGTTTCAAAGTTTTCCAAACCAAATAGTTTGGTTGAATTCAAAAAGGTATCCGATTAAACAAAGACAATAAAAAAATAACATTTGCGAAAAAGGTGCTGTTTTCGAAAAGATTTGAAATTATTGGCTCGTTAATTAGACTTTTATAAACCGACGATTTTCACATTTAGACCATAATAAACTTTACTATCTTAATCGTTTTGTACTAATAATATCTCCAATCTCTACTCGTTTTGCTATTTACACAGTTACGAAGTTTTTTTAAAAAAAAAGCTTTATTTTCCAACATAATCTAATTTGGTTATAGCAGTTTTAAACGTACATTTTTTTGACGTTAGGAAACGGGTCATTGTCGCTGGGGCTAAGTCTGTCCACCCTCCTATAATTCCCAAATTTTGACTTGTGAAAATGCCATTGGAAGGTTTGATTTATTACTGGAAATATTGGTTGTAAGATTTTTCTGCTGCATTTTTTACCTACAAAACCCCTATTTTTGCCTCCAGGGGCGTTTTTATTTTTTAAAAAAATCGACGTTAGTCCGGGAATGAAATTTTTATTTAAGGTAGAGGTTAATAAATATCGATAATTTTTCGATTTTTATACCAAAACCCATTTTTAACCTACATTTAACGTGGTTAAAGCCTACCTTGATCCGGGAAAGTTGAAATTTTGATTAAATGTAGATAAATTCCTCTCCTTTTAGTCCCACTTGTCTATTTTTTCTTCAAAATTTTGGACTCAAAAAAATCTACAATCGACTTCTCGATACTGAACGATAGAGGATGAACTATAGCAGGCAACATATCCATTTTGTAATTTTAATAAATCAATCGTCGAATTTTGGGCCGGTTTTTCGAAACAAGTAACAAGTAATTTCTCGAAAGCGGGTAATCTTTTGGAAATATTTACAAATTAACGATATTTTTCGATAAAACCCCTTTGTTACCACCCTCCAGGGGCGTTTTTATTTTCCAAAAAAGCCTACGTTGGTCCCGGAAAGTTGAAAGTTTTGTTAAAGGTAGCAGTCAATAAATGTCGATAATTTTTCGACTTTTATACCTGGCATCGATAAATTATCACTAAAACCCATTTTTAACCTACATTTAAAACAGTTAAAAGCCGGTCCGGTAAAACTGAGATTTTAATTAAATGTGGTTAAGTTCCTCACCCTTCAGTCAAATTAGTTCTTTTCTTTTTTGCCTCACAAAAATCGTTCCTCACGGCGAACAATACAATCGACAATCGATTTCCCGGTACTGTCAGATAGAAGATGAACTAACTATTGTATGCAACATATTCATTTTGTAATTTTAATAAATTTTGAGCCGGGTTTCCGGCCTAAAATGGAGATTCAAGGCAATTTCTCGAAAGCGGCTAAACTGTAGTATAGGGGAATTTTCAAAGGTCGGAAAGTTGAATCCATCGTAATGTTTTGGAAATGTCAAAAAATTATTGACAATTCCTAGATAAAATCCCTTTGTTACCGCCCTCCAGGGGCGTTTTCATTTTCTGAAAAAGCGGTCCGGAAAATTCAATTAATATCAATAATTTTTCGGTAAGACCTCGAATCCGGGCTGGGCTTTTATTTATTTAATACCACGTCGTCCGAGAAAGTTGATTTTTACCTGTGGCGACGTTTCCTTTGGTCGGGAGGTTCGACGGCCCCCAACCGGGCCAGCACCGGCACCGAAAACTCCATGTTCCTGTTGTGTATCGTCCTGATGTCGGACATCAGCTGCTCGCCGTCCCGTATTGTTTCCAGACGCAGCTGCCGCTGCCGCATATCGTCCCGCGGGACGGTGTTGTTCAGTTTCAGACACGCGTGACACACCTGAAAAACGTCATTTATTTATATTTTTTATAAAACTTCTGGATTCCTCCTGCGTCGGTTTTTGTTGACTCGAACTAGCTAACGTTTCGCCAATCATCCTGTTGTTGGCTTTTTCTGAGCTTGACTGAAACTGGCTCGCATTTGACTCTGTAGCTGCTTTTATTTGTTTGAAGGGGGCGGAGCTAAATGAGGGGCACAAACACCGTCTCGAATGACTGATTCCCATATTGGCGACAGGTAAAAGAAGATGAAAGATCCTTAAGACTAGGACAAATAAACTCATCAGCAGTTGCCGAACACAATCACCAAACCGGACATAAAATTTTATTCGATAAAACTAAAATTCTTGCATGTAATCAGTTATTCTACCAACGAAAAATCCGAGAGTCTATAGAAATCTAGCCAACAGGATGATTGGCGAAACGTTAGCTAGTTCCACTCAACAAAAACTGACGCAGGAGGAATCCAGAAGCTTTGTAAAAAGTATTACAGTAGCCTGTGAATGTTTCTTTGAAAAAAAAAATTGTCATAAATTATCATTCTTATTATTACTACACTTCTTTTTGTCCCTTATAAGTTTCAGTTCTGGTTTTCGAAGATTTTAAGATAATAAAGCAACATAAAGTCAAACATCGATTTCTATTGTTTCTCGACCTACCTTGTTGCCGTTCCATATGTTCATCACGTTTTCCGTATCGAACGTTTCTAGCTGCTTGCCCCAGTCGGTGTTCCAGGCCTCGTCGTCATCGCCCGCGCATTTGTCGCAAGATTTCGTAACGTAAGGCCATGACACCTCGTCCATGACGCCATCCAATACGCCGACATCCGATTTTTTGCTCGAATAGTTGTTCCAGCTGACGTCGGCGGCGGCCCTGCATCGATCCAAGGCCCACTCCTTCGAAAAAACAAATTATAAATCACTTATGAACTTATAAAATAATAATTTTTTTTTTCGAAATTGTCACCTCCCTCACAAAAATCGATCCTCACAGCGAAAAGTACATTACTGTGCGATACAGTAATAATCAAAGTATGCAAACATGTAAAATTGACCATCGAGTTTTGAGCCGGTTTTCCGGCCAAAAATGGAATTCCGAGGGAGCGCGTTAACTGTTGAAGGGGCGATTTTCATGTGGCGATTCTAATGTAATTCTTTTAAATATCGATAATTTTTAGATTAAACCCATTTTTAACCTATATAACGCCTCCAGAGGACCTTCTATATTTAAAAAAAAAGCGTCCGGGAGAGTTAAAATTTTTATTAAAGGGACAGGTCAATAGCGCAAATATCTTGCCTTTAGTCGTAATTTTTTTTGTTCTCATAATTTTTCACCCCCTTACAAAAATCGAACAGCTCAATCTAGATAATTATAAAATGTATATATTTTTTTGAGAATATTGATAAATTCTCGACAATTTTCTACTTACATTTTGCTTTCAGGAGGCGTTTTTATCCTTCAAAAAAGTACAAGATTGAGAAAGTTGTAATTTTTATTAACAGAGGACATATGTCACATCACCCCTCCCCCAACTCTTTAGTTCTATCGTTTTCTTCTAAATTTTTGACCCCGTTACAAAAATCGTTCTTCACGAACGACGAACAGTACAATCAACATACATGTTATTTTTGAAAATAAAGATAATTTTTCGACAAAAACACATTTTTTACTTATATTTCCCTCAGTCAGGCGTTTTTACCCTTCAAAAATGTCCACGTTGGTTCGGGAAAGTAGAATTTCTTATTAAAGGAAACGATCAATGTCCCTCCACCCGCCCTTAAGTAGCAATTATTTTTTTATCGAAATTTTTGACTTCACAAAAATCCATTCTTATGGCGAACAGTGCAGTACAGTAATTTCGATCATTTTTCGATAAACCTGTTTTTGTGACATCTCGTCGATTAGTAAAAAGTTTGTTCAGAGTTTGTTTTGTTCGGATCACATATTTTGCAGTATTTTCATGAGATATACAAAATTTCGAAAAAATTGCAACATGTATAGGTTACAAAGCACATAAAACAAATTAACAAAGAATAAATATCCCATATCTATGTTTAAGTTATAAAATAAATAAATGTAGTAGGTGCTCCAAAAATTTGAAAAAACATTCTTTTTGTTTATGAATGAATATATTATCTGGGATCGTCTCCCAGAAGGAAGACGACTAAGGACCTTTTTTTCCCAGTAATATTTTAAAAATTTCGTAATCCGTATTAAATATGTTTCTATCCCTTTAGTTTCCATAAAGGACGAATTCCCCAAAACAAAAAAAATCATACTCAACCGTACTGTTCAACGTTACAATCGTTATTTGTTTGCTGCGTTTTTGCATTTTTTTAAAGTTATTTGCGCGCTCACCTCTCCGAAACGTTCCGAACCGTACGTAGGCAAGCTTGGCGATTGCAAAGAGGAAGTCAGAGCAACGATCGCCTCCCCTTCTGTTTGGCAAGCCTTGTCGATTTGCTTCACCTGATATTTGAGCACGAATTCGGAATCCAAACCCGAACCGACCTCAAACGACCGATCGGGTTCGTCTTCGGAGCTGTGGTAATGGCGGAACTTTCTCTGGCCGAATTCCGTCTCGAACAGCATAGAGCCGCTAGCGCTGCGCCCGTAATCGACCTGCAAAGCCCCGGAGTGTCAAATATCCGGCTCGTGTGGCCTCGCATTCTTACTATAAACTCACACGGAAATTACACAAAAAAAAATTGAGAAGGGATCGCCAATTTGTATTTACCTATATATTATCTGTTCTCCTTTTCACTTAAACTTTATATATACAAGGAGTGTTCAAAAAGTAAGGTGACTTTTGTTATTGGGCGGGCTACGTACATTCGATCTTCGATATTTTTTTTTATTTGGTACACATGTCCCTAACATATGTTTACAGTTTCAGCCAGTTTGCAAGTTTGTGTTTTGTGTGCATGGCGATTTTCTGCTGTAAAAAAAAAATGGATCAAAGAATTTGCATTAAATTTTGTGTAAAACGGAATAACAGTGCTGCCAAACACCTAAAATGTTGGTCACGGCATATGATGAATCTACTTTGAGCAAAAAAAAAAAATGTTTATAAGTGGAAGCTGATCCCAGGTGACCGAGAAGATGCAGATGACGAAAGTCGCTCTGGACGCCCCAACACGTTAATAACTGATGAAAGCCTTGAGGAAGTGAAACAAATCATTATTTCCGAAGTTTTGGGCATGAAACGTGTAGCAGAAAAATCTATTCCGAAACTGCTTAATTTTGAACAAAAGGACCGTCAAAGGAGCATCGCTCAAGAGCTGTTAAACGACGTCAATGTTGATCCCGATATCCTCATTAGATAAATGAAAAATGAAGAGATAACAGTTTCAATTGTGGCCTAAATCAAAGAGAAACAATAGGGAAGGAGAATCGTTTTACCTTTTCTAGATTTCCGTTGATGACGAAGGTAGTCCCGTCCGCGTAGTCGCATTCGTCAACCGGATCTTTAATAGGTTTAAAGTGCGACCGTTCTGACGTCAGCAGGTCGTCCTTTTCAAGATGGCGATGCGGCAGGCCGTCGCGCCCGCTGAACTCCGCCATCGCCATCCGCGCGTTGTTGCTGAACAGGCTGAAAGGCTTCTTGGCGCACTCTTTCACCTCGGCAAAGCTGCTGCACTCCTGCGCAAAACAAATAAATACTGATCCTTCAAACTTCTGGATTCGTCCTGCGTCGGTTGTAGATCAATCGAACTTGTTGGCGTTTCTTGCTCTGAAGAAACCAAAATGACAATTCGCAAAACGTCGGCACGTTCGATCCAACAAAAAGCGACGCAGGAGGAATCCACAAGAATGGTAAACAATAAATACGGATCATTTGGGGGGATAGATAGGAAGTAAATTAATTTACACATTTACATATAATTGTTATTATATATTAATCAAAAATCAGACAAACTTCACGTTTTTCCAACTTATTTAGATGGTTTAGTTGATTGTATAACAATTTCAAGAGGTACCTTAATGGTTTGTCAAGTCTGAGTAGTTTAAAAGTAAACATTCACTAATCGATTTATTCCAAAACCTAAGTAAAGGCAATTAATTAGGTACGATTGAAAAAAATCTGTTTGTTTTACTGGTTATGTCGTGGGAAATTCCAATAAAAATATCATATTTTATAAGAAAACCTGTTATATTAATATTGCATATGCCGAAAACTAAAAAATAGGACTTTCTAGTCTAAGGAGAGAGTTAAGAGAAAAAAAAGGACTTTTCTTACAATTTATAATGATGGCCTCTTTATTTAAATCTATAACATGTTTAAATTGTTGTCTTAAACGTTTAAAATAACATTTTGCGGTGATTATTTCATTATTTGTCTTATAATTTTCCTTTTCAATCCAAACGCAGACAATTTTTTTTTTATAAGAGTAAGTATTAAAAATTATATTGCTAATGCTAATTAGAATTAGAAGAGAATATTTCATATAGCTTCTTATTGATTTATTAGAAAGCACCAATGAAGCAAAATCTTATTTAATCTTAATCTTATATAATTATTTTATTTTACAACGTTTTCTTCTCTGAGTATAGGAATACTCAATTCGATATTTAGCGATTCTATTTGAAAAAATAATTTCCAGGATTTTCTCTTAGCCGATTTATAATTGCTTGTTCATATATTTGTTGTTGTATTTCCCTATCATACTTCGTGCCCCTTAATGGGAAACAAAATCGACGTTTCAAAAACAATAATGCGCCTACGTACCTTATCGTGATTGACCTTCATGAAACTGATGGTCAGCATATCGAAGAGGCATTCGTTTTCGTGCAACGCAGCGGCCAGATCCGAATCGTCCCAAGCGCGATCTGGCGGTAACGCGTGCAAACCGTCGAAGACGGATTTCCTTTCCGCGACAGTGTTCGTCTCATTCTGACTGATGAATTTGGGCCAAGAATCTGTTGAAAACGCAGAAAATTCTTACTTCATTAATTACTTTTGGCACAACTTATTTAAAGTCAGAAAGGGGTTATTAAATAATATAGTGCATAATGTATGCATTCGATACTGTGATTTGCAGTGTTAGCATTATTATCTTTCTTTCTAATCAATCCAAAAAAGATTTAATTCGTGTCGTCAACTTACTAGACTCTACTTCGCGAAACTGAAACTCGGACTTCGGGGGGCTGCAGCGTACGTTTGACCATATGGAGGAGGTGATGTTGGTGCCGCGGGCCAAAAACTGGTTTTCCTTGGCGGTGTTCATGGCGTTGGCGAGGTTCATCAGTTCGACGGTCGCCCCGCCCTTCGGCGGCGAACAGGATTCGTTCAGCAGGTCGGAAATGTCGACCGGCAGACCCTCGTACATGTCGAAGTCATCCTCGATGGTCAGATTCTGTCCCAAACACTGACCTGAAACACGGAAAATCCATTTTTTAACTCTCCGACTAGGCCAATTATTCATATCGTCCCTCAATTGGATATATCTTAATAAAACTTGCTGACGTTACGCCAATCATAATGGTAGCTTCCTCAGGGCTTAACTGAAACCGGCTCGCAATCTCCAATCATTTCTAAAGAAATTTAAAAAAATAAAAACCACTTCTCAGCATTAGGCAATTAGTTTTTATTTTTAAGTGAAACCCACGACTGACTAAATAAAAATTAAGATATCAAATCTGCTCGTAAATGAATGCAAATGTCATTATTTTTGTTAAGTGGCGTGTTACTGTCTGTCTGTGAACAAATAATATTTTGGGTCGGCACTGCACTGGATAAATCGAGAACTTTTTATGTGAAAAATAAAATATCTATCTAAAACAAAATCTCTAGTTTTTAGTTACAAATTAGTGTCCAAAAAAAAATATTAAAAGACTGTTCTCTTCACTTCTACAGTTTTAATGAAATAACATAACATAATAACAAGATAAATAATAGACGATTCTTATTTTAAGAAAACAAAAACGACCTACTGTTAATAATTTTTAACAAAATTGTCAGTTAATAAATTAATAACAACCTTTGTTGAAAACAAGTAGAATATAAAAAAAGGTTTTTCAGCTCTTCTACAGTGTTAACTGGGGTGTGATAAACCAGACTCTTAAGGTGCCACCATAAGAAAAAGTCAAAACTATTTAAATCTGGGAACCTAGAGGGACCATGATTGAGGTTCGGCGGTTATTAAATGTGTGATTTAAATATTCTCTTACTACAACATTAAAGTGAGCAGGCAATTAATAGTCTTCTAAAAACCGGCTATAATTATGGCCATTTAGCATTTCTGGCAGGAAAAGGAGACCAATTAAGTAATTTCCAACAATTCCATCTTTAATTTACCGAAAACTGTTCTTGGTGTTTAAATTCTACAACTGCATGGGAGTTTTCATCAGCCCAAATATTGTGGAAATTTCAAAAATGCAACTCAAAGTTTACGTATTCGTAAGTTTTTGAAGAATTTTAGTAAAACAGATAGACAATTACTTAAATAAGAAATAATAACGATAGTAATTCTCACCATGCTGTCATATTAACGATATTGTTATGCAGAGAAGAAGTTTTAATTTTTTTAAGCGAAAACCGTACATCGGATTGAAAAAAAGCAAAAAATTAAATTCCTTTAGAAATGATTGGAAATTGTAAGAATATTTTTTATTTGAAGAGAAATCAGTGGCATACCATCAATGCATGCCAAAATAGATATGTGAAATTCCATACACCCGCCACTGGTGTATTCCTACAGCGCCAGTGTGGTTTACATAGTGAATTCCGTTCTCAATTTCTGAGCTTCAGTATCATAGCCAAAATGTTAAATTGTAAGATATCTGTGTACATTTCTGGAATGGACAACCTTAAATGACTACGTTTTTCACAATTTGAATTCATTTAAATCCAAAATATCCCTTCAATGTGAGATAATAATGAAAGCTCACTTATGGGGAAAATGTTTAATTATTTTTGGTAAAGAATACACCCTGTAGACCTAAAAATTCAAAAAAAAAAACAACCCAACCCAGATTACTGCTCCACATGGTCGTATGTCATCCTTCTCTTGAAAAAGCCATAACGCAATATTAATTTACCCACTTTTCAAAGTTTTCGCGTACACAGGCAACGAAAGATACAGATTTTGTCGACATTGAAAATTCTTATTAATACAATAATTACAAAGTTCGAAAAAATTTCGCAATATTCACTGCGAAAACTACATAAAACGAAGAAAAATTTACTTACACAAACTTTTACAGCACTCTAGAAAATAATTCACGTACTGAGACATCCAGAACCACAATGTTAACCCACTGACTTAGGAGCAACGTCAAGGACGGTATATATTATCGCAATTTAATTGCCACAAGGGAGGGGCAGAAAGCAGGTAAGAATATTAGCCCCCTAATCCCGATGACATTAACTCAAAATATTATCGCTAAAGATTCTCCTTTTCATTGTTAAATTCTGCAAATTTTCCAAGAAATAATGTACATGTAATGGCCTGGGTAATCGGAAAGAGATTAGTAAGGGTCTTTTTGGTAAATATCCTTTTATTGCGATCTGCATGATACAAGATAGGAACGGGAAATGACGAAAAACAGTACACTTACCCTTGTTATTGCTATTGTTATTTAAAAACTTCCAATTGGTCATGTTGTTAAATATCTCCTTGTTCAAGCTTCGGGGACGAAGCTCCCTCTTGTATGCGACCCGCCCTCGGGACTGATTGGTTCTCGCCTTCAAGTTGTCCGAGTACATCCTAAATAAAATTAGTGAAAAATGAAAAAAACCGCTTAATATCTGTTTCGTCAAGTAATGGCGCTCTTTTCATCATTATAATGTGTTTCTTTTAATGACAATAATAACTTTTGGATTGTTCAAAATATTGCAAAATTACATTTTTCGCATTCTGCGTGAAATTTCCCTCAAAATGTTAACCAAAAACTAACCGTAATTGGAAACTTGTTACTTTTGGAATGTTGGGAAATTCCTCTTGACATTTACCAGAAGAAAATACAATTCGGAGCAGACATTGTTTTATTCCATCTTTATTTTCAATTATAATAACGTATAAAATACTAAATGTACCAATTTAAATAATAAGTACGATATCGTGAAAGAAATTTGTCGTTTTATGAGGAAAAAAAGCATTTTCTGACAGATAAAATTTTCAAAAAATGATAGAGTAAAATTTCCTTTAAAAATATATTCTCCTCGATCGAAACTGTTTTATTAATTTTTATCCATTGTTCCATCAAATCTTTATTTCAGTTAATTTTACTTATTATCTTAATATTTTCAAACAAATTTTTCGTCTTATAACGAAAATGTCGACTTTTGATGCTTGTCACGATTATGCCTTTTCTTGTTGGTCTATCAATAGAGAGATGAAATTGAAAAAAAAAATCATAGAGTAAAATTTCCTTCTCCTCAATAGGGAACTAGAACGTTTTTTTTTAAATTCATTAATGCAGTTGTTTATATATAGAAATAACGTATACCAAATATCAGGGAAAAAAATCAAGTTGTGACACCCGGCTATTTCTTTTAAATGACACTAAAAGCGGGAGAATGGTCGTGACGTCATACCGCTGCTTTTCGATCGATACTGCGACATGTTATAGTGTTATTCTCAGGTTATAGGTAGAGAATTATATTATTTACGTTTATTTTTGCCTCGTGTAAAGGTGTAACACAAAAACAATATTGCAAATCGTGTTCAATCGAGTACAACCCGTAAAACGGCAGATAAACTTTTTATTTGCCTACTAGAAAATAAAAGCCATCGTTTTTTGTTAACATTATGTTCAGGTGTCACTTTAGCCTTAACCGTGCTAATATTTTCAACTCTTCGAACTTGCACCCTTCCTATTGCAGTCTCCATAGGAACGGCTTCCTGATCTACGTAAAATAAAGAATACTTTAAGTTATCAATGCCACTATACTTTGAAATCAGGTTTATTTTGTTGAATAATTTACATTTTATTTGATATACCATTTAAATTTTCAAAACTAGAAAACTCTAAGCTATTTTCTATGAACATATCTTTCAGCTTTAACACCGCGAGCCTCAGCAAAAGAAAAACTTCGATGGTTTGTATGTCACAATAAACATATCCACTAAAAGTAAATAGTCAAATTGACCTCTTAAAAATCGGCTTGGGTCATTTTCAAAACTTTCAACAAAAGCAAGCGACAGGATCAAGACTAAAATTAAAATTAAAACCACTAAACCGAATGCGTTGTCTTTTCTGCTACGGTCCGGCTGGCGCGTAGTCTAACTAGCGAATTGGCGTCACAACCGGTCACAGCCAATGACAGCTCGTTCCAAAAAGGGTTTGAATTTCCCAAATTTTGATTGCTTAGAACTGCGAAATTATTTTTTTTGTAAACCGTGGTTGTTTTAATAGTATAAACTTACTTTTATAAGCAATACTTGATTGATAATATTCTTTTAATTGTTAATTTTTTTTAATTATACCTTATATTTCATTCTAATTCACCTTATTATTTTAACATTTTCAATTGAAATACAAAACAAAATATTAATAAAAATCTGACAATGTGAATAATGAGGACATCTACATTATTTGCAAAAAAATTCGTCATTTTATAAGGAAAACATCAACTTTTTCATGCTTCCGCTTTTTCTTATTCTTTTCCAAAACAGAGGCGAAATTGAAAAAACAATTTGATAGAGTAAAATTTACTGTTCTATTAATTTTTATATTTCTTTTAATTATATCTTTATTTATTAACTTTTATTATCGTCAATTGAAATACAAAATAACATATTAATAAAACAATTGAAATAATAAGTACAATATCTACATTATTTTCAACCAACTTTCTCGTGTCAATTTTATAAAACACCTCGAAAACTAAAAAAAAAAAAAACGACACCGAATTTGGTACGAAAGGAAAACATGGCGAACCTGTTTTGATGCACGTGACGCTTGTTTTTCCTCTTATTGCCCTTTTTCGGCGACGTTTCGGTAGCGCAATCGGTGCGGGCGTTCCCGGGACGGAGCGGAGGGAACGCCGCGTAGTACCGTTGAGCCAACTCTCCCGGGGAAATTTTCCTAGTTTTCTCTGATTTCCTTGTATTTCCCGCCTCGGTCGCGGACGATTCGGACGGGGCGTCCGCCTCTTTCAGTTTCTCGCAGAGCTCGTCCACCAACGATTCAATTTCGCAACTCTAAAACCGGAAACGCCGAAAACCGTTTAATTGTGAAAGCACTATACCTCCCAGTAATAGGAGAAAAAATAGTGACTACATTTTGTACGTTTTTAAATGTTATATTTTGCGATTGTCCTTTCTATAGGCCACCGTGCAGACCGTGGTGGACGTGCGGTCACTACGGAGGAGGGGGAAGAAACTGTGAAACGGCGGTAAATAAAACATACATAATAAAGTGATCAGGAGTGGGAATTGACAAAAAAAAAGTGGAAATGCTCAAGTGCGGATTCAAAAAATTGTTACACAGTAGTTTACTTTCTCCTTCTTACTTAGTTTCTTCATTTTTCATACACGTTCCTAAAAAAGCGCTGAAAGGAGACCAACAATAATTTTTTTTAGTTTAGTTTAGTTTAAAAAGGCAATAAAACAAAATTTCTTACTTAACTCCGGATTTCTAACAAATAAATTGGTCTTACTGGAAAATAACTCAGAAATTCTGAGTTAAAAATTAGACGGACAGATCAGATATACGGCGTGATTCGTAAAGAAAGGGCAATGTCTAAACTAGAGGTACTAAACAACAAAAAAAAGTTTGAATATCAATAATTAAGAGGGCGATTTTTAGGTTCATTATAAAAAGAAAACATCTTAACGTCTTAAATTTTGTGTTACAGGGTGATAAAAGTTTTCAAAAATAAAATATATTTTCTTAATATCTATAATACCACTTTATATATTTTAATTAATTGTATCACTTTTTTTTTAAATATGTCAGCCCTACGGAATTTCACATGTCTATTTTGGCAGGAATTGATGGTACGCCACTGATTTCTCTTAAATCATTTCTAAAGAAGTTTAATTTTTTCGATTTTTTTTCAATCCGATGTACGGGTTTTCGCTTAAAAAAGAACTCTTCTCTGCATAACAATATCGTTAATACGATAGCATGCAGAGAATTATTATTATCATTTTTTACTTAAGTAATTTATCTGTTTTTTAAATATCTGGGGTGTATTTTTGAAATCTTTATAATTATTTCTTATCATTGTAGTAGACTGTGTCTATACGAATTATTAATTCTGTTGTCAAGGAGACTGAATTTAAAAACTGACGTTAAACGTCAGTTTCTAAATTCAGTTCTTCGCATCTTATTAATTTAGTGTTTAAGATATTCGAGCATTGTTATTTTAAAAAAGAATGGCCGGGTCTAGATAGATATTTTATTTTCCGCGAGTGCAGTGGCGACCTAATTAACCAAAATATTATTTGTCCATAGACAGTCAGTGACACGCCACTGATTTCCTTACAAAAAAAGTAATGACATTTGTATTAATTAATGAGGAGATTTGATTTCATTTTTATTTAGTCCGCCGAGCGGTTTTCACTTAAAAACAAAAACTAATTTCCCTGCATGTTGTCATATTGTAAAATGGTTAAATATTGCTGGTTAATATTGCTCTCAGTACCTATTTAGAGAAAAAAAGAAAAAAACGTCTTCTAAGAACTTTCAAACCGAGAACCCACGGCCTACACGATTTATCCGAACGATAAGGTGACATTAGGGCCCTCTAGGAGCAAATAAGTTTTAAATTCGAAATTGTCAAGTCAAAAAAACTAAAACCGCCAATTTTTATTAATTATTATAATATAAAAACTTTCTCAATTAATGAGAAACTTCAGAACGAAATTTACACTTTTGACGCCCTGTGTTATTAAAATTACCAAAGAACCTCTCGAAAAAGAAATATGTTTTCACATATTTCGGAAACTCCAGTGAAAAATTGTCCAAATTCTTAAGTAAACACAATTTGAAGATAGCTTTTAACTGTAATAATTCCTTGGGACGATTAATTAAAAATAATCAATTACAATTATAAACGAATTAAAGAACATCAAAATGAAAAACTTGTTCGCTTGTTGAGATCCGACTGGAATCCTGCAGACGTTTCGCCAAGATCTCACTTGGCATCTTCAATGCTCGCGCTCGGAAAACACTTCGGGCACTGTTACTGTGTTTATTTATTTGTATAAAAGAATGTTGGACATGTTCAATTTCAATTAAAATTATAACACAATTTTCTCAAGATTAATCCGAAAAAAACAATAAATTGGCGAGACAATAACCATACTAACTTAATGAATAAAAAATTCAAAAGTATGTATTTGGTAATTTTTATTTGTAACAGAGAGTGCTGCATTGTAAAAAAAAAATCAAAATTTTGGAATTTCGTACACAAAATCTCACTAAATAGTTGTTTTCGGATAAACGCTTTTTCGTTTTTTATTGAAAATTACCTCGAAATTTGAATACGTCAAAAAATATCATTGCGAGGCAAAATTTTCCCGTTTAATCGGACAATTTTGTATTTTTACAGATCACATATGGAACAGATCTAAGGACGTTAACAACAGCGAAAAAATATGTTGTTTGTGGTAAAGAAAAATAGTCGTATTTGCGGTGTACAGATACAGATAGTGCAAGACAAAAAATGTTTGTTTTCGGGTTTAACATTGGTCGATCACATGTATCCGAAAGTTATAAATATGCCCTCTCAAAGGGTCGACGTCCCATACTAATAGTGGTTTTTCAAACATGATCAAAAAACAGGTAAGTTTTGGTTACTTTAAGATTTTTTCCTTTTTTTAAATACAACACGATGTACATTATTACGGTCTGATTCACAAAGTAAAAATCAATCTACTTTCTACAGGCCTAGGAAGAGCACACTAATTCCAGAGCTCCCTAACTTTGCAAACTGCAAGAACTCTGAGGTTGCATTGATTTTTGATTGAAAATACCAAAATGGCTAGAAAATTGGCGAATATATGTATATGCAGAGGAAAAAATTTGCATCTACAAAATTTACGTAATTCATTAATAAGTTTTGGACACCCTGTAAGAGACAAATCCATTTTCAATAGCCATGGATGATCCTTGGGCTTCTTTTTACCATAACATAATATATTTTAAAATTTTTAACTTTATCAAGGTATTTCAACAACTATTGACATTAAGTATTATATATTTAGATAATTGCAAAATTCTTTAAACTTTTTTAAATTTTATTCAAATTTTGATCTTTATTAAGAATGTAAAATACATACAAATATTAAATAAATTAAACATTTTATATAAAAATATTTAATCCTAAGTTATTTAAAATATCACTAAGCTATGTAAATATTTGTATATAAAATGTTTCATTTATTTAACATTTGCATGTATTTTAGATTCTTGAGAAAAATCCACATTGTGATCAAAACATTGAATAAAATTTTTAACAATTCAAAGAATTTTGCTATTATTGAACCTCAACCCAAGAAAAAGCCTAGTATAATTTGCTCAGAAATCCAAAAATGCATTAATATAGAGGGTGTTGCATTTAAAATAATAAAATTAGATATAAACTTTATAATTTTACATTTCTGTACACCTTTCGATTGTGCACTTAATTACCCCTTTTTTTAGTGTTTGTAAAGGTTCTTATTAATAAATAGGAAAAAAAAAGTTGTGGAAAATGTATGGATGGAAAAGCCCAGCTAGGAAATATTTTTTCTGAAATTAAATCTTCATATTGATTGATGCAAGGCCTTGAACTAGGGAGTGATACTTTTCATAATAGTACCTAAATTTTGAAAAAATATTTTCTTTAATAGGGTAAAAAAAAACTTTCAAAATAAGCTCAAGCGCCCACTATTTACCTGGTCAGCGGCCGACATGAGGCATTTGACAGCTGCCGAACGTTTAATCTGTTCGGCATTGGCCTGCGCATGTCTCCACCAGTTCGAAGTTCGACGGATCCGCTTTTGATACGCAGCGTTCCGCCCTCCTTCCTAGGTGGCACCACATAATTTATAATTAAACTGCAACTGAAAAATCTACCTTTTTTAGTTCCGTAAATAGCTCCTCATCTTCAGGATAAATAACGTCCAAGGTGTGCACGTGCAATAAACTGAGGATGTAACGAGTGTAAACTTCCGAATCAATACCGCGAGCTTCGAGTTGTTCCTCCAACCAATCGGACACTGCTGAAGGCATCGACACTAACTGAGGGTACTTCATAATATTCTGTTGAAAGCGAATGAAAAACAATAACGCATCAACTAATCCGTTCATACTCACACTGAACCAAATGTGGATGGGTATGCTTCTGTAGGGCTTGTCTTTCAAAATATATACCAAGCACTGGTACGGCGAAAAAGGTGGCCGTGCCAAAACCCATGTTAAACCGCGGGAAAATCCATGTCCGATGCCAAAACGCTTAATTTATAGGGAGTTTTGATATTTCTAAAAGGGAAAACTTCGACGCCTGCCCGCCCCCATTGTATATCTGCAAATCAAACGGTTGATAAAAAAATAAAACAAAAGACGTTCGGAAGTAAGTCGCAAAAAGTGCACTACAAATGGAAGAAAGAAAGGTTAAAGCACTTCCAAGTTAAAAATAGCGGCAAGGGCATCACGGGTTTTCGCGTATTTCCGCCTTAACGTCTCAGATCATGCACAAATTTTCTCGTGAAGTGATGATGCAGTTTGATGTTGAGCCGAAAATAATAGTCGCGTCAACGAGAATAAGACGAAATTTTAGTATAAAAATATAGTTTTTTCAGAACGTTTAAAATATGTATATTAATGTTCCTGGGTATCAAAATTGACTTTTAAATCTTAAACCTTTCCAAAAAAATTCCAGAAAACTAAAATTACGCTCATCGTCTAATCCGACAGAAATCTAATAAAACGCACTTTTAAAATCAAAGAAAAAACAGCAAACAAAAATTACACTTCAAATGTACGCCATTAAAACAATTGCACAACAAACGTGGAAACCAAGGCGACGGCAAATTGACGATTGACATGGAATTGCGGTCCCAATTTAGGGCAAATAAAAACGAAAACCGCCTAAAAAAGGAATATTTGGTACCTTTGCGCGCGGGGAAGTTATTCAGAACGGTTAATTCCCTTAACACACCCCACGGATTTACAAAAACATGGCAGCTCGGCGCGACGGCCTATGCCAATCAAACGAAATCCCGCTCAAAGTGCGCGTGGGCAAAAGCCAGCCCTCGCATAGTGCGCAAGACGCGAGGAGCGTTCAGAAATTCTGGGAGGAACGCATTGTCCTTATCTAACGACGTGATATAGAAGGAGACAGAGCGAAAACGTTCCACAATTCCCATATGCGCCGCGGTTTCTAAAGTTATCACTTTATCGACTTTTTCTAATTTTTTTTCTTGTTGTCAAATATGGGTATTGCTTCCATTTCAGTTTGGTCTAAAACGTTCTGCAAAATGAGGTCGACATAATGTTGACGTTTGGGTTATGGAAAAATATGTATTGTTTTAGATTAGCGATTTGTTTTCGCTACAATAACCTAATTCATTAAAAGATAAATGTCCACCCGAATGACCATAGGGCAAAATAAGATATTGAGCATTTAAGTGGCATTTTAAACAACCTGCTATACATATGTTTTTAAAAATAATAGCGAAATTAAGTGTCCTACTCCGAGCAGGTTTCTGATTTGCAGTTCGCGTGCCGATCCCGTAGATGGCGCAGCCGCGGTTCGAGAGGTCGCCCCTATCGACTCATCAAAATAAAAAAATAAGCTTTTGCTGCCGTATAACAAGGTCAACAACTTTATTTGCTCGAAGATCAAAATTTTCCGAAAAGGACAGTTGATAAACATTATCCGTGATGTGATTTCGGTGGAAATCTCGTTTGGGAGCCAAACAGGTCGAGGGTAAGTGGAGAAAACGACCGTTTAAGTCGGACGGGAATGGAAATCTTTTTGTTTGATAACGATTTTTCTGGATAAAAGACGAGTCGGGACGGAAAAATGAGCGTATCGAAGCGGCGGTTTATTTTTTTAATGTTCGGGAACGTCCTTCTCGCCAGCGAATCTGTCCGAAAACGGGAAAAATCGCGGAAAAACGTTTTTCTTTTCCCTCCTGTCAATTTTGATTGTTTACGACTGGTCTAGATCTCGATAGCGCGGAATTCAAACTTAACGTCAAACGTTACGACCTTAAACTTACCTATTCGGGTATTAAATTTCGCTCCGTTCGTTTTTTTAAATTACTGTTAGGAGGAGGCAATATTCCTTTTGCAAAATTAATCGATTAGGGTCGAAGAATGCGAACGGTTTTCGGATTTTTAGGTTAAATACTTCCGTATTTTGGTTGCAGGTGATTTTCACATTGGAAAAATGTTCCTCCCGACGTGATCGAATTGCAGGAAATGTAAAGATCGCGACTCGGCACAATGTCCGAAGCTGCGGATTGCTACAACCTCGTTCCCCAAATAACGGACACAGGTACGAGCTCCAACATAGTTAAGACGAACCTTAAGTCCCAAGAGCTGGATCTCAAGGACTGTTTGTTGAATGGTGAAGTTAGAGACTACGGGGCGTATCTCCCCAACAACAATGTATGTGATAATGAGTTGGCCGATGTTACTTCGGCCTCCGGTTGTAGTGAGCTGAAAGATGATGATTTTGGCGAGAGTGAGTGTACTAGTGATTCAAACAGGACTTTGGTTGGCGAACACGGTGAGGAGTTTAGTAAAGATGGGGACGTGAGCTCTTTGAATCAGCCAGGTGAGTTTTGGCTATCCTTAGGATAAGTCTTGTTTGGAGCTCAACCGAACCCTATAAGTAGGGATTTTAGCGTTCTAAAACGCCAAAGTGTATTTCCATATCACAAACTAGGTAGCTGAATATGCTTTAGAGAATTTTGCTGTTAAAGCTCTCTGCAGTCTTATGGAGGGTGTGGCCTAGGGTCTTTAGGAGGGTCAGTTCGCAGGGATGACTTGCTGCGACCTTACCAAAGCCATTAACTGCATATTGCGTGAGATCCTGTCAAAAAAGCTAGAATTTCATGGAAAAATTGTACATTATGTTCGCTGTTTGATGGTGGGACGACCAATCATGGAGTACCGCAGTGGTCAAAGCTCTCGCATTTACTGTACTTGACAAGGCAAATAAAAATTAAAAATATCTCTTTGCGATCATACCACAAAAGTGCATATTAATAAAGATATTGAAGCTTTTGATACCGAAATGGACGAGGCCTTATTATACTTGGGTGAAGGGTTTGTTGCAACTTGACACATCATAGATAGATAAAAAAAAACACAATAAAAACAATATTGGGCTTATAAGGTTTTTGGGAGGTTACTTTGATCCCAAAGTTTTATTTGATCTCTCGAAAAGTGTTCAGAGGCAAAATTTCTTATTGAAAGTCCAGAAAACATCATCAATATAAATTTTTCCATGTTTGAGTCAGTATGTAATAGCGAAATTTGAACTACGAACACTGAAATTACAATCCGTGCATTTCAGAGAAGAGAATGAAAATAATAGAAAAGTTAACATGTAGATTTGACGAAAAGAAATAATTTAATAAATTGGAAGTAGACATATATATTGGATTGCCTGATTTATATAAAAGAATATATAGGTAATTATTCAACACATAATGTCTTTTACTACTATAATTGGTGGAACATTTCCTTAGATCGGAGAAATGTAAGTATAACATAACAATGGGAACGTTTGAACTACTAACACCGAAATTATATAGAAGAGTACTAAGTATAATAGGAGGATTAATATGTAGATCTCACATAAAAAAAACACTAATAGTTTATATAAAAGAACATATAGGTAATTATTCAACCCATAATGCGTTTCAATCCTGCAAAATCCATGTTATTGTATGTAATGAAATTTACTTATAGTTTAAAGTGTTTTGCTCCTAAATTCTTGAATTTTAACTGGGGACACTATTAAAAATTTGAAAAAGTAAAAGTACTGCATATTGCGACATTACAAAGAACAATTCACATTGGCAATTATTTTCGTGAAACATAAATTAAACAATTTAATTGACTTGCTTAAATATTTCAAACGTTGCTTTATTATTTAGTATTTAGTATTTAGAATAGAATTTTTTGGTTGGGTCAGGTTTGAGGAAAAATGATATTCAAACTTTTCAACGCTACCACCTCCAAAACTATCCGGCTATCGATGAAAGATAAAGAACATTTCCTGCTGGAAAACATACTTGCTGGAAATTTGGTCTCAATTCCAGTAAATATATACCCCATTTGTATAATAAACAGTAACATTAATAAACTACCAAACAGTTTTATTTAAACGATTGGAATATAATGCTGTATAATTTTGGTATCTGTTGAAGAGTACAAGGACGTTTTTTAAATAAAGCTTTTTCTATTCGCACACTTAGATACAAACAATACAAACGAAAACAGCAGTAACACCGAGTCGAGTCAGGAGCCTCACTCTTTGGAAATTCTTAAACCTTCGGAAGAGGACGATTTAGACAAATCGTCGGTCAATAGCGACAGCTTTGCCAATTTTGACCACAGCAATGGAATCATTAAAAAAACTGGCAAGAAGAAGAAACTCTCTAGCGGCCCGGGGAGGGGCAGACCTCGCAAGGCCCACGTAGCCATGTACCATAGTCAGATTAGCGGGGATAAAAACACCATTAAAATAAGGATTAAAAAAAGTAACTTCAGCACTACAGTACAACAGGTAAGGTGGATTTGTGTAAAAAAATGTGTTAAAGCCAGGCTGTACTTCTTCAGCTAACTCCGACCAAAAAGAAATCGGGTCGCCGAAAAAAACACAAGGTGCACTCGGACACCGACAATTCGGATTACGAGAAGAAGCCAAAACGCAGTCGCCCCAGTGGGGCCCACGACAACGACGTCACGAGCACGCAAGACGTCGAACCATTGGAGCAGAGCGGTTGGGGCGATCCGGACAAGATGCCCGTTGATATCCTCCTGAGGATATTTGAAGAGGTTTGCGCTCAAGAAGGCTCTCTCCCAGTGCTAGTTAGGTATGGACTCTTTTTATCATGTTGCAAGAGGACATATACTCCCATTATACACCTTAATGTAGCTCTCCTATGCCTCCATATTTTGCTGATGCTAGTTAGGTAAGGCCTTCTTGGGTTGTAAGTCTAACCCTTTTTTTATGTGAAAATCATTTAATTATGATATGATATGTAACAAGGGTGTCCAACTCTATTTATTAAAGCAATTTTATTTAAAAAAAAAAAACTAACCTGATTCGAATTTTCAAATTAAAAAATGCTTTATTCCTTATGAAACATTGATGAAAATCGACCGATAGAAAATCAAAATTCAAAGGATAATAAAGGCAACAGCTGGGACAAGAGAATGAAACAACCCAATGGGTGTAGTATTTGATGCTGTGTCATTCGACACAGGGTTCGTAAGTAAATTAAGTAACAAGAATGATGTACCTATACACATACATGCAGGTACATGCGCCTCCTTATAATAATATGAACATTACAGCTTAACTTAACTACACTTATCAAGGCCCTACCGTAAGGTAGGAACAATATATTTTCAAATAAACTGTTGGCTTGAGCAATTTAGCGCATTAGCAAAGAGATGTTAAATATTATAATATGTATTGCAGGTGAGTCAGATCGGTGCATTTGAACTACTCTGTATGCCTAATACGTACTCCCATATTTATTGCACTATAACTCTCCTATACCCCTCCCATGCCTCCATATTCCACTCCTATACCTCCAGCTAACTCTTTTATAATGCCATACACCTATTATTCATTTTTTGCATACCTTTATTTAAGGTTATGTTAAACTTTTCGAAGTTTTCAAAAATGCAGCAAAAACGGGTCAACGTAATGAACAATCGCAGCTGACACAAGAAAATTTGAGCCCAGTAAGGATCACAGATATTAAGAATGAGGGAATAAAATCAGGCAATATTCAGCAACAAAACCCTTTAATCAAAATTACAATTATCAACCAATAATTTGTTATAATCAACGAATATACATTCTAAGTAACCTCTAAGACGTCATTATAAATTGGTGTGATGTGACAAATATTTAAGTATGTCAGGCATATGGAGTAGTTCAAATGTAATATGTAAAAGCAGACTACATTTTCTGGACTTTTGAAGAAATATAAATCGGTAATTAAAGAAATCCAAAATTACTTATACAAAGTCAAACAAAGAATAATATTTAATAAAACACAGTTCGCAATTATTACAATTAATACAATCCTGGAGACGAAAGAGCATCAAAGCCGTTTTGTTTACTGAAGAAGTGATTGAATTCCGTCTTCATTTCAATTCTTTTGAATTGCAGTATATGTAAGGTGTGTAGATTATGGCGGGACATATCTTTAACTCCATCGTTGTGGAAGAAAGCCGACCTCAACTACGTCAAGGAGAAAAACCGGACGGATTTGAGGTTGCATTGGCTGATTTTGAATAGGTTGACGGAGTGTCGTGATCTGAATATGGGTAAGCTTGGCAATTCGTTGGGGGTTTTCCCCGTCAGCATTTGGTCGGTAGGTGAATGGAAGGTGAGGGACATTCAGTCCGTTTTGGAGGCGATGTGCGAGCACTGTCCACGACTGCGGGGCCTCAATCTGAGCGGGTGGAAGGGTTTGAATGCGGACAACCTGAAATATTTGACGACCGAGTGCAGGACCCTGGAAAGGTTGGATTTGTCCTCGATCCACTCGACGTCGGCCATCAACGCGCAGCCCCTGGTCACCCTCAGTCAGACCATGAACGCCCGTCTCACCCATTTGGTTCTGGCCCACAACAAGATCGCCGGATTCATGCAGATCATTTCCGGCATATCGGTTAGCGTTTCCGATTTTTGTCGGTATTTTCTTTTATATGTCGTATTCTTTCAGGCCCATTGTCCGAACCTTCAGCTACTCGATATCTCGAATATAAAAACCTTCGCCCACAACACCGCCCTGCTGCACGTCGAAAAGCTACAAACCGGCTGTCCGAAGTTAAGGGTGCTGCGCATCACCAACAGCCAGGTGTGGCTCGCTCCGGCCAGTCTGCCCGAACAGGTACGGCCGACATGCATTTTGTGTCTGTTCTCTGTTCACCACTTCTGTTCTCTGTAACGGATCACGGGGAAGTTTTCGTGGCCTGGTAACATTCCAACGATCGAAACTACGGGTTTTAAATTCTCCTCTGTGCTAATGCTAGGGGATGCGCGGCGGCTCGCAAAATATCTAGCCGATCAGACGTCCACGGCCATTTTGTTGACTATTAGTCGGGAAAGTCGCGGAAAATCGCTACCATTGAAAGTAAGTGCCCGAAATTTCGAGCCATCGAGTTGAAATTCGACGGGAAGTTAAGAGTTCCGACCGCAGACGGAACCTATCGAAAAAAATTGATTTTCTCGAAACCAATACGTGCAGTCGGAAAAATTCTTGAACCGGAAGACGCGTGATATTTGGCACGATAAACTAAAAATGTAGTTTACTGAAACATATATAGGGTGTCGCAGTTGTGGGCGATAATCTGAAAACTGTTATTTTTCGGAGTGAAGATTGCCCGTAACTGCCCGATGCCCGTTGCGAACGACGCTGTTTGACTTGAGCGGCCTCTTAGGTCGCCTCGAGAGGTAGAATTTTTGCATGTACCATTTTCGTTTATCATACAGGGTGTGCGTTATACGGGTTAGAAAGCGATTGGTTGGAGTTAAATATTGCCTCGTAACTCGACTATCGTGACGTGCGAGCCAAATTGCCAATATATTTTCTGATAATATAACTATTTCCTGAAAAAAACTAAATTCAGAAAACAAAACTGTAACGATATCCATCCCAAACTTAAACAAATATTTCTAAACACCCCCCGAGATGTCGACACAGATAGACTTTTTAACTTTTTGCAAAAAGTTGACAAGATTTTAAAATAAAAACTTGTTTTTAAAAATTTTAGTTACATTAAAAGTGACCGGGTATAATTTTTGATTTTACTACGAGGTGCGTTGGAAAAACAAGGCTAACAGTCGGTAGTAAAATGTGGCTTGTTCATGTAAAAATGGAGGTTTTGGTGTTTATTATGTAGGTCGCTTCTCCCGGTTTTCCCATGCTGGAGGAGCTTTCGCTGGCCGGTCTAGAAGAGGACCAAACGACAACTTCGAGGTAAGCGAATTCTAAATGTTATTAATTATTTTATTTATTTATTACCCTGATTTAAAACTTAGGAAAGATGCACGATTGAATTATAGGTTTGGCTGCTACTAAAGTAAAAAAGTTTAATAAAAAAAAAGCTTTTAATAAAATAAAAATATACAGGCATTTTTTCTAAACTAAATTTTAAAAAAATGAAACCACTCTCTAATTATTCGCATAGACTTTCGAGGAGTATCTAACACGTTGATCAATAGATGCTTGTTAAACAAAATGTATGTTTTTTTAATTAAAGCTCTAATTGTGTAAAATCCCGATTTCTAGGTTATAATATTCAACACTTTATGGCTGAAAAGTTTCAAAAACGGGCTTTCCTTTAGCAACTGTATCTAGGTCAAACAAATAATGTATTAAACGTTAAATTCCTTTAACAAAAAGGTAAATGAATGATGTCGGAATATATTTTTTGGCCGTACAATAAGATTGAATCGTTATTAATTGATAATTTGGTAAATACACCAATTTTGGGTTTGACACGTAGAGGTTTTTTTGAAATCTAGGTCTCTAGGTTAATAAGATACTGTAATATTGTACTTGATGCTTCGAAAAAGCCGCTAAATTCTTGGAATTCTTGGAAAATTGATAATTTGATAAATTAATTTATTTTAAGTTTGACATGCTCTAAGTCAAACAGATAATATAATATTGTAATTTATATTTTGAAAAAATGCTAACCGCTTTAAATGGTCTTCAAATATAGGTCAACGAATGACGGCAGAATCGATTTTTTTTTACTTGCTCATTAGTATTGATTTGTTATTTTTTGGTATAGGTTTTTTTTAAATCTAGATGTCTAGGTCAGACAGATAATGTAATATTGCAACTTATGTTGAGAAAAAATGCCAAATGCTTTAAACGCTCTTCAAAAATAGATCAATTAATGATGTTGGAAAGATGTATTATAAGATTGAATTGTTGAATTGATTTTTAGTTTGACACGTACGGGTTTTTTAAACCTAAGCCTCTAGGTTTATTAGATACTGTAATATTGTGTTTTATGCTCCTAAGGAAACGTTAAATTCTTCGAACGATCATGAAAAATTGATAAATTGACTAGTTTCAAGTTTGAAACGTACAGGTTTTTCAAACTTAGGTGTTTAGGTTTATTAATTGTACTTTATCTTTTAAAGAAAACGCTGAAATCTTCGAACGGTCTTGAAAAATTCATAAATTAATTAATTTTGAGTTTAAGACGTGCAGATTTTTTTAACCTAGGTGTCTAGGTTTATTAGATAAGGTAATATTGTACTTTATGTTTTAAAGAAAACGCTAAATTCTTCGAACGCTCATGCAAAAGTCATTAATTAATTAATTTCGAGTTTGAAACATACAAGTTTTTCAAATTTAGGTGTTTAGGTTTATTAGATCTGAACCATTTCAGTATATGCTTTAAAGAAAACGCTGAAAATCTTCGAACAGTCTTGAAAAATTGAAAAATTAATTAATTTTGAGTTTGAGACGTGCAGTTTTTTTAACCTAGGTGTCTAGGATTATTAGATACTGTAATATTGTACTTTATATTTTAAAGAAAACTCTAAATTCCTCGAACCATCTTGAAAAATTGATAAATTAATTAATTTCGAGTTTGAAACATACAGGGTTTTCAAATTTAGGTGTTTAGGTTTATTAGATACTGTAATATTGCACTATATGCTTAAACTTAGGGGTCTAGGTCAAACAAATTTTGTAACTTATGATTTTAAAAAATGCTAAATGTCTTGAACGGTCCTGAAAAATAGGTCGATGGACGACGACGGAATAGAGAGGCTGTTAAAATCGAGCACGAAACTTCGCTTGCTGGACGTCAGAGGGTGCAGCAAGCTGACCGACTCCGGGCTGGTCCGGGTGCCCGCGTGGGACCTGGAGCATTTGTTCTTGAGCGGTAATCCTAGTTTCCGCGTCGACCGAAATTTTATATATCGCGCGTGTTTTTTGCAGCTTGCTACATAACGAGGCTGCAAAATTCAGGTCTTGAACTGATCGTCCAAAAGTGGAGTCACAGTCTCCTCGAGGTTGATCTCGCTTGGTCGACGGCGACGGCGTCACTGGACGCCGCTGTATTCGCTTTGGCCGAAAAGGGACCTGAATCTAAATTAAGGTATATAATAGTGGTTGAATGTTGTTAGATTATTGAGTAAATAATTTCAAAAATACAAAAAAAAACTTTGATATGTGCAGAGAGGATATTCAGACCAAATAAGGTTTAATTACCTATACAGGATTTCAAAAATATCCTTACTAATGTAAAATGTTTTATTAAACCATTGTACGTACGTATAAAAACAGTTTTAGGACGACAATATTTATTAAATGTATATTTAAATTTGAAAAAATATGTCGCTGTTAGAGCTCCCACATCAAACAGGCTGTAATATTAAATAGATATTTACAAATACTTTCGGAAATATGCAGCAATTATTTGGAATTCGCGATTTACAATTCAATTTCACTATACTATTAAATAGTTCTTATTATTGCACTGCCTCATTCAAATAATAAAAATAATTGTGATATTTTGTCCGAAAAAATGGCAAATTTCAGTTTTTCCCATAACTTTCCGGGAATGGAATCTTAAACTCCTGCTCAATTTCCACTCAATATCTCGAAATTTCGCGCACTTCCTTTGTCTCCGTACTTGCTTTTCCTTCTTAATAGCCGACAAATTTTCCGCCGATTCTGATATTTTGCTGGTCGTCGCGGTTCGTACGGTGTTAGAACGGAGGAAAATTTCAAGCCCGCAGTTTCAACCATTCGAATATTTTCCGGCTTCGAAAACTCCCCAAAGGTCCGTTCCAGAGAACAGCCAAAATAAAAAACGACGGAAACTTCAATTAAAAAATAAAATCGGTTAAGATTTTTTTTTTGTAAAACTTCTGGACTCCTGCGTCGGTTTTTGTTGAGTCTAATTAGCTAACGTTTCGCCATTCATCCTGTTGGCTTCTTCAGAGCTTGACTTAAATTGGCTGTACCTGCTTATATATTGTTTCAGAGGGGCGGAGCTAAATGAAGGGCATAAACACTGTTTCGGATGACTGATTCCCATATTGGTGATAGGTAAAGACCCGAGTCGCTGTTAAGATTGTTAGATTGCTTATAGATTTCTATAGATTCTCGAATTTTTCGTTGGTAAAATAATTGATTACATGCATTAATTTTTTAATTTTAGTTTCATTGAATAAAATTCGAAAAACAAATTCTTGCATGTAATCAATTTTTCTACCAACAAAAAATCCGAGAGTCTAATCTCAACCGCGAATCAGCTCTTTACGTGTCATTAATATGGGAATCAGTCACTTGAGTGTTTATGCCCTTCATTTAGCTCCGCCCCCTGAAACAATATAAAAGCAGGTACAGAGAAAAATGCGAGCCAGTGGCAGTCAACCTACGAAGAAACCAACAGGATGATTAACGAAACGTCAGCTAGTTCGACTTAACAAAAACCGACGCAGGAAGAATCTAGAAGTTTTATAAAAAGTATTACAGTAGCCTGTGGAAGTTTCTTTGAAAAATTAGGTTAAGAATTTCACCTACATTTGTGAGCTATATGTGCCAGACTTTATTGAACTTGTTTCGTAATTCCAGTTTTGATTAGATTAAGAGCTATCAGATTTTCACTGAAATTCTACACTTATAGATCCAGTCGAATCTAAGTTCCCTTTCTCCTTAAGCTTTTGTGGAGAATGTGCTTGTGAGGCCAAGAAGAAAATGACAAGGATTTTATATATTTGTCGATGCGAGCTTCATGCGCAAATAAAACTTTTGATCCTAATTATTATTTTTCAACAGGCAAATTTTTACCCACATTTTCCTTCCATATTACTTAATAACCGCAAGCTAAATTATTTTATTTATTCAATCAATCCGAGCTTGATTGCATTAAAACAAGTTTAGTATTAGCCACACCATACGACAAAAATCAGCTGTATTTCCAAGAGATTTGTTTATATTTATTATTTTCACTCTTCTCACTATTCCACGAACTTATCTATAGTTTTATTCAAATTTGTCGATACTTTATTGGGTATATTTTTATGTAGATACTTATTAAAATAGGGGCACTATTTAAAATGAAAATCAATAGTGTTTAAAAAACAAAACGACAAATTAGTTTTAATTAAAACTAAACACAAGTGTATTTTAAACTCTCGACTAATCGTCAAATTATTATGTTAGCGTTTTTCTACAGTGTGGCCTCCATTAGGAGAAACTTAAATGATGTTGAGAAATGTTAAAAACAAATTCTGCCACTTGCGTTTAAAAAAAAAAAAATACTATTGGATAAGGTAACATTTTGTGGACGTTATTGTATCATATATTTGTATGTATATCGTTTTTACTTATAAATTATCTGCCTATCGTCATAAAAAAATTAACAAGAAAGCTTTGACATAAAATTAAATTATTAAATTAAGATTATTTCTCAAAAATACTTAATTACTTAATGAATTTATAATTTGAAACGAATATTTGGTATAAAAAAAAATTATACTCTCGTAAATTCGCAAAAAACAATCAAATAAATAAATAAAATGAGATGTAGTTTAAATTTAATTTCAATAGTGCATTTTGTTTGATACATTATCCTGCATTCTGGAAAGTTATTATTTTGTGGAATATCCCTTTACATGTAAAATCCCTTTTCTTTCTTGCTGTGAACTGATCATCGCGGAACGCATTAATGCATTTTCAAAAAAGCACCTAGATGTTGATGTGAGAAAGTGACAAAACACCACTGCTTTGAATTCAGTTTTGGACGGATCTTTTGAGTCCGTAAATGAATTCGAGCACTCACGTCACGAAACGCATTAATACATTTTCAAAAAAGCAGATAGATGGAGATTAAAAAATATGCCACAGAAACGCTTCCACAAAAGTGCAAAAGTGACAGAACACCACTGTTTCGAACTCAGTTCTAGACAAAATTCGGAACTTACGAGCACTGACGTCATGTGAATCTAACCCATGGCGTTTCCTAGTCTCGTCAGTTGCCCAAATTTGTAATTGTTTTAAATTAATTTCATGGTTACTACGGCGCTTCCTATTCCTGTTATTGTTCTTTCTCTCTTGTAGGATACTGAACTTGTGCGGGTCGTCGGTGAGTCTGGAACCGGTGAAAGCCGTCCTGACCAAGTGTCCCAGCTTGAACTCGATCAACCTGCAGTCATGCAGGGCGCTCCCTAGGGGCGTGAAGAGGCTTTATACAGGGGCGGCGGTCGCCGAACTAAGGGACAGTCTAAACGAGAAAAAGACTGAGGCCAGCGAATCGGAGGGCGGGGAGAAATCGGCGTCCACGTCGCCGAAAGAATAACTCCTCCCAGTACGTTCCAAGGAGTGGATCTTTAAACCTGGTTTATGCAAATATTTTTTTAATTGTACGTTTTGAGTTTTTACAGTGGCACAAACTTGACGCCGCCCTTAAAAAAATGCCCCCTCCCCGAGCTTTAAAAGTTAAATCCAACAGAAATCGTGTCTACCTGGAAAATTCAAAATGGCCGACTCTTAACAGCTGATTTTAAGTTTTACCGGTCTATAACGAACTTAGTTTGTATTTGACGCGTTTGATTCGTTTTGTTTTTTTCTATCTTTGTCAACGTTTTTCAGCGCATTTTCCTTCGATATAGCTCATTAAATATGTACATTTATTTAACAAAATATTCGCAGAGATCGAGCACATGGTATTAAATAAAAAAGATTTAAATTTTATGAAAAAAGTTCCGATAAATGTCCCAAAAATGCGTTGTTTCCAATGTAAAAGTTTTTTTTTAAATATTTTTTGAATTATTTCTAAAGAAAAATTAAACAGCGCCGTTATGGTTGGGGGGGGGGGGCAACTTTTGCCAAAAAATCGTTTACAAAGTTAGATTTAAAAAATAGTAACTTTTAAAAATCTACAGCAGCTTAGGTGATAAAAAAAAACTCAAATTTTTGAAAACCGAATTTTGTTAATTTTGATAAGAAACGTTATCTCAAAGCGCGTTTCGCAACTTGGGGGGATTAGTATACAGTACCTGTCTTACTAAGTAATACTAAACAGTAATAATGACAAAAAAGGAATACATCGGAAATTAAAAAAAAATCGGTCGATTTCTAGAATCTCCTTGAATATTCGCCCACCCTTGTGATAAGACGTCGTTTATTTCGCTCGTAACACTAGTTGCTTTTCTTGTCTGGTGGGTGCCGCGAGTTCTAGATAAAATATTCTTGTTACTATGACTTTCGAGGACGTTTCGCTTCGGATGGGAGCGAAAGCGAAGTAAATTGTTTAGTTTTGGTCAGTTCGCTAAATTTAGTCCCGTCCGGCACGCAACTTCTTGTAGGGGGCGCTTTCACCACAAGACGGTTTAATCTCTATATCGTGTTGTTTTGTTTCATCGGTCATTTGCAGGTTTTTTTGTCACTATCGAAGCTACACATGGTGATATACAGAAAAAAACGCGTTATATTGCAAAATCGCGAATATCGGTGATATCGATAGAGGGCAGGGAGAGCGTTGCGATCGATGCGAGAGATTTGGCCGCAAAATACGCTAAAAAAACTTCATAACATGCCTCTATACAGGACGTTTCAAGATTCGGTGCGAAGGTTTTGAGCACTTGGCACTTCACAGCCGACCGGGTAAATGCAAAAAAGGTGTTTTGAAAATTGGAAACGAAGCTAGATACGAAAAAAAACGACAGGAAAAAAAATCAACCCTCAAGGAATCAGTGGCGTTTTGTTATTTTACCCATAAACGTCAGCACCGTCTGAGACACTGCTGGAATGAATAATTGGGTTTCGATTAACGCTAAATAAAAATAAAATTACGGCAACAATTTTTTTTTCTTAGAGTCGAAGCTATAACTAAATAAACAAAAAAGTTTCTTTTCTGATTCCTTAATCTAAAAAAATATTAAAACCTCAAAGAATCAGTGGCGTGCCATTATTTTACCTATAAATATCAATTGGAGCACTCTCTGGGACACCGCTGGTTTTGTCAAAATTAGCCAAAAGATTTTTGAGTAATTAATTTAAAAAAAAAATCGGAACGTCTAGAAAAGTTAGCGGCAATAGTTTTTAATTTTTAGCTTGGAGACGAAGGTAGATACCAAACTAACGAATGGGACAAAAAAAAAATTCGTTTCTGATATGTGGCCCTTAAAATCCTTGTACTGAATTTTGAAACACCATGTAAGCTAATATCTGGTTGTAATAAAAATGATATTGTGTTTTTTTTTTAAGTAATATATCAATTATTTTGCAATATGAAATAAGAGTAATTTTTTCTTCTTAAAAAACCTGGTGATTTTATTTAATTTTTTTAATTTTATAATGAGAGACACTTTACACTTTAAACTGATATACCACCATGTATTTGGCCAGCGAAAATATAGGTGAATTTTTATATACACTGCCCGGAAAAATTGAAGTCGGTTTAAAGGATCTGTATAATACAGATTGTCGCAAAATAAAAGAAACGCCGGTTTATCTGTACATATAAGCCCAAACTAAGAATTTCGAGAATTTACCAAAAGAACGTTAGTGGTGTACAAAAATGTTTAGTTATACGAGACCATTATTAGGTTTTCGTTTTCGATTTAATTTTTTCGGCGCGTCTAAACGATTTTCGTGTATTCTTTTAAACGGAAATATTTTATGTACATACAAAACAAAAAAAGAATAACTTAGAAAGTTGCCCTAGTAAATGTTAGCGAGGAGTTTCCGTTGTTAATGTGGCGTTTTACGATTAGTTTTTTTTATACGACGGGGTATTTTGAAATTTCTACGGCACGTAATAAAGTTTGTTGTAAATAATAAAATAGAGTAACAAAAGAAGTCGTAGGGATCGAGGAGGAACGTTTCTAGAAAAACTTTTTCCGTATATTATGTTTAATCGATATGCCTTTGAACACTCGGATATAGAGAAAAATATTTATTTTCAAAATGCCCTGTGCACGGCAAAGGCGAAAATGAAAAAAAGATTTTTAAAATTATTTAAGAGGTCGTTATGTTATTTTATACATATACATTTGTGCACTTAAGAAGAATATATATGTACTAATACTATTGTATATTTATATATAAATATATGATTTAGGTTAAAGCAGCGTTGGATTTATCGCTTCTTTGGGATCCCGTCAGTTACCTACAGAAATTCTTTTTGAAATTTCCGTTCCTTTTTTTACTTTTTCCTAACCCCGACGATGTTATAATTTTTTTTGTCCTTTGCAAGATAACGTGCAGCATTTTATTTTGTTCCTTTCCTTTATTTTTTAATTGATAAATTAATTAGTGGGTTAATTTTTCTCTTTGTAAATTAGTCAGACCAGCCACATATCAAAACTTGAATTAATTTTAATAAATACGACTGCCGTAATTAAAAATAATCAAAATACAATGGGGTTACCCTAAAAGTATGCTTGGCAAAGAATTTTTACACATATTAAGAGGTTTTCTATCTATTTGTTCATAAGTCAGTTTTACATTTTAAATTTCAAAATTTCCAGTGGTGCCACGCGTTCCGACGAGAAACGTATTAACTCTTTTACGCCAAAAGTTGGTCCGTCTTTGAATAGATGGCGCCACCAGAAATAACACATTGCCCAGACCCGGCGACATTTTATTCCGACACAGATGCAATCCACTATGAATCTGACGTGTTAATTGATTTCGCTTCGATAGTTTAAGTTTTGTCACATAGATGGCAAGTCAAGACATTATCGCCGCGTTTCCATGAATGAAACCTTTCTTCGTTTCTTCGTACTTTTATTAATTCTCTGGCAGATGGCGCCGATAGATGATCTAGAAGAACGCTTTCTGCTACGTGCCGCCTGAGTTGGTATTAAAATATAATTATTTCTAAAGTTGAGTCGAAACTTAATAGATGTCACCGCACCCATATCGCTAAATTTTCTAATTCGACAATTACACGTGCTCATACTGGTTGGTTTGTTTTGGAGTCTCAACAGTACAATAAAGATAGGTTGTTGTTTTAAATTCGCCTGGACCGTGATCACGCGGTGCTAAAAATTTGAATTTCACGAAGAGAAGTTATCGAATGTGATACTTGTTTACAGTGCAATTGCCAAAGTTTGTTAATTATAACTGTTTAGGGTAAAAACTAAGTTGCAATCATATTTATAAAAACCAAATGGAAAAGTAAGCGTGAATTTCATTAATGGTTTTTGCACTTATCAGACTAAAATTTTTGGAATGAAGTTTTGATATTATAATAATGGATTAAGTATCATTTTATTAACGATTAATAAAAAAATCTATGTGCTTTTTAGATGATCTGCGAATGTTAAGGAAATTTGTTTCCTTTTTTTTTGGATTTGTTTTTTAAGATAATTTTAAACTGGAAGTGTTAAGTAATTCTGAAAACCAACTATTTTTATTTAAAACAAAAAAAAAAGAAGTCTACCATGAAGTGTAGAAACTACTTATCATCAATATCGTGAATACTGTACTCCCATGGAAGAAAGCTTTACAAGCACAATTCACAAATTTGCAAGACGCAAATATACAAATCACTTATTTTCGATCATTTTGTCACTACAAGGTGAATTAGAAAATAGTTTTTGACATTTTTCGCTTTTTGAATGAAGCATTATGTCCTAAAACCCTCTTCATTTGAAAATACAACCTAGACCTAAAAAACGAATGTTGTTCTATTTTTTCTATCAATCCAACCGTTAGGAGCCAATTTCCCTTCGATATTCCTGTTTTTTTTGCAAGAAATGGTACAGGTTTAAGTAATCGGCGATTTCGGGCGGTATAGCCCAAAAGTTCGAAACGCAGATAATGTTCGTAAGAAGATTCATCGAAACGTGTCTAGAACTGGCGATTTTTACATAATTAATTCAAAAAACGAACGAAAAAGCACAGAAATTCTACAAAGACCGAAAAAACACAACACAAACACAATGAGATTTGGTTAGGAATCCCGAATCCGATTTGATTTCCGACGCCAAGATTTAGAACAGATGATTATAACTGTTCCAAATTTGGCATTCAGACTCCATTAATAGACAGTATAGATAGTATATTATGCAACAAGTGCGGTAAACGGTATTTGTTTCACGAGTTTATTTGACAGCAGCGGAGCGAGTGTTTAATAAACGAGTGACTTAAAAAGTTTACTGAACGTATACTTTTTCTACAACCATTAGTTTTTGGGAACATTTTCGCAAAAAAACACGAATACATTCACTGACATGACCGTTAGAATTGACAAACGTCAAAATTCACAGCGTGGGAATTATCTCCGAGAACATCCGATTGCTCCTAAATCCCAAACAAGTGCGGTGAAATCCCGGAAATGTCCGAAGTGGCTCGAATTCATGGGAAACGAAACTGACGTGGAAAAGTGACGCTTCCCGCACACTAGATCGGTGGATGATTAGGTATTTTACAGACGGGAGTAGAAAAATATATTTAGGAGCGAATATCCTAGCATTCCGAATTTATTTTAGTCACAAAGATATTTAAAATAGACGATTTTCACTGTTTCAAATTTCCTTGCGCGCGGTTTCGAGTTGCGAACAACGACGTTTGTAACAGACAAAATTAACTGATCCAAATCTCTTTGCGTCTAAACTCGATTTTGAACCAAATATATTTAGAACAGGCGATTTGAACTATTCTTTAAAAGCATATAAATAATTATCGAAATACATTTTTAACGCTTATTAATCGTCACAATCTGAAAGAACAAGTTATTTTAGAATCGAGAATCAGTGACCACAAAAATCATAAACCGCGTTTTATAATAGTATTTATCGTTAAGTTTGTTACAAAAGTTGCGTGTCATTTTCAGTTTATCATTCACTGTTAACAAGCATCTTTTATCGGATATTTGAGTCTTTGCAAGTAGGCTTCTAATGGAATGATTCTTCTACTTATTAAACGTTCATACACTTTAGTTTTAATTGGTTATAGGCCATAACTTTTTGGGCGGAAAGGTCCGTCGAAATGCAAAACGATATATTTTGATATGACCTCCACAAGGCGTATCGTATCGTACCAAATCGGAGAGTACGGGCGTGCGTTTAAAAAGAAGAGAACGCGCATAAAAATGCGACCTTAAACAAAACCGTTGCGCCTAAATAGGCAATACGGTTTTACAATCGAACGAATGCCATTTGAAAAGCGGTTTCCTTTTCGGTTTTCTCAAGTTTACTTTAGTCGCGCGTTGAATTCGTTCGGTGAGCGTCGCCGCAATTTTCCGTCGCCTGCACTTTCCGTAAGTTTCAATTTGATCCGTTTTCCAAGTCCCATTTTATTTCCGCGCCTGCGCACGCTGATACGCTCTTATGGACCCTCAGTCAAGTGACGAAATAAGTTCATCCACACTACGTGAAATATGATTTTCAAACACTCAGCGCAAATATCGCAAATATATACAAAATATACAAGGTCGAATTTTGGGTCCACTTTAAAAAGAAAACTTCGTAAGAAGTAACTCCACTTATATTTTGATGAAATTTGGCACACACGAAGTGCGTATCAAGCGGCATCATTTAGTATACCACGATTTTTTTAAAATACACCAGTGGCGGGCGTATAGAATTTCACCTGTTTATTTTGGCAGACGTTGATGGTACGCCACTGATTTCTCTTAAAATAAAAAGTATTCTTACAATCTCCAATCAGAATTATTATCATTGCTATTTCTTTCTTGAGTAATTGTTTATCTGTTTTACTAGAATACTTCAATAAATCTAATTACGAATACGAAGTACGTAAGCTCTAAGGAGTATTTTTGAAATCTTTATAATTATTTCTCATCATTATTAATTCTGTTGTCAAGGCGGTTGTTTCACATCAGTTTTTAAATTCAGTGCTTCACGTCTTAGTAATTTGGTGTTTAAAATATCCGTTATTTTAAAAATAATGGTCGAGTTCATTAATGAGGAGTTGGCAAATATGCATTTTATGTATAGTTTGTCCTGTTGGCCTGTAAGAACTCCGGAAATTAAAGAAGCTTAAAACTGTTTGATGAAAATCCTGAACTTGGTAATAGAAAAACTGGATATCGCGCACATCTTGGTTATCTCATATTAAACGAGTCCAAGCGTTAGTTCCCAGAGAGTTCTTTTCCTTGCGTGTTAATTTTTGGTTTTTGGACAAAATTGCTCATTATCCCTTGTTTGAGCAGACAGATAAAGCTAACATTTCCCGAAATAAAAAAAAAATTCTGAGTCGATGAAATACCCCATGCAGATGTAGAATTTACACATCAAGAACAGTTTTCGGTAAATGTTTGGGCTGGAATTGTTGGAAACTACTTACTTAATTGGACACTTTTTCCTCCCAAATAGCCAAAATGGCCATAATTATCGTTTGTTTTTAGAAGAGGATTTGCAAATAGTCCTAGACGGCGCACTTGCTCACTTTGGTGTTGCCGTAAGAGAATATTTAAATTCCCACATTATAACCGATAGGTAGGTCGCGGAGGGTCCAACCAAAACTAACCAAAACTAACCATGGCCCCCTAGGCTTCAGATTCAAATAGCTTGGACTTTTTCTTATGGAGCAACCTTAAAAGTCTGGTTTATCGCACCCAGTTAACACTGTAGAGGAGCACACTGTATAAGAGCTCCCTACGATTTAATAAGAAGCACTGGAGGTATACTTCAAAGACTGCGCGACAATAGATCTGAAGCGTGTATCCTTCAAGGTGCAGGACATGTTCAACAACTTACCTAATTTCAATGTTATACATTCTTTTAAATGGTTGTTATTAATTTATTAACAGACAATTTTGTTAGTGGGTGGTGTTTTTTTTTTAAATAAGAATGGTTTATTATTTATCTTGTTGTTAGGATGTTAATTCATTAAAACTGCAAAAGTAAAAAAGAACAGTCTTCTAATTTTTTTTTGTGGGACACTAGTTGGTAACTAAAAACTAGATATTTTTCTTTAGATAGATGTTTTATTTTTTACAAAAAAAAGTTTTCCACTTAATCAGTGCAGTGGCGACTTAATTAACACAAATATTATTTACACTGCTAAGTATTTCCGGGCTTTTGAGCCGTGGTCCCGAGTTTACACTCGACGTTTCGTCTACAACTGCGGCAGACATTTTCAAGAGCAGCGA